TATTGCCCCATTTTCTTATGATCACCGCGATGAGATACGATTCGGATGTCAAGTTCAGAGTCCAGAAAGGTAGCTAATGAAAAAATTTACAATAACTTTTTCAGTAAGATTTCACTTCTAGATAAAACAGTACTTAATGTTTTTCTTCCTTTAGCTCACTTCGTGGAAAATATTCAATCTACGCTTTTCCGAGGGTTCCCTATGACAATGAACAAATTATGGGATTTCAGGTTAAATTTTCTTATTATTTAAATGATTTGTCATTATCTCATTCGTGAATTTAGTACGGTGACATGACTGTACTTATCCGTCAAAGAGGAAACACTTGTAGTTGGGTAAGTGCTGACAGCTGTAGCTGACAAAATGGAGTCACTCACTGACACTAAAGTTAGAAATGTTTTTGATGTTTTGTGTCATTTTAGCTTTGTTTTCTAATCAAGAAGCTATGTTCACAAAATTTTACATAAAAATACATAAAGATTCAGAAATGCAAGCGTGATACCTATTTTGTGGATGTTCCATCAGCTGTTGACTTGCCGAGATTGGACATTGGTATTTGTCGATTTGAAGATGACGAAAAGGTTGGACAATTTATTTCACTGTTACCATATTTTCTCTAATAGTAGTGCACCCCGCCGAGTCGAGTTGGTAACTATTTTACGGTTTCCAAGCTTTTGCAGAAGCTCAACACTCTAATCCCTCGAAAGATCTCATCGTCAGCTACATTTTCCGACCCCACATCGATAGGTTTTGATAAGCGGTTCTCGAGATTTCGAGGAATTTAGGCGACACTCAGAGTGCACTACTATTAGAGAAAGTACGGTATTTATGACTATACGTTTGTCACTTGATTAGCAACAGCACAGTTGGACACGCCAGTTCTTTTATGGGTTGTGGCTGGGAATACAAAACATCGTCGGCGCCGGGGTTCGAACCCGCGACCTCTCGCTTACCGGGCGAACACTCTACCAAAGAACTTCACCAACTTCACCGACACGTGTCCTTCGCCGCCAGAATAGGGCCTTATGCTTTATTTTTAGACAATACCTGAGAATGCTCGATGTATGGATACGAGTACTTCTGATGCAGAGATCGTGTTTCGATTAGGAGTTGAAACGAGACGGGTAGAATCCTCAAATTAACTAATTACTATGAAAAGCTTTAGCTCATTCTTCGAAGGGTGATCATTGAAAAGTGTGAGTGCAGAATATTTTAATATATGTCGCTTTCTGAGTGTCAACATCTGTAAAACGAAAGTACAATCTTTGGCTAAAACAAATAAAGTTTAAAATTACAAACAAATTTACAAATCGCTTGAAATTGATTTGACAATTGATTTGGCTGCTCTGTGATTCTTTCTTGAGGTATCTTTTTTCTTTTTGGGTGTGTTTTGAGTGGTGTCCTGGGTGATTATTGTGATCTTGTTTTGTCGCTATTCAACTGAATAAAGCATATACAGTCATGCACAAAAGTCTTGTAACATCCAGTTTAGCAAATTTCAAAGTGTAATAACTTTTTTGCAAAGAGGCGAATTCCCAACCAGTTTTCGGTTTTCAGTTGTCAAAAACTTCTATTTTTATATGCAAGAAAAACTTTAGTGAAACGATTAACAAAAAATAAGAAAAACAAATAAAAACAAAAAACGGGCGTATTTTTGATGCTCAAAAGTCTTGTAACATTTGAAAAAAAACATAGAAATTACCAAATTTTTACTACTTCGTTGGTCCACCTTTGGCTTTGATGACTTCCTGGATTCGCTTTGGCATTGAATCAACTAAATCGCGTATCTCTTCCCAGAAATGCACACCGATTGTTGGCAAATTAGAGCTGGTAGAATGAGAGAATTTTTCCGTTGCTGATTTCATGAGTTTATACTAAATACAGTAAAATTACATGAGTAAAAGTGCTTAAAAGTGCTTTCTGTTAGCTTATTTTGAACCATAATTTGAACTATAAAGTTGTTGTTTTTTGAAACTCTGTAACTTTATTACCAATTTTTTTTCATTTCTTTCATTTTCCATTGTTGTTCATCAATCCAAAACATTCTCAATTGCTAAAAATCAGCTTATTCTGGATTTTGTTCTCTTTTTTTATGTATATGTTGTGTCCGATTTAGATTTCCGTCCGATTTAGATTACAGTCTATATCGGACGTTCGATTTAGATTCAATCTAAATCTTATATAGATTGAACAATAATATAAACATGCTTAATATATGTTCTTAAGCGTTTTCTGTAGTTTTCTGCATTTTTCAAAGGTCTGTTACTGTCTTTTTCTGAAAAGAAAACCCAACTATGAAACAAAAAGGTCAAAAAGGTCCTCCATCTGTAAAAAAGCAGCATTTAAAAAAAAGCAGCATTTAATAGGAAAACAAGAAAACAAAAAATTCTCAAAAAAAGACAATAAAATTTCTTTGAAAAGCGCAGAAAATTGCAAAAAAACGCTTAAGAACATATATTAAGCACGTTTATTATTGTTCGATCTGTATCGGACGTCCGATATAGACTGTAATCAATAAAAGACCTTTGAAAAATGCAGAAAACTACAGAAAACGCTTAAGAACATATATTAAGCATGTTTATATTATTGTTCAATCTATATAAGATTTAGATTGAATCTAAATCGGACGGAAATCTAAATCGGACACAACATATATATAAATCATTTGGATTTTTTTTTAAATTAACGCACTTTCTAAAACATTTAAGGCTTTGACATGTAACAAAGTTACTCACTAAAGTAGAATTGCGTCAAAGAGTTTACGAAAACATAAAGAGTAGAATCTAGTGGAAAATGCATACAAATTTTAAGCTGAAAATGACTTCCAGCCTTTTTAAAACCTCAACACGTCTATTTTTAGTCATTCGGCAGACTAAAAATAGCCACACAAAACTCTTTTCTACGTATAAACATTGCTAACTTGACTCAATTTTCAGAAAATTTTGTAAAAATTGACGTATCAGATACTTTTTGAGTGATTCACAAAAGGAATTCATGCAAAGAAGTGATAAGAGTTGCGGTAAATCGCGGTAAATGCTTGATCAGCGTCACAACCTGCAATCTTTTAGAGTACATTAGAGTGTATATAAAGGGTGATATTTTCAAGAATTCATATTCACTTTCTTTTGTTAATTTATCAGTGAATAACATTTCAAATTTTTCATTTTCTAATATCAACTTAAACCTTTAACAACTAATACATTTCAGAATCAGGGAAAATCGTCAAAATGTGTTTTGTTCAAAAAGAGAAACGAGTCTCATTCAACCGAGCTATCACCGAAATCAACTATCAAATCGGTCAGTAATTATGAATTTTTTTGTTACTAAGTTTAGCAATGATTCTTTTTATTTAAAAACTACTGAAAATTACTAGTTAAAACAACTAAAGAATACAAAGATAGCCTTACAAGAATACAAACTAACCAAGCTTAAAACCTTTGTGCAGAAAAGTAGCTCTTTTCTGTGAAATCTTATTTGATGCTTTGATTTTAAATATCTCTGATTCTCTTGTCCTTCCTCTAAAGATCGTTTGTGTGATAAAAGGGGACGAAGCCCACTTTGTATTGCTTTTCTTTGGTTTTGACACACTGAACCAACGATTGATTCTATTTATTGTATTTTCTCACTAGATTAGTGATTGTGCTATATTCGGGATACATATCCAAATAATTATTGCCGCATCGGTACCCTCTCACGCACTGCACAACCTTCAACTTCAACTGAACAAGTTCAACTGAATTTAAAGACATTTCATATTACGTAATACTGTACTTAGGATTTTAAATTGCCAAAATATTAACTAGTTTTAAAGTTTAAACAATTTAAATACAAAAAAATAAGAATTTAAGTACATCAAGATTTCAGTTGAACAACCCTATCAAACGCTTATCGACGACCAAATGAAAGAAGAAAGTCAGAAAGTCATATTGGCTTTGAAAAAGTTCTATGTGCAACTTGGCTTGCAAATGTTCATTCAACAATTGCCACAAAAAAAAGATTCTCTTTGTTTGTAAAGAATAAAGAACCTTCTCCTATTTATCAATATTCTTTACACTTTATCTGACTTTTTGAAAACTTTTGAAAGTCAATTCAAAATCAAAATCTTAACATTGACAGTTACAATTCTAAGTTTATTCAGAAATGAACTCAACATACCGTAAATATTCTAATAGAACATCATAATAGTCACTTACAGTGTAGTCTAACGTCGTTGAACGTCCCGCTCTCTACGTACAATCGCGTAGTCTAACTTTGAACGTTCTGTTCTCTACGTACAGCCGCGTAGTCTAACGTCGTTTTACGTCCCGTTCTCTACGTACAGTCGCGTAGTCTAACGTCGTTGAACGTCCGGTTCTCTACGTACAGTCGCGTAGTCTAACGTCGTTGAACGTCCCGTTCTCTACGTACAGTCGCGTAGTCTAACGTCGTTGAACGTCCCGTTCTCTACGTACAGTCGCGTAGTCTAACGTCGTTGAACGTCCCGTTCTCTACGTACAGTCGCGTAGTCTAACTTTGAACGTTCCGTTCTCTCCACTGCTTTATGATACAATTTGCGTTTTAATGTCAAATTATAGCTCTTGAAATCTAGTATTTTTTGGTATTAAAAGTGTAGTCGAAAATATCTAGGGGCTGAGAAAAAAACGATTTTCTAAAAAGAATTTAGACTGTACGAGAAGGTGGCTTTCTATTAGAGGATTTACGATAAACTCAAATTTTATAAGCCTTATTATCTAGCATTTTTTTGTCTCAGCTCAATGTCAAAGAAAAATTTCTAGTATGGTCGATAGAAATAGTGTAGTGAGACGATAGAAATAGTGAGGATCCGCCCCCATTTCTCTAAGCACTTTTCAGTTCTCCTCAATCCAGAGACATCAACAAAAGAATTCACGGAAATGCCAAAGTTTAAATGTTTACTACTTTTACTTCTTTTTATTCAATCGGTTTATTGTATTGAAGTATTGGTGTTACCATTATCTGGCTGTTATTCACATGATGTAATGATGAGAGAAGTCGGAGAAACGTTTCCCTTGGGAACAAATGTCACTTGGATGCAAACTAAAGTACGATTTTACATTAAAATCCCAAACTTTCCTTCTGTTTTACGGTTTAACTAGTTTAAATGTTTGATTTGATTTAATATTATCTTTCAAATTAAACCTGAAGTTCAAATCAAATCTCTAGGTGTTCCCAGTTGGTAGAAAAGAGTTTCAACTGCCGGATGAATGGAGGAAAATCATTTTGACAAGTAATGATACAGAAGGTAAGATAAAAATTTCACTTATCAAAGATTTTATAGCTTTAAATTATACTTTTACATCTAAAAATCAACAAACAAATGGTTTATAAGCGAAATTTTTTTAGGAGATGTTATCGCTGAATACTCACAAACTTTTCTCTGGGAATCCTACCATCCTTTTGGTGAGAATTGCCTAAATTTGCATCCAAACATTCTCAAAATTCTCTTCTTTAGATGGAAATTCTCCTTTCGAAATCCGTGGCCTAATCGCTTATCAAGATTTCGATGCAAGAACCGCAAAATTCTGCAATATTTTGTCTAAAAGCGACGATTTTCAAGACTATCTCTCTACTGTAAAACCAGACATTATTGTTGTGGATTTCCATGTGAATGTGAGCTTAGAACTCGACCAAAAACTTCTCTTTTAGGATTGCATGTCAGCACTGTCTTCCCTTTTCAACACCACTGTCATTCATTTCTCGAATTGGCCCATCTTTGATGTGTACTTGAGGAGTTTCGGAGTCGTTGGCACAAGTCCCGCAGCTTATCCGGAAACAAGTTAAACATTTTTTAATCAAAAAAAACACAACTTTAATTCTTTAGCTTTACCATATTCTGGGCTTGGAATGAGCTTTTTCCAGAGGATAACCAATCTCTGGATTCGACTTATAAAGTATCTCTTTCGAGGTATCGGCGAATGGCGCTCGAGCAAGACAGTGCCTGGAGTGAGTGCAAAAAATTCTTCCAGCTCGCAATATTTTGCTTTAAAGTTTTACATAGCCTACTTATCCTTTTATCTTCACAATATATTTCAAATCATAAAGCCAAAAAGATCTTTAACAACTGTCAGACACAGTTCAACCCTTCGATAGCTGACTGACAAGATCCAGACCGACTGGCAAGACAAGACAAGATCGTTTTCCATAGAATAAAAGTTGTAAATCAGCTTTATTTTAAGCTCTGACAAGGCTTGAAGACTTTGTACAAAGTTTTATGTACGTTAAACTCCAATTCCCTTTCTCTGATCCTGCTAGATAACCCTTCAATCTTTTCCTTTTTTTTCCTTGACAAGGTTGATTCCTTCAATGCTTGATCGATGCAATACGCTTCACTAAAAAACTTATTGTCGTTTAAGAGAAGTTTCAGTTCACTTTTGCTTTTGCCGCTTTTCCCTTCTTCTTCTTCTTCTTCTTCTTCATCTTTTCCCCATTTCTCTGCCTTTCGTAATGACACAGATTGCAAGTGTAGATCTCTCTCATTCATGGTTATCGACCGATCCTCGCGAGAAGAAAATATACAGCCTCGAGGCAAATAGAGCTAGCAATTTTTTCATCTATTGCCAGAGAAAAACGACTAAGTTCTGCATTTTCTGCCATGAAAAACTTGATTTTTTTGAAGAAAATGGGGATAATGCTTGGATGAAAAAAAAATTCACTTCCGTAGATCATGCAATCAAAGGCAAAACTGGTGCGAAAGAAAGGGGAAATTAACGCACAAAAATAAAGAGAGATAAACTGGAATATTGAAAAAATCGCTGATGAAGCGCAGTTGAGCATTTTGGCACAAGGAATAGGAATCATAGATGCTTAGCAAGTTCAATCAGATATCATCACTTTGGTATTAGATTTGATAGACTGGATTTGTTTGTCGAAAGTAGAGGATTAGAGGATGACAATATCACTAAAATTTTGATCAAAATAGATCACAATAAAATAATCATGTCTCATTTTGTCTGATTTTGAGTATCAGATTTTGAGAATCAGCTACTAGCTCCATGGAATGAGCCTCACCTCCATGGAATGAGCCTCACCTCCATGGAATGAGCCTCACCACAATTTAAAAACCTAAGTACAGCAGCCTCTAGTGGACAGCTTGGTGATCGTTTCAACCCACTTATGAGTTACTCCTCAAAAAGTAGAGGATCTAATAGTAAAGTTGAGCTTGGTTTCTGGGATTTGGGATGAATTTCTGGGATGTCTAGAGTAAACTACGCTTGAATGACAATCGTGGGTGTAGACAACCGCAAGCACTTTCCGACACAACAAAGCTCATAGCTCAAACTCACCAATTCAGAAAAAACTATGCACAAATCAAGAAATATTTTAGAAAGCCTTTACGATTCTTTCATTCACAATACGTTCGCAAAACATTTATCCAAATCCCAAAGGTATCAAAGATTAAGAAATTATCAAAAGATATGACAAAGTAACGAGATTTATGCAAATATAAAGAAATAAAGAAATCCATAAAGCAGTAAATTAAGGAAAAGAATCTTCAGAAAAGCTCAACTGATCTAATTTCTTGGGGTAGGCTAATTTCCGCAATTTTTTTTGGCGAAACAGGGTCATTTGCGCAACTGGGTCGTTTGCGCAACTCACCATAACTTTTTTCTAAGTCGGTCAATCTTCATGATTTTGGTTTCATTTTGTAGATCTCAATAAGTGCAACAAAATGACACCAAAATCATAAAGATTGGCCGAACGATTGTAAAGTTTGTGAAGTCGAAATTGAAGAGGAAACTATTCGGAACAAAAGTGGAGCTTTGGTACTTCATCCGTCGAGTCTGGACAACTATTAGACCCCAAATTCTACGTGATCTGGTTGACAGCATGCCAAAGAGAATTCATGCAGTAATTGCGGCTCGCGGAGGACCTACTAAGTATTGATTTCACAAACTTTACAATCGTTCGGCCAAGCTTTATGATTTTGATTTCATTTTGTTGCACTTATTGAGATCTACAAAATGAAACAAAAATCATAAAGATTGACCGACTTAGAAAAAAGTTATGGTGAGTTGCGCAAACGACCCAGTTGCGTAAAGAAATTTGCGGAAACTAGCCTACCCCAATAGCCTACAAAATGACACCAAAATCATAAAGCTTGGCCGAACGATTGTAAAGTTTGTGAAATCAATACTTAGTAGGTCCTCTGCGAGCCGCAATTACTGCATGAATTCTCCTTGGCATGCTGTCAACCAGATCACGTAGAATTTGGGAAACTAGCCTACCCCTATTTCTTTGGTGAGAAAGTAAAACTTTTAGCACCGTTTAGAAAACAGATAAAACAAGTGCAAAATAGAATTGACGTAAATAAATGAAAGTACTTCTTACTATTAGGCATTGCATTGCTTTTTCTTCTTTAATCTCTTGTCTTTTGATGTTTTCAAAGTTCCTCTAAATGATCAGCTGCTATACCAACCTTTACTTGATCATAAAAAGTTGTTTTTCATTTTTCATTCAATCCTCCATTTTCAGCTCTCTCTTCGACGCATTGAATCAAAGAGATTACTCTATGCGAGTCGATATCAAATGTTGGCTGAACCAGTTAGACCGATCTCTCAACGAATACGATATTTTGGGTACAATCCCATACTTAACAGGTATCACGTAGCATCTCTTCAATCCATCTTTCAATCCAATTTTCATCCTTCTCCGATCACAATCAAATTTTATGGAACCCTCAATTTCACGATTTTTCTGAGAAAACCCTAACAATAACAATTTCTCTCAAGAAGTTGAGAAAGTTCAAAAAAAAATCTTTGTAAAGAGAATCGTTTTTTGCTTAACTTTTTGACAAACCAGTTCCAACTTTAAGAGAATTCTTTATAGATGAAATTTTATAGATGCAAACGTTTTAACTTTTTTTCACTTTCACTTGTAAGAGTTTATTTTGATGAAAAAGATGAGAATGATCTTTAAATCCAACAACAAAGCAAAGAATTCACCTTAAAACTATAGCTATTAAAAATGCAAACCATTGATAGTTTGATTTGAGTGGAAATTCCTTTTCAATAGCTCTGTTTTCACTCAAAATCCTCGCAATCATTCACATTTATGACAGCCTTGAGCTCGTTTTGGTTAGCCAAGGAATCAAAAAAAAAAGATTTCAGCCAAAAGCAGACTTTCCTATAATTTGAGCAGTTGTTTATTCCAAAAGAAAACCTGATTCTGAAAATAAATCCAAAAAGAAACTAACAACAGGTAAACCGTATTAGTCCTCAAAAATCAAATCAGTCTCTTTATCAATTTAATTTAAGCAGTTGTACATCTATTCCAAAAATAAACCTGACTCGGAAAATAAATCCAAAGAGAAAATAACAACAGGTAAACCGTATTAGTCCTCAAAAATCAAACCAGTCTCTTATTAATTTTAGATTTAGAGCAAAAGATAAACATACCGTATTTTCTCTAATAGTAGTGCACCCAGGCGAGCCGAGTTGATGCCTATTTTACGGTTTCCAAGCTTTTGCAGAAGCTCAACACTCAAATCCCCAACTAGATCTCATCGTCAGTTACATTTTCCGACCCCACATCGATAGGTTCTGATAAGCGGTTCTCGAGATTTCGAGGCTTAGGCTCAGGCTTAGATTCAGGCTTAGGTTCAGGCTTAGGCTCAGACTCAGGCTTAAGCTCAGGTCCAGGCTCAGGCTCAGAACCATCGATAGGTTCTGATAAGCGGTTCTCGAGATTTCGAGCAATTTAGGCGACGCTCAGGGTGCACTACTATTAGAGAAAATACGGTATTTAAGTCTCAAGATTACAAGCTTTTAATAACAGTTGTTAATAAAACTCTAATTATTAATAACAGACCAGTTTTTCAAGATTCTTTCAATGATTTTATTGTTTTTCTAAACTTTAGCGTGATTCTTTCAATTGTTTTTCTCAATATAAGTAGAAAGATCCGTAGCATTTGATAAAAGACCAATTGGGGTCATGCATTTCACTGAAAAAAAAAGAAAAGAGAACCTAATTCTTTGACCTTTTCACTTTCAGACCATCAAGAACAGTGGAGAAAGCGATCAGTGAAGAATTTTTGGGAGAAATTGAACCTTCTCTTCCATCACCAAAAAACTGGACTCTCAAAAACGGGAAAAGTGATGGAATGTTGAATTATCAGAATGAAGTAAGAGCTAGAAATAAATTTAACAAAAAAAATTCTAGAGTTGCACTGATTTTTGTCAACGTCCAACAAGAAATTATTTGAAATTTATTTCAAATGAAGAATTGGAAACATTGTTGATGGAAAAATTTGTTCTAATCACTTTTGGGAGTCTGGCAAAGGTGAAAAAAAAGCTTTGCGATTCAATTTCAATTACTTTATTTAGATATCTTTGATGAATAAAGCACAGTTCACTAATATGGTGACTGGCTTTGGAGTGCTACCATTTCCCGTTATCTGGCAAGCCGATCAAAGGTCTGAGGAGAAATTCGATGGGATTTCTATTCCAAAGAATGTTTATTTTGCTGACTGGTTACCGGTGAAGAGGATTTTAAGTAAGTGTTGAGAAGTGAAGATATTAGCTATTAAATGACCAAAATTCAAATACAAGATGTTTCTCAGGCTTGGACACATTGCAGTTCATCGTTTCGCATGGAGGAGTGAACACGCTGAATGAAATGCTTCAAATGGGAGCCACTGGGATTTTGATGCCATTGCAGGTCACTTACAGTCTTCAGAAAAGTACTTACCGTATTTTCTGTAATAGTAGTGCGCACTACTATTTTTTCAACCCCCCTCCAGCCTGCACTACTATTACAGACTGCACTACTATTACAGACTGCACTACTATTACAGAAAATACGGTATCTGACTGCAAATTTACATAGAGAAACGGTCACAGCACTGTACATTACCAAACAGCTATGTTAACTCCGCTCATTTTTCGCTGCCGTTGGCAATCTACGTATTTTGCTCGTAACTTGATCGGGTTTTTGAAAAACGTGAAATTTTCTATCGAATAAAAGTAAATTCAACGTTTTTTAAATAAACCCGGTCAAGGTACGAGCAAAATTTGTAGATTGCCAACGGCAAATGGACAAGTGGAGTTACATGGCTCATTACCGATATCTGATTGCGTGGATAAGAGTTACAAAAACTAATCAAGCTCTTGTCATTCTTATCTAGTTTCGATTTCGATAAAATATATGTAAATTTATGCAGTGGACAGCCAATAAATGCAAGTTTTAGGGTGATCAATGCAGCAATGCTAGACGACTTCATGATCTGGGAGTCGTCGAGTTCGTGACGCCTCATCGACTCGAGATGGAAGCATGGAAGAAGGAATTGAGAGGATTTGTGGGGAAATTGGATAAGTGAGTTGAATCAAAAGAAAAGAATAGAATAAACTGTTTAGATTCCAAGCCCGAGCTGCTCATTTCTCGAAGATGCTCGTCGAACACGCGCAACTCAATGAAGTCCCGCAAAAGTACTGGCTCGAGTGGGCATTGAGGTAAATAGAGGTTCTAAACTCTAAAAAACTGAATGCTTAGATTCTAACTAATACTAGATTACAAAATAAAGTTATTTCAGGTTTTGTCTGAGCCTTTGGATAACTTTATTTCTAGCTAGCTATAGCTTGACCCTGGTCTGACCTACAAAATATCAAACTATTAAACAAGATTCAATTGATCATGTATCTTCTCCAATAAACTCGCGTTTTCTTAGTGTCCCAGAAAGCCTACCTTTGTTATAACAAAGGTAGGCTTTCTTTACAACTTTTACTTACTAATCGAAACTTTCATCTTTCAGACACGGCAAGAAATCCTCAGTGAAACGTCTGATGGGAGTCGGCGTACTCCAAGATTGGAACTTTGAAATGACAATTTCAGCCGCTTTTTCTTTCCTTATTTTCCTTTATACAATCTAAACTCAATTTCCTTTTTTCAAATCCTTTAATTTATGCCTTTTTTTTGCTTTCTATCTAGTCATCTATTTCTCAATCCGAAGCCAAGACCAGCCACTTTCTGCCATTGCCTTTTCGTCTACATTTCTCTGATCTCGATCTCGGTGTAAAGCCCGGATTTTCGATTTACGTGTACAATTTTTTGTGTTTCGAAATAAAGATTCTTAAACGCTTTCAAAATCGACACATTTTATGAGTGAAAATCGAATACTCCAGAAAAATGATGCAACTGTCAAAAATTTGCACAAAAAACTTATCAGTTTAGCAGTTTTTAGAGCCGATTCATTGAGCCATCGCAATAATTTTATCGCAATATTTCATTGGATTTTTGATTTTGAATTTTGAATTCGAATTATCTGATAGCCTTTTGAAATTTTCAATGCCTCCAAAACGTAAATCGAAAAAGGTAATATTAAAACGATTTCTATTTCAATTTGAATTGTAAATCAAAGCCTGGATTTATTGGGTTAGTGGAAAAGTCCTTTCGGATTTTTTGGGAGAGTACCTTAAATTTGTCGAATTTTGACGTTTTATAGCTCATCCTAAAGCTGAATTCAAGACGGATCGATTGGTAAAAACCGTTTTGAGATATCTCTTTTCTAAAAGTTTTTACCGCTATTTTAGTAAAGGGCGGCAGAGCCAAAAAATGGCTGTTTTCACCTTCGTTAGTTTTCCGTGCAGAAACCTAGGCTAAAAGCATGTGTTTCGTGATCAGCGTCAAAAATAACCCCTAGACACATCTTAGCAAACGAGAAAAACGAAGGAAAATCGCGAAAAGCGGCGGAAAGGCTATTGATCTGAGGGTCGCTGGTTCGACTTCCACCGATGACAATATTTTTCAAAAAATTTTTGCTAAGATTCTGAAAATGCGTGTCTAGGGGTTATTTTTGACGCTGATCACGAAACACATGCTTTTAGCCTAGGTTTCTGCACGGAAAACTAACGAAGGTGAAAACAGCCATTTTTTGGCTCTGCCGCCCTTTACTAAAATAGCGGTAAAAACTTTTAGAAAAGAGATATCTCAAAACGGTTTTTACCAATCGATCCGTCTTGAATTCAGCTTTAGGATGAGCTATAAAACGTCAAAATTCGACAAATTTAAGGTACTCTCCCAAAAAATCCGAAAGGACTTTTCCACCAACCCAATATAAGGGTAGAACAATAACCAAAGTCTAATACTTTTTCCATTTATAAAGGCACATCTTGGCCTCAGTATTTTTGATTTTTGACTGAAAATGAAAAAGGAATCATTGAAAACAACTTTCTAAACGATTTTTGAAAAATTTTTGTAGTTTTTTATGGCCTAGTGAGGCTTGAACTTGGCCTGACTTGGCCTGACTTGGCTAACCTTGACTTTTCCTTTTTTAAAAGCTTTGAGCTCATTGACCCAATCCGTATTCTTTCCATATAAGGTAAATAATTGAATAAATGGATAAAAGGTTAAGCATTCTCTGGATATCAACAGTATTTGTCTCTCTTGGGGTCTAAGGATTTGCTTTGCAAGAGAATCAAAAGAGAAATAGGATCAATGGTGATGAAGAGGGAGAACCCACCTGTCAATTCAATGTTTACCCAACTTACGGTAGGAAGGAGACCCTAGGAATTGCAAAATTCTTGATTATCCTTTAAAAGGCTTTAATTATTACTATGTATTCAACTCCGATAATCGATACTTTACAGGTGCGCTTGAGTTTTTAAACTTTACTTGTAATTTGTAATTTGTAAGTTACTTTGTAAGTCATTTTCTTTACTTGTACTTAAAGTTTACTAATTTTGTAGTTTACTTCACGTTTCTTTACTTGGAATGCAACTTTTAGTGGGCTTGGAAGATAAAAATGCAACTTTTAGTGTGCTTGGAAGTTAGAAATCCAACTTTTAATGTGCTTGGAAGTTAAAAATCCAACTTTTAGTGTGCTTGGAAGCTAAAAATCCAACTTTTAGTGTGCTTGGAAGTTAAAAAAACCAACTTTTAGTGGGCTTGGAAGTTAAAAATGCAACTGGTGTACTTGTGCTCAAAACTAAAACTTTACTAACTTTGTAGTTTACTTCACGTTTCTTTACTTGGACTTAAACTTTACTAGCTTTATAATTTGGGTGTATTTCTGCTCAAAAATGCAACTTTTAATGTGCTTAGACTTTATTTAATAACTAGATTTGCACTTCCTGGTGTACTTGTGCTCAAAACTGAAACAATCGATAGATTTGTACTTTGCACCCAAATCCGGAAACTCAATTCAAAAGTTTTCGAATAAAATTCGAATTCGGAAACTCTGGAAGACTGAGTCAAAGTAAAATCAAAAACTGTTCCAGAAAGAACACAAAATACAATCAAATCTGATTAGTTTTAACTTTTGCCCAATTATTAGGTTGATGCAAAAGTCTTTTTCATTTTTTTCGTACTTCTTTTGAAAAATAACAAAGTCATGAATTAACCTATGGTTTGCTCTAAATGAAAAGTGTTTATTGTTCAATTTCCCATCTTTTTAAGTCAATTTGGGTTCACTTTTAAGCAAATTCGAGAGTGAAAACGGGTTTTTCATAAAAATCTATAAAAACCTCTATAAAGAAATTGGCTGAATCAATTTCTCTGAAAATCTGAAAAAATATCTAACTTTTTGTGCTCTATCTTTTATTTATTAACATCAAGATTGGTTTCCTTAGCTAAAGCGTCTAAAATGCATCATCGAGCCGTCGCCTTTTTTGACTACCCGACTTCAGGCTCTCAAAAAAATCTAGACATAAGACATTTTAAACTCGTTTTAATGTCATTTTGCAGAAAAATAATTGGCATTTCGAATGCAATAAACCGTTGTTCAATTGGTGCATTTGTTACTTTTTAACGGAAGTACGAAAAAAATGAAAAAGACTTTTGCATCAACCTAATAATTCTAGTTTTAACTTTCTATATGCATCAATTTTCTTACTCTCAGCTTATAGCCATGCACAACCGGCCCACCAAATTCATTGCTTTTCCTCGATAATTCAATGGACCCATTCATGTCCCAATTGAGCCAAATGTCAACAATCACACCAAATGAAATCGCTCCACCACCATTGTTGGTTTAATTTTAAGGCTTTTTTTTATTTACATCTCATTTACATCCGATTTACATCCAAATTTAGTGACATTTTGCTATCGAATCACTTCTTCCGCCCGATGTTTGATGTGCTTTGTGATCGAAAGAATGAGAATGGTTTTCTAGCTTTTCACACTCGTAAACTAGACATGGGAAAATTCCAACCCGAACCTAATTCCATCTTCATTTTCTCAACCATCTCTTGACCGATTGCTCTGAAATTTTGTCTACTAGCAGAGAATGTCAATCTCTATTTGTAAACAAAATTTCAGAACAATCGCCAAAGAGAAGGCTGAGAAAACGAAGATGGAATTAGGTTCGGGTTGGAATTCTCCCATAAACACGCAAATTTAGCTCTTCAACCCCAGGAATTCACACATTTTGTTGAAGAGATCGATAAAGTCGATATGATGCTGGTAAAATGATTTCAAGAAACAATTTGAAGGAAATTTAGGAGAAGTATTTTCATCTTGCTGAACAAGGTGGACCGTGCGATGCAGAGGATGGGTAAGACAAAAAGAAAAGACAAAAAAGATAAAAAGGACAGTTTAAAAGACAAAACTAGTTACCGTAAATACTGTAATAGTACCCTACCCCCCTCGTACAGTCACGTAGTCGCAAAAGTTTTTTAGTATTTCATTTTTTTCAAAGCGCCCGTACTTTCAAAAAATGTGTCTTTGGTATCAAAAAATAGCTGAAATTCGGGGCTATTTTTTGATACCTAAGCGCGCATTGTAGCATAAATCAGTGTCGAGAAAAACTCGTTCAAAGCTAGACTACGCAACACTTCGCACCGTCATTATGGGAGTGGGATACTATTACAGTATTTACGGTTGGCTATTTAGTCTGTTTGGCTAGTCCTGAGCCAAGGCTGATACTAGACTAATGTTGTCAGCATAAATATCACAAGTACTAGACTTATACAAAGTTAGACAAATGTCTAATCTTCAAGTTGATTAACAAAAACAGATACAACAATTTTAAAGACGAGAAACCATGGAAAAGAAGATGCTTCCAATAAATGCAAAAAAAAGTTTAAAAGACAAAACTAGTTACCGCAAAAACTGTAATAGTACCCCACCCCCTCGTACAGTCGCGTAGTCGCAAAAGTTTTTTAGTATTTCATTTTTTTCAAAGCGCCCGTACTTTCAAAAAATGCGTCTTTGGTATCAAAAAATAGCTGAAATTGAGGGCTATTTTTTGATACCTAAGCGCGCATTGTAGCATAAATCAGTGTCGAGAAAAACTCGTTCAAAGCTAGACTACGCAACACTTCGCACCGTCATTATGGGAGTGGGATACTATTACAGTATTTACGGTAGTTTTCTTATGTTAATTTGTCTTTTTCAGAGCATCACATTCTGATATTGAAGAGGACTACAAAATGCAAATGAATCAATTGAGATCAGCTTTTGAGGAGACGAGAGCTGATATGAAAAAGGTAAAACATTAGAAAGCTAACAAAATTTCATTAGATCATAAGTTAAACTGAAATCTATTCAAACAAAAGGTTAGCTTACGATTAAAAACGTTAAAACGATTGCTATTAGTTAAATAAACTGTAGTTGTGTTGTCCGTTGATGTCTGTCATTCTGTCAAAGATTTCTGCTAAAGAAAGTCAAACAAATAGCCATTTTCTATAGGATGTTTTCACTGTTTTGCCTATTTTTTTCAATAAACAGTGCTAAAAATCGATTCAGACACTGGTTGGTGGCTAGAGATCTCTCTCTGTCCACTACGGTATTCATCAAGTGTCCAAGCAAACAATCTCTCTTGTGTAATCTCGATGTTCCTAAATATCTCTGTATTTATATTAAAATTTTCTTAGCGCTTAAATATCTTTGATTATATAAATATCTTTAATTCAATTTAGTCAATTTAGGATTGTGAAGCGATGAAACAGAAAGTTTGCGAGGTGCTTGAAGTCCAGAAGTCGTTTAGGCCAATATCCGACGAGGTAGAAGCTGAATTTTAGCTAAAGAATCGACCAAATTCTAGCGAATTTACTTTTTAAAAGCTTGTATTGTACAAAATTGCAACGATTTCAGGATAAGCACAAATCGATGGACCTGGTGGAGAGACGATTCCAGAAAGCTGAATACCAAATGAAGCAAGTCGTTTGCAATCAAGCGCTCGTTCTCAGCAATTCTTGTCTTGATGCCAGGTGATAATTTAATCAACAATTTCTATTTTTTTCTAGAAGAAAACGGCGAAATTTCTCAAAAGAAGCCACCGCTGTTCTCCAAGAATTCTTCAACACCCACGCCGATCATCCCTATCCAACAGATGAAGAAAAAGCGGAATTGGCTAAGAAATGCAATATCACAGTGCAACAGGTTTCTTATGTTTTTATTAATTCAACAAGTTTTAACAACAAAAAAACTGTCAGCAAGATTATATTTAATTTCCTGAAATGTTTTTGGTGATTTTAAACACTTAAATCCTAGATTTATTATCAGATTTTCAAGGTTTAAGATTTGTTAGCTAGTCGAGCTCAAATACTTATCTAATTCTTCTCATTTAGGTCTCGAATTGGTTTGGCAATCGAAGAATTCGGCAAAAGAAACTCCCTCAATTCAGACAATATGTAACAATGCTTCCCGCTCATCAATATTTATCAGGTTAGCAAAAAAAAATGGCATTAAGACAGTAAAGTTTTGAACTTTCTTACATCTTAAAAATCTTAAAAGACTTTTTAGATGTCCCCACTACAAGTTCATTGCATCCATTGACTGGAGGAATTGAAATTGATTCACATCTGATGCCAACGACTCATTTACCCTCTCTAAATGATCAGGTACTGGATTTTTACGTATTTACCGTATTTTCCCTAATAGTAGTGCACCCTGAGCGTCACCTAAATTGCTCGAAATCTCGAGAACCGCTTATCCAAACCTATCGATGTGGGGTCGGAAAATGTAGCTGACGATGAGATCTAGTGGGGGATTTGAGTATTGAGCTTCTGCAAAAGCTTGGAAGCCGTAAAATAGTCACCGACTCGGCTCGCCGGGGTGCACTACGATTAGAGAAAATACGATATATCGATCTTGATCACTTCTACCTCTTCAATCTATCAGCTTTAGACTTATCCATCATATCTCTTCGACAACGTTTCCGATCCAACGAATAGTCAGGTATTGCAAACAATAATAAGATTTGTACGTACGTGTACTCATTGATTTTATACTGTGCTTGACTCATTCATTCCTTTTTAGCTCTCTGGTGTCTATGGTTCTTCGATGGCTAACTTGTACCATCAATAATTCAATACCGTTTTTGATTCATTATTTTAATAAAAACTTCAAAGCATTCTATTATCAGAAAGCTATCTGAATCGGCAGTTCGACTAAGTCCCGTGCTTAGAATTTGTGTCAATTCATACCAGGCCTCTCGACTTTCACAATAGATTCCTTTTCTTATCTTATGTGAAATGTCACAAGCTCTTTGATGTCACATATCTTGTGCTACAATCAGCAGACTGTAAAAGGAATTTTATTGCGAATACTTGTTTAAGCTAATAGCGCAAGGCGTTCTGAAAGCGGAGAAGGCGCAAGTCGTTCTGAAAACGCGTACGCGAAGGCGCAAGGCGTTCTGAGAACGCGTACAACTTTGAGCCCTGTATCCGGGCAATGATTGGTAAGTGATTGCTAAATTTGCGCATCCATTAGCTTCTTTTTTGTCTAGAGAGGGATCAATCAAGAGGTTATCCTTTGCAAATGTTCTTTCACATAACCCTCCTTCCCTCTTCTTTTACCCTAGCAAATTTATATCACCATTGATTCTTTTGACAAGTTGTTACTCGAGCATTTTGTTAACTTTAATGGTTTTTATCTATTATCTTTCATACACATTTGGGCGCTAGAGTAGTTGGGGTGGCAGTGAACAAACAAAAACAAAAAAGCTTGACCCAAAATCAAAATTTTTTCACGATAATCTGCACACAGGGGTTTTTGACTATGCTGAATTGATTAGTAATACTTTTATTCGATTTTGTTAAAGTAAAACATAAAATTGATAAAAAAAACTTATAAAAGTATTATTAAAATGTTATAAAGGTAGGTTAGGACCTGTTTTTCGGCAAATTCTATTCGAGTTTTTACCAAAAATGCTATTAAGTAATAAAATTAATTTCAAAAGTTATAAAAGTATTACTAATCGACTCAGCATAGTCAAAAACCCCTGTGTGCAAGTTTTCGTGGAAAAATATTGATTTTAGGTCAAGTTCCAGTCTGCCCCCAACTACTCTAGTCCCCACATTTGCTTTCAGATGTTCCTCTGGAACATTGCAGTGAACAACCTCTGGAACAACCTTTTTTCTGATCACAGTCGAAACTCCCCACCAAGAAACACTCCAAGACCGGCAATCAGGTCTCTAAACAATTTGTGTTACTTATAAAAGCTTAATGAATTCAAAAAGGACTTTTTAAATACTTTTGATCCACATTGGACAAACTAAAAAGTATAATGGAAATGTTTTTTTTTTCAAGAACCACTGTCAAGACGAAATCAACAAGAGCCCTGAATTGAAAGCGACTGGCTATTGCCAAAAACAGAGAGTAGATGGGATCATTTTGTCGAGCAGGGTGTACTCGAGCTGTATACTCTCTCCACTTGCGGTCAATCACAACGAGGTAATATAATGTTATTAGCGCTTTTACTCTAGTAAGCCTTGATGTATTTTTCGGTCACTTAAGCAATAATGCATTTACGATTAGCAATGATTTACGGTTTATTTTCGTCGTACAGCTGATTGCAGAATTTCGCATTATCGTTGATTGAGAAAATGGGATTTGAAATTTGCTTCAAAACATTACCGAATTTGTTTAAGACGACTATCCAAAAAATGCACAAACATTTTTCAATGAACAACCCGTGGATTAATTGATCAATTTCTCATTTATAAATGAGCTTTGAAAACATACAGCCTATTCACTCTAAGAGATTGTTTAAGAAATTTAGACGTGTTCTTTCATTTGTTCACAATCAATCGCCAAGTAATTTTCGTTTACAAACCAAATCTTTACTTAAAAGTCACCAGCAACGATATCACAAATCAAAAATTCAATTTTCTAGAAAACAGAATCAAAGACGAAAGAATGACGTTTGAAATGCTTTGGACGGGATATAAAAGCTATTAAAAATTGATGAAATTGAAGAATTTGTAGAGAACAATGTGCTCAAAAATACTAAAGAAAAAAAAGCTCGGCCCAGAGAAATGATATGTTATCGATTAAAGAAAAAGATACAATATAATTCATAAAAACAAGATCAAATTTATTCTGCCTAAACTTCGAAATACTAAATAATTCCAGCGTCTTTTGCCATTGAATAGAAAATACCATTCGTTTGAGCGAGTAGGACTTTTGGGGTATCAAATTGGGAGACATTGCCTTGATCAAGCACAAGAATTCGATCAGAGTCCATCACGGTGTCCAAACTGAAAATGGATCTTGAACTTGATAAATTTCATGCTAGTTAGCTTTTAAATTGAAGCTAAGCCTAAGCCCAATGACACTGGATGAACACTGGATGACTTTATTATGCTCGAAGCTGACTGGGATCGACCGGGTACTTTTTGAAGCCACACTGATAGCTATGGAATTCCATTCAGATAACTTTTGTAAAGCCCTAACTATTGTCTTTCCTCAATTTATCCACTCACCGATGAGCAATGGTGAGCACTGTGCAATGCTTGAATTGTTCTCGAATCGTTTTCTGAATAAGCGCATCGGTCTCCATATCGACAGCTGCAGCCGCTTCGTCGAGAATCAAAATCTTCGTCTTGCGCAACAAAGCCCTCGCCAAACAAAGCAATTGTCGTTGGCCAACACTGGAAATTCAATAATTTTCTTTACCAATCCTTTCAAACCTCAGATTCTCTCCTCCTTCGGTGATCTTGTGGTGAAGTTTATTGGGTAGATCACCGACAAACGAGTCAAGATGAGCGTTTTGTAGTGATCTCCAGATCTCGTCATCGTCATGAGTGCTAAATTCGGATCATTTTTGAATCACAAAGCTAATTGCTAGCTAGATAAACAGCAAATTTTTGAATTCTCTAATGTCTACAAGTTTACCTGAATGGATCCAAGTTGATTCTAAGTGTCCCCGAGAACAGTACCGGATCTTGGGGTACGATGGTGAGACGAGAGCGAAGACTCTGAAAACTTTATGATTATTTTGTCTAATAAACTACGAGACACCAACCTCAAGCGTGATCTTTGAAATGTTAACATCATCAATGTAAATCGATCCACCATCAGCCTCAACGATTCGGAAAAGAGCAAGAGTCAACGAAGATTTTCCTGAAAGGCATAAAAAGAAATTGACTCATAGTTCTCAACGCACCAGCTCCCGTTCTTCCAACGATACCGATTTTTTCATTCGGCTCAATCTCAACATTAATTCCCTTAAGAACCAAGTCAAGACCTTCACGATATCTGAAAGAATTCTTTAAAAAAAATTCCATATATTAAAGCACACCTCAATGCATAATCCTTAAATACCACTTTTCCCTCTGATGGCCAATTTGGATCTTTCGGCTTTTGAGTGGAATTTTGTCCTTCTGTAGGTGTCTCGCTGTACTCTTTGATCCTTTCAACAGCCACAATGTTTGTCTCCAGTTCACTTGTCATCCTCACGGCCCAGTTCAACGTTTGGGTGATCTTAATGAAAACAATTTTGACTAATTTTCTAATTACAACTTACATTTAAAGCGTATGAGACGGAGAGACCGACAAGACCGGCTGAAAGTCCGGGTGAGTCGCGGAAGAGTGCAGCAAAGAGAGCCGCAAAGAGCACAATCATGTTACCAACGAGCTCGAGTCGAACAGCCAACCATCTGAATAGCAATTGGAATTTGATTTCTATGCAAATTACCTGTTAGCTACGATGCTTGGATAGTAAGTGGCCAGGTTTTCATCGACTCTCCTTGCCGATTCATCGATGAACTTCTCAACGACATTGTAGGCTCTGATGGATGAAGCGCCTTGAATGGATTCCTAAAAGTTGTTCAGTTATTTATCCCAATAAAATTTAGCATTACAAAATGCAATATATTCAACCGACAAGCGTCAATATATTTACCTGGAAATGTGAATAGATCGGCGATCTCGTCGTCGACTCCAATCTTTTCAACTGTCTCGATGTCGATACATAGAAGCGCTAAAATTTTCTTCATTATTCAAATCCTGTCACCAGATTTCTGATTGATTTTTCAATCAGAAATCTTTTCAATGAGATAGGGTGAAGTGGAAGGGAAGCTAAACTGAAAAACCCGTCGGCATGCACAAAAACCCAACAAAACCACCAACACCACAAAACCAAAGAAACAAGAAAAGTGCGAAAAAGTTATGAATCAATATAAATCTGTTAAATCTGTTAAATTGTTGATTCACGACTTTTTGCGAATGAGAAAACAGATATCAGCAATACAAGAGCAGGGACAAATGACAAGAGAATTCAGCGAACCAAGACAGCGATGTAGATAAGTGCCAATGGGAGGGTCGACGCGACGAAGAAAGGCATTGTCCATGAGATCACTGACAGAATCTCTCCGACAACTATCAATGTCCGTGTGAATGTGAGAAGAGATCGAGGAACAGCCACATCCAGCGCGTCAACATCCTGTTCATTTTTGAGTCTCTTATAAGGTTTTTAAATTTGACATAAGCTAGACAGCAACATTTTCTAGATATTAATCCAAAGCCGGACAGAAATTAGGAGTTATAGAACCTTTGAAGGAGTTTAGACGTGCGTAAATGATTCATTTGATCTATACTTAAACTAACAGCTGAGGTACAGCTTTAAACGCATTGGCATAGTAGATAAATAATCCAGAATTTAGGTACTATTTCTAAATTCCTATATTTTCAAGTTCAGTTAACTGGTTCTATAACTCGAAAGTCAAAAGACACAGAGTAAAACATTAAAAGGCAAGAGTAACAGTGCAGTGTGAGTAACATTGAGATCAGAAAAAAAGAAGGTGCCGACCAGGGAGAAGTAGTAGAAGACGAGAGCTGCAACGGTGGGCCACATCGCGTGTGGTGTTGCGTAGAAAGAGACGAGGAGGATGGTCGCCGTTTGCACAATCGCCCCGACGAACACTTGCACGGTGCCCGGCAATCGCGAATCGCACATATCCACATCCTGTAGCATGCATAATTTGCTCAAAAAAAATCTACATGCTAGAAGAGAGAAATCACAACATTGAACATTTCAAGTTTCAAAAGCAAAATTTTCTGGAAGCCAATGGCTTTCGGCTTTTCAAAAATTAATTTGAAGATAGATCAGCGACGAAATTTGAAGATAGATTTCGCGGAGTTGAGCTTCTCCAGATTGTTAGCTTAATTCCAGGTTGTTCTCACTTAATCTACCTAGCCAAAAACCTTGGTTCCAGTAAAAAATCATGACCATGCTGGGTTTTTCTTTTTTCAGGGAAAACCACACGACGAGCATCTCATTCATTCCAAAGAATTCAAGCCTCTTCGCTCACCAAGACGAGAAAATAGACGATGAAGAGTAGAGCGAATGGGATGAGCACAGTGGGCGTTGAGTAGGCGATGACGAAAACGGTGGCCACCACTTGGAACACCGTCAACGCCATTGAGCGAATCGTTTGCGGCAAAGTTGTATCGACTGCGTCCACGTCCCGGAATAGTTTTCATTTATCCGGTTTTTCATTGCCAGAATCTTAGAGAATTTTAAAGAAAGCAAAAAGGTTGCAAGGATTTCACAAAATCATGCGACGAGAAAGCATTCCAAATGACGATTGCATCTTGATCCATCTTGACCTTAACAATTCAAAAAAAAATGCATCATGCTGGAGTGGCAGAGAAAGAGGAGAAGCTGAAGGAAAAGGGTGGGGCAAAATAAGATTTGCTACGATTGTAGGAGTTGAAATGGCTTTTGTAAAAGTGAAACTAGAGCCCTGACTCAAAAAGTTTTGAACTTGGACTCAATTTTTGTACGGTTTTTGACCAACTTTTCAACTCCCACAGCTTATTCTAAAGTCTTGGCATCTCACAGGCGTACCAAGATGATCATATTGATGGAGATTGCGCAGGCTGTTGGTAGAGATGCTTGCGGAGAGACGTAGAGCATGATCATCACCGCTAACAACACTTCACCACTCGCGTACAGAAATTCGCCGATCGCCTCCGGCAATTCGCTATCCAATGTCTTGATATCCTGTAGAAATATCTATTCTCTTAGCTTTCTAAATTTTCTTTGAAGCTTTTCCACCATCACATGCACCAATTTCCATCGCCAAAGTGCTTTCAGTGACGATCGAGAAGTATAAGAAGGAATTCGGGTATAGAGCTCATGCAGCATCAATAAAGAAAGATTAAAATGAAAAAGAAAAGAGAAAAGATTAATGGAAATGTAAATTTATTATAATTCTTAGGCTGAAAATCAGTTTTTTGATTGTTTTCTAAAATTCCACCAACCTTTCCGAAACGATTAAGAATTCGACCCAAAGGAGTCACATCGAAGAACATCATTGGATTGTTGAGAATGTTGCGAAGGAAACCTTGAAATTTTATAGTTTAAAGTACGTAACACAACTGTTTACATAAGTAAGCTTTTGAAAACTATGAGAAACAAACCTTCGTGAAGAAGTCGCGAAGCCCGAACCATGCCAAGAGCCATGATGATTGAAGCCGCACAAATCGAGAAAGCTAAAACACTCAAAATTCTTAGAATTGACATCTTAATATCTAGTAAAATCTGCAATTTCGTAGTTTCCTACTATTCAAATCCAATACCTTGCCCAACTCCTAGACATGCGTAGACAAAAAGCCGGTATCTCGTCTGTTCACCGCCGTTCACTCCCTCTTGAATCTTCTTCGCGTCGTCTGACCAACGAGCCAACCACAAATTCGACATCACCTAAAAGTTTGGATCATTTAATACTTAAAAATCCTCCATTGTAGATTAACAAAAGCTTTTTTCAATCTCTAGTCACTTACCCCAAGAATACTGCTGAAAACGTAAACTGAGAAGAACAACAAAGCGATGGAATAACCAATCGCTTGAAGATACGTCAAGTAGACTGTCCATTTCACCTATAATATGTATATAAATCTAGATTTCTGATTGTCTCTCACCTTCCCCGTTTCCATAGCCTCTTTCTCGGTGAGTTTTCCCTTTGCTGCATCCTTTTTCGGTGTGGCTTCTTTACCCAACAAGGCTTTCTTTTCATCATCTTTTGTTACTTCAGTTTTTTCTTCTTTTTGACCACCATTTTGTTTTGCCAGAGCATCAGATAATGGTGTCTAAAGTTGAAATGGTTCATGTAAAGTTCAATAACATTTCTAATTCTAGGCTTAAACTTACTTTTGGACGAACTGGTGAAGCTGGTTCCTTATTGAGGCTTTCAGTAGAAGAATGAACCTAAAATTTTTGATAAAAGCATCATTTTAAAAGAAATCTATTTAATTGGAATCTATTTATTACTATTTTCTGAAAACTACCTGACTAATTTGCGATTCGATTCGTTTTCTCTTATCCGGGGAAAGCTTCTCGATCTCGCTAAGCAACTCATTCATATCTTGGGCTAAAAATGAATCTAATAGTAAGATAAAAGGTATTAAAATCATAAGATCAGTTATTATTTTCCAAAAAACGAACCATCTTCTCCAAATGAAACCGATCGTCCACGTGTTTTCACTTCTTCAACCAAATATTCTTCCAGGAATTCCCCGAAAGCCCCCTGTGATGACATCAATTCTTTATAGGTTCCGCGCTCAGAGATTTTCCCGTCTGAAAACAATACAAATTAATATAAATTTCGCAATTTCACCTTTCATGACAACGATTTGATCGCAGTATTTGAGGTGGTGAAGTCCGTGGAGTGACTAGGACTCTTGTAGCATGTTTCAGAAGGCCGGTAGATGAGGCTAAAAGGAAAATTTCTTTGTCTTTGTTTACCTTCGAGAATTCGCTTTGATTTCAAAAATTTTAAATCTTCCACTTACAGATAACTTTTTCGAAAATATGCTTCCCAACATGGGCATCAACGGCTGAGAGTGGGTCGTCCAACAGGATCACATCACAATTTGCATAGACGGCTCGAGCCAAGGAAACTCGTTGTTTTTGTCCTCCTGACAAGTTGATTCCCTAAAGTTTTAGAATATTAAACTGCTAAGCCAATTTATGATTTCAAAAGCTATAAAACTTTGTCAAGTTCAAGAAAGCTTTTACTTACAGGGTAGCCCATAATATCTTACGCCTTATATGAAGGCAGATTAAGTCGAAAATGTGTCAGATTACTTAAAATTTGTTATAATTTATTTCATTTTTATAAGATATTTACATTTAAGATGTAACACACATTATGGGCCACCCTATGCTAACCTTTTCTCCAATCTCGGTCATATCCTCGGCTGGTAGAGCCGCAAAGTCAGGCTTCAGAGCACAAGCTTCAACCACCTAAAACAATTTAAGAATTGCAAAGGTTTCCTTATCAATTTTATTTGTTTACTTAGGGTTCTCAACTCACCGATTCATAGAAGTCCCTGTTCATCGGCTTATTGAAGAGAATGTTGTCCCGTAACGGCATATTCTGTATCCAAGCTTGTTGTGGAACGTAGGCCACATTCCCCATCACGTCCACCGAGCCACCAACACGATTCATTTCACCTAAATATCAAATTTTGAATTCCTTTATTTATTTACTTACCTAGAATTGCACTTAAAATGCTACTCTTCCCACTGCCGACTTTGCCTACTATTGCCACAAGACTTCCACGAGGAATCGACATGTCAATCCCGTTCAACAAAGGATTTTCACTTGACGACTCCCAGGTAAAAGAGCCATTGTCAATTCGAATAGCTTCATCTAAAAAATTGATTAAACTTCATCTAAAAAGTTGTTAAGTCCAACAAACCACTAGTATCCTTTGCATTTAGAGCTTGTGGGGCCATTTCTTCTTCAGCAAAGAATGCTTTCAAGCGTTTATTCGAGACATGGCATTGGATGGCTTGACTGAATATTTTAATTAAATTCCCGCAACAATTTTTGTGTAAACCTGAAAATCATGGCAAAGATAGCGAGTGGGAAACGGAGAATGTTGAAGAGAGTGAGAGCGACGAAGGTGATTTGCGGGGTCAGCACGTTGTTTTCCGGATCGATCGTCACGTAGACTCCGAAAGTCAGAACAGCTACCTAGAAAGAATATTTTTAATTTTAGTTTTACAATATTAGTACCTCAATACTAGTTACATCTAATTTATTAACAACAACTCACCAAGAATGGAGCACAACTCCAGGAGAGGGTCGTTGCCGCATTGAGATAGGCCAACTTTTTGAGCACGGCAATCTCCTTCATTCTGATCTGAAAATTTTAGATGTTGATCTTTCACCAAGTTACAATTGTCAAATCCAAACCCTTTCCTTAGCTTTAACAAACCTCTAACACCATTTGTTCCATGCTTTTCTCCCAGGCGTACAACTTGAGCACTTTGATTCCGTTCAGAATCTCCGACATCATTTTCAAGCGTTCATCCTTGTGTTTCATTTGCTCTTGCTAAAATATTTTGATGTAAAAGTTCAATTCTTCAGCTTACTTGACAATTTCTCATTTTGATTGAGATCCAAGAGTTGACAGGGACCATGAGGATGAGAATGATGATTCCAACCAACACAGAAAAGCCGAGGAGTCTCCACAAGAAGTAGATTGAGAGCAAAACCTAAAAAAATGCAAATAAGACCGGTATATTGATGTTTTATTTTGAGAATTAAACTGATTATCTTGTACCTGAAGAGGAGCCGACCAGAATAGCATCACGAAAGTGGTCATATCCTGGAATCGTTGAATATCCACCGTCATCAGATTCACAATCTCTCCTACGGTTCTCGTTTTTCGGGCATTGTTTGATAAAGATAAAGCCTGCAATCTCATTTTTCAAAGATTTACAACAAAAAGTGTACCTTTTTGTACACAGCTGATGTGAGCACTGATCTGATATTCATGCCGAGTCGGAACATACCGTGAAAGTATTGGTGAAGGATCTAAGCTTGATTAAGAATTTCTTTATCATACAATTAGAGTTTTTAGAAATTTAGATAATCGATAGATTAAAATTTTGATTTAAAAATCAATAAATATAATAACCAACCATTGACTGAATGAGAGCCACAATGAACATCAACGAAGCAATGGCAATTCCCACCCACATCGGTTGGTTTTTGCTCTAAAGTAGTTTATTAATAAAGTTTACTAAAAACCTGAATAGTACCTGAATGAATGTGATCAACTGTTTCAGGAGTTCCGGTGCAGCAAATTGAAGAAGATCGAAGATAAACTTGTAGGCACCAGCACAAAGAAATGTCATCTTGTAAGTCCTGAAGATTGGTCCCAAAATCGACGGGAATTCTTTCTCATTCAGCCCATCTTCTTTCACTTCAATCTTTAGTGGATCCCTGACCGAAACATTTGGTTCAGCGATATTCAATCCAGCCATTGCTCGTCGTTTCTCTTGATAAGCTGAAATTAAATTTGTTTGATAAGCTGAAATACAAAAGCGTACCTTTCTGTGGTGGTAGGAAGTTTCTCATAAAAGGGGAGATCAAGTTCTGGGTTTGATCTCGTTCATTAAGATCCCAGAGGTCTTCTCGTGTTAGTGGTTTTTGATTGCCCAATGATGCGAGCGCAGTGAACCATTGGAAAGTGATTTGATTGAGAAACGAGGATTGAAGTTCCGGGCATTCGCTTTTCTAAAATATACAAGCAGATAAAGTAGCTTAAATTTTATCCGTAAGTTTTAGAATCACAGCAAAATTGAATCATAAACTTTGGCTCAAGCTTTATTCATTAACATTTACTTACCCCTCCATACTGTGACTTGGGCAAATCGGCGAAACAAGAGAGGATCAACTCGAGCACGTAGATCGGATAACAGATGAGAAATAGGGTAAACCGTAGATGGTTTACTGATTTTGCATATGGTTCCTAGGCAATAATTTTTTTTTGAGTACAATTTTAACTCACTCCATGCCACCAGAGACTCAAGATGTAGCGAAACTCGGGGAATCCGCAGAGAACACACAAAAGCCAGTAGTTGAAGAGGACTCCTGATGCGACAAGCCCGCGATTTCTTGAGGCTATCAACAACACCAGGGCTGCACAAGCTCCTGAAACATTTTAATAGATAACTTAAAGTTTAAGGCTTCAAAGCACCTAGATATTGTGGCAAATCTCCAATCAGATATGTCCTTGCATCTTTGTCCCCTTCAAAAGCTTGCACGAGATTGTAGAGAAAAGAAATGGTGAGATCAATCACTAGCACAACGCAAAAATACTAAAACAAAGTATTTTTAGAGAATGCGAAACAACTCACAATTCGAAGAGTGATCGGCGCGAAGCTGCGCAACTTCGCATTCCCGCTCTTGTAGAGATCATAGAGGACAGCAGGGCTGAAAATTTGCATAAGAATAGATTATACTTAAGGGTTTTAAAAAATGACTTACCTAAAGACAAGAATGAACAGAAATGGGATCCAGCTCAGCTCCAAGTGTTGAGTACACTCCGTGACGTGTGGGATCGCAAATGATGAGGCTGGAGAAGTTGTGTTGTGGAAGATCTGCAAAAGCTATTGGTAGCTTATAAATCTATCCTTTAAGATTAAAGATTTTGATTTTTAAGATTTTAAGATTAAATGCAAAGTAAAAGTCTTTTAAAGCGTCTGTTTTGAAGCCAAATTTTCTAGGAGAGGCACGAACTCAAGGTAAGCTTTTGTCTGGAGACCTAGTGCACTTGATAAAACCTGAATAACCAATTCCTACTTTGCAAGCCGCCATAATGTAATTAGTTGCAAAATGCTAAAAGTTACTCCAAAAGAAAAAGAAAACAAAAAGCTATAACAGGGACCGAAAGCCATTTGGCAAATTTTGGTTTCAGATTCGGATTCCTCATACCCGATTCTATAAAGTGACAAAAGCTCACCTTGAGTTCGTTCCTTTCCCTAATAAGTTAATGCTGGATAAATAAAATAAAATATCATATAATCCACCAACCCTGTACTCATCCTCCCCGCAAAGATATTGGTGTATCGTGGGGAGAAGCATTTTTCAGACAAAAAGCAAATCCCCGACTATGCTCGTCGCTTTCTTCCAATCATAAGGTAAAATTCCCGGAAATACTGAAAGCTGGAATAAGTTTACAGAAATAAAAACAAAATCATTCAAAATAAGCTGTTAAAACAAAAATTGAGGCAGAAATTTTTAGGAAGCTCAGCCAAGATCAACCAAATCTTGAACGGTTCCTTATGACAATCTGTAGTGAAAATTAGGCTTGGGAATGTTACCGAAAGAATTATATTGAGCTAATGATTAAAACTAGTTTAAATATTCAAATGCAGGAACTTTGCTTAAATGCTAAAAATCGATTCATCGACTTTCTGAACAATTCCCAGCTAAGATATAAAAGCCATAAGTGATTCGAAAATCTTGTTCTGGCAAAAAGCAGATGTAAACAAGAATTTATTTTCTTCACTAGATCTAATCTAATTTGAAAAAAAGATCTTTTCCTTTCAATTCCTTTTCATTCCGATAGTTTACACAATCTCCATCCATCTGTATCGCTTCGCCCTTTTGTATTATCCAAAATGATTCATTTCTTTTTCGTCAAGAGAACGGCGATTCGAGGGAATAAATTGAAAGGACAAAATTTAAAGCAGAAATTCGAAAATGTTCGAAAAGAAACAACAGAAACAGAAATTTCGCAATTATAAGCTGGTATGTAAGTCTTCCTAAAATCTAAGCAAAATAACAAGCTTAGCGAGGTATGTCAAAAAAAAATCATCCACCAACAGTAGAAATAACAATTCTAGCTTTAAGCCTCAGTTTGATATGTTTTTTCACGTTATTGTAAACAAAATTATTGGCAATAGAAGCTTTCAGGACTATTGTAAAGCTTCACAAAAGCAGAAATCTGGCAAATTTTGTAAATGCCTCAGAAATGCTGAAGCTGTTTTAACAAATGACAATTCCCGCGAGTTCTAATAAAAAGCTTTGAACATAAAAAGTGTCGATGAGAATGAGAAAAAGACTTTTCCCTCTTTCCCTTTCCCGCCTCAATACACGATGAACACAAACTACAAAATAGAGAGAAAGGCCCAGAGGAATTGGAAAAAGAAAAGAATTGAGCCCAAATATGGCTTCTTTGAGAAAGAGATGGACTTGATGAAAATGCCATTTTGAGGGACGAATTGTAAGCAAAACTGGCAAAAATATACTACAAAATATGCAATGAAATTTGAAAAGTTATCAGAAACAGATGAAGTTTAAAATCAGAAAAAGTGGACTTTTACGGTTAACGGCGGGGGTGCGATTATCGGCGGGGGCCAATTCTTTGACCAACTTGCAGCCCGATTTTAGATAGTTTTTTGTTAATATCTTTTGATAAAACAAATAGTTTCTAAAAGCTGACATTCTAAGCTATCTAAATCTTATTAAAACTTCCTGATCCGACAAGTTTAAGATGCTTAAAAATGAGCTGCAAGTTGGCCAAAAAGTTCGGCCCCGCCGTTAACCGTAAAGATCCGAAAAAGTCAATATCAGAATCAGAAAAAGTTTAGTTCTAGATTCCTAGCTTTCATAAGCATTCAAAAATTGGATTTTTTTGAAGTTTTTTTTTTGTAAATGTTCGAATCAAAGAGACACTATTTGCTTTTTACATGCATGCATTTGATTGAAGTTGAAATGGCGATTCGATTCAACAAATAGAGCACACGAGAACCAAAAATGGATGTATAGAAAAAATAGTCGAAAATGACACTAATCTTTTGGTACCCAAACAGGAGCCTTGTCAAAGAGTCAATAAAAGAAAGTTCAGAAGAATCATGTCAAAATTTAGGAGTGAATAGAATTTTTGTGAACTTCAAGAAATTCTGATACTTATCAATCAAATCCAGAAAGAATTGAGAATTGGAAATTGTGCTAAAGATGTGTTTTTGATTAAAGTGAGAGCTGGAACTGGCCTAGCACTGATTTGCGCTTCTTTTCAGGATCTGCTAAGCACGAATTATTTAACACATTCACGACAATGATTTTTGATTTTCTCGTAAGTTATTTCCCTTTCAGCTCGTCTAAAAACGTTCACAGGTAACCGATTTACTTAAGTTAGGGCTCAAAATGAAGTTCATAACTCTCTTCAAAGTCAATATTTTTTCAAACAGTTTCCAAATCAATGATCCTCAAACATTTCTATTCATTTTGGGCCCTAACTTAAGTAAATCGGTTGCCTGTGAATGTTTTTAGACGAGCTGGAAGGGAAATAGCTTACGTGAAAATCAAAAAACATTGTCATGAATACCGTATTCTCTCTAATAGTAGTGCGCACTACTATTTTTTCAACCTCCTTCTGGACCGCAATACTATTAGAGAGTGCACTACTATTAAAGAGTTTTATCATTTACCAAAGTAAGACAGATATAAGATTTGTTCCAAAAATTCTTGCAAAAAAGCAACTTTCTAAAAATTTATTGGCTTCTGATAACAAAAAGTTAACTAAACAAAAAAAAATCTACAACAGAATCATCATCCTTATCCAGTTCAATATTTTTGCGTTGATCCTTTACTCCGTTGATCGATTGTTCGAGACGAGCATTGGCGAGAAGTGTTGCTCCTCCAGGAATCGGTCCTTCTTTTTTGAAGCAATTGAAGCAACCAATTCCTCATCACCTTTCCACATTAACTTGGCTCGGAACTGAATCATTTTTCGTGTCACTCGCATCTTCTTTGCCCGCATTTCTTGAATCCAAGCAAGAAGATCCTTGTCAAAATCGATATCCTTGAGCTTTCATCCACCGCCTTTTCACCCACCGTTTTTTTCCTTTTCCGTGATCTCTGTTTTGTTTCTCGAGTTCTTCCTTTTGCTGACACCATTTTTGGATGTTTTGACGACTGACTCCAAATTTTCGCGCTGCAGCCGACTTATCCATTATTTTTTCAGCAAAATCAATCGCTTTCAGCTTTGTTTGAATGTCGAAACATCGCTTTTTCGCGGATGATGCATCCGATTCACACGAAGACTCCTCGGCAACATCGTTGGTCATGTTGTAGCCGGCATTTTGCTCGGTCACTTGATTGTCAATCCTCCTGAAGAATTCCACATGTTCCTCGTGTTCACGACGAGCTCGAAAATTTTCGACTTGATCAAGCGAGTTCCCATCGAGATCCATACCTAAAGAAAAAGATTATTTAGACAATAGTAAAGGTGGCCAACAAAAATTATATAATATTAAAAGTAAACATGATGGATTATTTTCTAGGATTGAGCTTTGATAAACATAAAGTTAAGCGCCGCAAAAGGCAAGTCAATCTCAAAATTTATACAGGTATATAAGAGCAAAAAATAACTATAGCTTTGCGCGAACTTCGTAAGCAAATTTGAGTTAATGTGCCACTAAAACAAGGTGTGGAAACAATAAAAAGATGTTTTTGCACTATGCACAACAATTTCAGTTTTTTGCTAACTTTTTCAGGTGAATATAGTTAACAAATGAATAAAAAAAAGCCTCACTTTTGCTTGCTTGAATAGCTTTAGAATGTCACATAAACATAAAGATATTCAGTCAAAAAGGTTTAGATGAAAAAGAGACACTATAAATGCAAATTTTCAAGGGTGCACTACTATTTTTTCAACCCCCTCTCGGACCACACTACTATTATAGAGTGCACTACTATTAGAGAGAATACGGTATGTTAAAAAGCAGGGCTAAACTATGACTTTATGTTCGTGATTTTTGAAGATCTCACAAAAGAGGATCAAAATTAGAAATTCCTTGAAGATCTTAGATAGTTAGAAAAGAAAAATTCTTTGTTAAAATCCAAAAATAGCCGTTTCACAGGTTTACCAATAACAAAAAGTGCTTAAATAACAAATAACAATAACTTAAATAACAACCAATAACAAAGAAAAAGTGTTCAATTTGTCAAGGCTGAAACAAAAAAAGTGAGATATACGATCGGATGGTTGTTGGATGGTCAAGAGAAAAGAAAAGAGAGAGAAAGTGATGGCCTTGTTGGTTGTTGGGGAATCGGAGAGTTCATGGGGGCATGAGAGCGGCGCCGACAAAGATGAGAGTTCACCCCCATCTCCTCCAAGCCTTCCCCTCCTTTACTTTCCTTCAATTCCCATTACGTTCGATAATCGGCGTACTACCAAAAAACGTTAAACCCCACTGCTCAAATTTCTCTCAACACCGATAAACATCAAGAAAAGTATTGCAAGTTCGAAAGGGAACAGTGTTTTCCAAAAATATCAACAAATTTGAGATAAGAATAAGATACTTGAGATAAGAAAAGGAAACATTTGGCTATAAAGTCCTTGAACAAGCAAATTTGTAATGTTTTACTTTTTTGGTTTTACTTGACACTAAGAATTGTCAGAGTTAAAAACTTGAACACTTCCGGAAAAGAAAGGAAATCAATTGTTCCAAATCTAGAAAAGATTACTTAAATTCTTATCTTATAACTTAAGATTTCAAGAAATAAAGGATTTTGACTTTCATTGAATGTTGCATGAGAGCTAACATTGTGGGTGAGAGCTAAAAAGAAAATTCTCAACTCTCGGCTTCGGCGATCAATTGTGCAGAGGAGCTGAAAGGGTAAAAGAAAAAAAAAAAGGAAAACGGCACTGAAATGAGAGAAGAGAAAAAACATAGAAAAAGCAATCCATCAACAACAAAAAAAACAACAAAATTGAACATAGAACGGAATTTGATAAAATTTTTTGTAATATTAGGTTTTCGAAACATTGAAATTTCGTTTTTTAGCAACAACAAAATTTATTCGTAAAAATCAACTAGAAACAGTTAATCAACAATATATTCCCCACAGCTATCAATAACATTTTTCTATCTTTGACGCAAATTATGGATACTCTCTTGAAAGAATTGTGCTGGTTTTGATTGAAAGAAAGCAGAGACCTATTTTTTTGATGTCGTCAATGCTCTGGAACTTGTGGCTTTCGAGTGAATGCCGCATACTTCGAAAGAAATGGTAGTCAGACGGGGCAATATCTGGACTATAAGGCGGATGAACTAGAAGTTCCCAGCCCAATTGCTCAATCTTCTCTTGCGTAATTTTGGCAACGTGTGGACGGGCATTGTCTTGTAACAATCGCACCGTTGTCGGATCAATTCCTTTTGAGCGAAGTACCGCGTCCACGCAATCTAGTTGTTGAACGTAAAGATTTGCATCAACAGTCTGATCAGAAATTAACACTTCGAAATGAACCAGGCCTCGGGCATTCCACCAAACCGACAGCATAACTTTTTTTTCCGTGAAAATCGGGTTTAGGTGTTGGCTTTCGAATTTCATCCGGGTCTAGCCATTAGCTTATCCTTGTAATATTGTCATAATGAATCCATTTCTTATCAGAAGTTAAAATTCCATCTCAAAATCCACTATTCTTGGAAACTCGAAGCAAATTCCCTGAACAAAGAACTCTGATGGCTTTGCTTGCATCGCTTAGTGAATGTGGAATCCATTTTCTAGCTTTATTGAGCTTGCCCAATTCATGCAAATGGTTTTCGATTGTTTTATGATCACAATTAAAATATTCCGCAAGTTCATGTGTAGTCTTTGTCGGATCACTTTCGATTCTCTGCTTCAGCCTGTGAGCGGTGTCCTCGTTCCACATCTTCCAGACTTCCGTCACCCTTTCGAAACCTTTTGAACCAGTTTTCATAAAATAGTCAGATTTCTGAGTTCTCCCAAGAATGGCTCAATCTCTCAGCTTAGCTCAGTACTCTAGCTCAGTACCTGTAACAAAGATCAGCTCTCGATTAAGGCAAAAACAAATTACTTCAAATCCCAATTGTACTGAGAAAATCTCCGCCAATTAGTGAAAAATATTTTTAGCTCTTTGAGTAAACAAAGTATCAAGGGAAATAAATTGTAAAAAAACTATGATTACTTTTTTTGAACAAAAACCACCCGAGAAAAACTGTCAAAAATGCTATAGCAACGCCATCCAAAAAGCCCGACATTGCACGGATTAACTAAGAGGGAATTCTTCTGAAAAAAAATACAAAGTATTAAAGAATTTGCCTCAAAAATATGGATTAAATAGGAATTTGAGGGAAATTTTTTCCAGAACGATTAACGGTTACATTCTTTCTCGAAAACGCAACACAGCTGAGCTTATCAGAAAAGAAGAAAGTTACGAGAGACGGACGAGACAAAATGTTCAGATTTAAGATCAATTTTGCAGAAGACTAATGGAAAAGGCAAGAACTAAACTAATTTTTCTGTGATAAAAGCATCTTTGGACTTTGTATTGTTGTTAAGCTGTGATAAGCTGAATGTTAAAGAAGATTAGAAGTTTTTAAAGTTCAGAACTATTTAGCTAGAGTTTATTGATCTTTACTAGGTTTAAAAATTCAAAAATTTTCAATATCTTTATTGAAAAACAATCTTAGAAAAGAATCTAATACCCTTTGAGTCTAAAATTCGGTAATTGATTATGGCATTCGTCTTTGACGAGCTTTTCCTACAGATAGAGGTCTACAAAACTTAATACTCAAAGCAAAATTCTAAACTCTTTGACATTCAAAAATGCTTTTGTAGATTAAATTTAGTTTTTTTTTCTTTTAGTTACCCTTTCTTTTGTATAACTACTTTTATCGAGAATAAGAGAAACAAGTGAGTAACTTGAGATGGAATACACTTTTGCAGTGAAAGCAGAGAAAGAAAAATCAAGGGCCACAACAATCGCCCCCTCAAAACGCCCTTGGAACAATGAAGAAATGAAAAGTGAGCCTTAGAAATGGTTTACCTTTTTGTTCATTTCCGATTGTCTACACTACACTTCCTGTCTTAAAAAGGGTCATAAAATGACGCCAAAAGGATGACTCGATTTCTTCAAAGATTTGCTTCAAATTTATGTTGTATTAAATAAAAACTGGACAAAACTATTCTTAGAATGGTATGTGTTCACCTTAACGATATTGCTATCATATTTTTTAAAATACACCACAATTACGTGAGAGATGAAAACTAGAACTGAAGATGTTTACTAAACTTCTATGATATTAAGCCAGAGAATGACAATAATGAAATATGATAAATGCATTCATTTTATCAAAATTTAAATTGAAAGCTATTAAAGTTTAGAAATGATTGATTGGATAAAGCTGAACTGACAATTTGATTCGAAAATGATCTCGAAAAACCTAAGTTTGTCTATGTCAAAAATTATTCTGAAATTTAACTCAAGCTCACGCGCTGTCATTTGCCAGCTTTATCTGTTAAAAATACATTAGAATATCTTTTAATAAATCTAATACAGTCGAACTTCTCTATAACGATTTTGAAACGCTAAAAGATGTCCTTAATTTCTGCATAGCTGCCCAATTAGTTGCACTCGTTAAACTTTTGAAGTACCGCCCCCAAGTCTCTCAAAAAGGGACCAAAAATTTTTATATAACGACTCTAAAACGTGCCCCACATTTTCTGCGTTTCTGTGTGCGGGCAACGAGTGCTATACTTTTGAAGTATCGCCCTCAAGTGTTTCCCAAAAAGTGTCCCCAAAGTGTCCCCATATGGGAACACTTTTTAATACTGAAATGCTTCGTTTTCTTTTTTCTCTCGAGTTTTTTAAAATTCTGTGATAAACAAAATTTTTTAAACTCTTTCATATTAAATTTTCTCTATCACAGAATTTTCAAAAAAGCTCGAGAGAAAAAGAAAATGAAGCATTTCAGTATTAAAAAGTACATATGGGGACACTTTTTGAGAGACTTGGGGGCGGTACTTCAAAAGTATAACGAGTGCAACTAATTGGGCAACTATGCAGAAATTAAGGGCAGCTTTTAGCCATTTCAATTTCAGTATCAAAAAGTGTTCCCATATGGGGACACTTTGGGGACACTTTTTGGGAAACATTTGAGGGCGATACTTCAAAAGTATAGCACTCTTTGCCCGCACACAGAAACGCAGAAAATGTGGGGCATGTTTTAGAAACGTTATATAAAAATTCTTGGTCTCTTCGATATCGCTATAGTGATGTTCAACTGTATCTCCCATAAGCAATGGTTCAAGTGAAGTAGAATTTATTAAAGCTAAAGGTAAGTACTTGGCAGATAGAAGGGATGGAAAGAGTTGAAGATCGAAAGAAGGAAATGTTCGTTGTTGGGGTCAATGAAGGTGAGTGTGGAGATGGAAAGAGGAAGACAAACAAACAGACATGTTGAGGGAACTTTTCTTCCATTCCCTTTCACTACTCCGCTTTACCCCTAGAGTTTTTCTTTGAAAAGTTACGAGATGAATCAAACTTAAACTTTAACATCAAAAAACCGATTTTGATCATCGTTCTCTGGTTTTCTTTTGAGTCAATCAGTTGATTACAATTGAAAATTTATTGAGATCAAAATAAAACATAAATTTTCTAAGTCTATTCGTCAAGCATTGTCCCGTGATGCATGTGAAATTCATGTGAGAATTGTTGATTCAGCATTTCTTTGAAGATTTGATCGGCTGCGTGGTCATATTTCTGCGAGTGATCCCTAAGAATTGCATCAAATTATTGCAAAATTTCGAGATTTTTCTCAAGAATAGTCAATTTTAAAGAAAAATTAATTCTGGATCTAAACTGATGAATAAATTTATCATCTAAACCTACACAATCCCTTTCGCAGTGGCTCGTTTCACGATCTCGAACTTGAAAGTCGGCTTGGCAATTGTGTAGATCATCAGAGACTAAAATAGAAGTATAATAAGCAAAAAATATTACGGTTTATGCAGCAAAACTTAAAGTTCAAGAAGTTTCAAACACTTTTCGATACCCTCTAAAAATCTTGGATCAAAATAGTTGGAAAGATTAGAGTTAGATCACAGCTTATCGAACTTTATTTATCTTTTATAAAAAAGCAATGAATAGTTCAACTGTAAATCAAAACTAGTCGATGGAGGAGATCCCTCTTTTCCTCTTTCATTAATTTATCAATGGAGGATATCCCTCTTTTCCTCCGTCTTGTCTTCATTTCGCTTCTCTCCCCTCTTCTCCCCTTCCTCCGTTTTTGTTTTAAAAACGAAAAATGGCAAAGAAAGAGGAGGCGAGAGGAATTGAACCCTCGCAACCCTCAACCTTTCGCTTACTGGGCAGACACCCTACCCATTGAGCCACACCTGATTGGGCTGTCAGCGAGGAAAAAAGGCAAAAGAAGGGAGAAAGAGCATAAACTGCCTTCCAAGTTATTAACCAAAGAAGATAGCTAGCTAAACCGTTTTCTAAACAGTGCCTTGATTTCTATTTGTCTTTATTTCTTTATACAGAAGTAAAAAGAAGGAAGCAAATGGATTCAACCTCTTGCGGATTCAACCTCGCTATCCCAGCTCTTTCCTTGAAGAACGAATGCAGTGCCACCTTTCCATTATAGTCGTACTCCACCTGAAGATCTTTTACTTATTGCATAATTGGTAACAGTTACGGTATCATTTCTCTTGCAAAACTCTTTCCGACAATCATCTAAAATCTCACAAGCCTCATCAGAGAGATCTTTTGAAAAATTCTCAACAACACTCGAGACTTCAGTTGGTTTAATCAACATAACACGAGATTTCACCTAAATTCCATTAATAATCTTTCTTTAACTGAATATTTTTATGTCTTACATTAACAGTCATTGAGTTGAATTGATGCACTTTACTCCTTTCCATTGAAGTATGATTGAACTTTTTTGGGTAGAGTTGAGAGATACGGTTTCTTATTCGATCACTTAATTTGATGAAGGCATTACCTAGAAATTCATTGTAAGAATTCTCATTGTAAGAGGAATTTCCAAATTTACCATCAAAATCAGGCACACTTTCCGAGATTTTTCGTAACTCGGAATCGAATCGCTTTTGTGCGGTGTTTGCAAATCTCCTTGAGAAAACGTCAACGATCTTTTGAACATCCCGTGTGATGAGACTTCGACCAGACATTGACCATAAACTAGAATAGGAAAAATCAAAAGAATATCAAGATCAAGAATGTTATTGTTCTGTGAAAGGAAAGTGATTTAATATCCTAATATCTTAAAGATAGTTTAACCAAAAAGCATAACATTTTTATTTTTGAATATTTAGGTTTAAAATCTCGCAGATTTAACAATTGTCAACTCTCATAAATGTAAGAATGACATAAAGTATCTAATTAACTAAATCCTAGCCTTTTTAAAAGTGCTTCTTTTGCCTACTCACTGATGATTTTGTCGCTTCAGATAAATCTGTTTCAGCCGAAATCTCGTCCTTGCAAAAGCCATCCCAAATGCGTAAAAATGTTCTCCAACTAGAGCACACGAGAATTTCATTACGTTCATCCATCCATAAACACCTTTATCATACTAAAATTTGAACTTTTCACAACTTCTCATTCTTCTCACCGTGAAATCATTCTCTGAAACGCTCCCATATTTCATGTGAATGCAATTTGTGAGTTCTTCTTTGATTCTCTTCACTGGGATCCATGGTTTCTTTCGTAAATCACTCATCTCTCGAACGAACTCATTTTTCGTGTAATTATCCAAAGAGCGACGATCAATTCTTAAATAGCCGTACTTTTTCTTGTCCGATTGAAGCTGTTGGATAGAGACTCTGGAAAGGGACAGTTTGAATAGAATAGATGTTCAAAGACAATAAAAATCTTCTAAACCCATGAAAACTTTGAAATTGAAACAAATTGAACGAAATTGAAATGAAATTGAAAGTAAACCATAGTAGATCAGAATCAAATCAAATCATAAACTTACACTCCAACTTTGAAGTAAGTGTCATTGCTTGAATCCTGAAATGGCACCATCTTTTCCGCATTGTGATCGACTCTTTGCAAAAAAAGATCATAGTCAAATTCCGAGGCCACAAATTTGTCTAAAGCTTTTGAAATTTTGATTATTATTGATCCAATCAATAAATCTTACCTAAAGCAATGTCTTTCATCATCCCTGACAACGATCTGAAGCGAGAAGTGACAGCATCTGCAGCTATAACTGGTAACAAAAAGAAGAGTCCAAAATATACAATCATTTAAATAGATTGTAGTGAATGTTTGACTATATATGTTTGGAAATGGGATTCTCCAGTCCATAGAAAGATCCGGCACTGGCCACTCCCCGACAAAAACGCCGGAACGGCACTTGAAGCAAACACTTTTGACAGCCGATCGGAAAAGAGGGCAAAACGAGAGTATCAGGAAGGATTTCAAGATGATGAATAATTCTAGGGAATTTAGAAATATAGTACTCTACGTATTCTTGTTCTAAGCGAGGATTTTATGGGGCTTGGTCTTTTGTTGAATGCTAAATGTAGAAAGATTATTGTGCAAAGTGTGGTAACCGGCTTGGTTGCAAATCCGGACAAATGATTTCTTATCCCAAAGGCAAGGTTACAGATCATCATTTGCTCAGATCATCACACGACAATCAACAATACTCTCTACGCTTTCTTGCATTTAGCCCATGCACTTACCGAAAACTAGAAATATTCTGGAAATGGTGATCAACCTACAATTGACCATGTATTTGAAAATAATTAGAAAAGATCCTATTCAAATCCTAGTCACTATTTTGCTTTTACTTTCACTGGCCTTTCACTGGCTCTATAAGCTCTCGAAGAGGATTTTGTTTGAAAAAATGAGAGGTTGGATTGTGAGAAAGAAAAGGGATTTTTGGACAAATGGTTTTAAAATCCATCATCATGTCTACGTTTTCAAAGTACGGCCAAATACCCGTGTTGTTGATGTTCATGGGAAGGTGAATGGAAAAAGAACAATGGAAATTCTGGAAATTCTATTCTATTTGTTGTGGTAGTAGATCTTCGCGACTGTTGTAACGTGATTGACTTGCTTGTGGAATAACAGTTAGCGTTTATTCAGAGTAATGAAAACAAATAAAAGAATCATAAGCGATTCGTATAAAACGTAGAAAAACAATGGGAGGGAGAGAAAACAAAATAAAATGGCACAGACGACGGAACGTTCCTAATGACAACCTAGACAGACGTGGAAGGTGCACTTTAGAAAACGACAATTTTGTGGGAATTATAAAACTCTCTCTTCCCAATACTATTCTTTTTCAAAAATGTACGCTGTAGCCAAACAAAATGACTATTTTGCTTAAACTTACAATAGAAATAGAAGCTTTATTTGATTAGTGAACTTGTAAAGCAAAAATCCTACCAGAGTTTACGTTTCAAACGCTTTTAGACATAAAATTAGTCTGTTTGAGTCTTGAACTTGAGCGTGAGCTTGAGTCAGCTCAAGATATCACTAAATTAGATTTGAATGAACCAAGTAATTTGTTTTTTCTTTCAAAGCCATGAATTTTCAAAGTCATTTCTTAAAAACTACAATGTTTGATTGTCGATCCTTGCAAGTGACACGTATCCATTTCTGAATTTTACATCACGAGACCTAGCTAGACGCGTAAACTTCACACTTCAGAAAAAGCTTATCAATTTTCCGCAAAAACTAGGTCTGCCCCTCTTAGCCAGCGTGCAAAGAATTGAACTCGGCTCATTCCTTTCACATGTCTTTCAAGACAAGAAGCTTAACACCACCAATTCCACAAGACTCAAGAAAAATGGGAAAATTCGAGAAATCGGACGAAGATCAGCCGATTTAAGTGATATTCAGACCTAAAAATACCCACACTTGGCACTAGAATTTCATTTTTTTTTGGCAAGCATTGATATTTTAGGTTTCTTGAAGTGTTAAACCTTTACACTTGTGAGTTTTGAATCAACTTTGCGGAACACTTATCGTAAGCGGCTTATGTTTTTGCCTTTTCGGGGAAAATCTGAAAAAATGGCCACGACTTTGATAAGTTTCAATCAGATTCCACGAAAAGCACAATGGGAGTAAAGTCCACCTTTTGATTTATTATAGTTTTTCGAAGCATTGCTTGTTTAAAGATTTTGACTTGATACAGTTTTTGTGAGAGTGTTTTCCTCGCGAGTAATGCGTTTTTTAAAATGTACACTTGAGAAAAATTACCATACTTTTAGCGAAAAATATTGCAAAAAATTGGGGGCGAAACAAATGCTACCTTTTTTTGCTGGAAAAGGCCGTAGAGCTTCGAAAATGTTATCGTAAGGGAATCGTATGCGTAGATTCTGAATTTCGACAAATCAGACCTCGCTGACACGTCAAATTTGGGCTAAAAGGCAAAAACTGCGGAAAAGCGTTAAGTTGCGTAGTTTTTGCCTTTTGGCTCAAATTTGGCGTGTTAGCGAGGTCTGATTTGTCGAAATTCGGAATCTACGCATACGATTCCCTTACGAAAACATTTTTGAAGCTCTTCGGCTTTTCCTAAGGTCTTTTCCAGCGAAAAAAAGGTGCGCAAATGTACAGATGCGCAAAAAAAAGTTGCATTTGTTCCACCGTCCAAAAAATTGGCGCGAAAAATTCACGAATGTCGAGTTATATACGACTCTTTTTAAAAATATACAGCCATTGAACTGATTTGGTGGCAAATTCCCCTTAAATGTCAAGATATTCAATTTACTCGACGTGTAAAGAGGATTACTCGTAGTTATTTGACCAAAAACTTTGGGAGTGGGACAAATGCTACCTTTTTCGCGTTTTAAAAAAGCTCTAAAAAGCTAAAATTAACCAATTTTCATTCCAAAAGGTAATTTTAGGACGTAGAATCCAAATTTTGACATATCGGAGTGGAAGCAAACGAGTGGAGTCATACATAGGGAAAAACTGAAATTTTCGCTAATTTGACCTACCGGTTTTATCTTTCAAATTGTTTCCACAAGCTCTGATATGTCAAAATTTGGATTCTACACCCTAAAATTACCCAGAAAAACAACTTTTGAAATAGAAATTGGTTAATCCTAGCTTTTTAGAGCTTTTTTTTAAAATACGAAAAAAGGTGCGCTAATGGGACGGGTGCTCAAAAAAGGTAGCATTTGTCCCACTCCCAAATCGTCGATTAATCGAGTAAAAATTAATCGTGCAAATTTTATTCTAGTAATTACTTACTCGCGAGAAGCACTCTCGGTCTAATCAGGACATTTTAGGTTGGGGGTGATTTGGTTTTTTTGTAGATCCAATAAGTGCAAAAATATAAAAAAAAAAAAAGGATGGAGAAGGAGTTGGGGGAACGGCGGAAAAACCATTTTGCGTTAATTCCCACTAATAATTGCCTAGTGGGACCATTTTTTATTGTCATATGGGACCTTTTTACCTGCCGAAATTATTCCTTATCACCTTCTTTTGGGTTGTTTACAAGTCAAGTAAAATTGCGCCACAATTTCAAGGCTTTCACAGGTTTTTGGCAATTTTTGAAAACTCATTAAATCGAAAATCAAATCGAATCGCATCGAAATCTATTCACATCAAGCGTTTCTTTTTAATATTTTTTCCTTTTAGCTATCTTTCTAGATTTTAGAAAATCCTTTTGTATAGTCCACATATCTGACCAAAAACATTTTATATAACTATAGGTGATTTGAAAATCATCGACACTCTTTTCACACCATTTACCATTTCTTCTCGTCTCCTCTTCCCGACTGGCCAGCGAAAGCCGCTGGCCTTTCCCCTCTTTATTCCATTTTTCCACTTTTCTATACACTCTCCATTTTTCATTATCTCTCCCTTTCTTACGTCCTCTAAATGGAGTGCAGACATTTTTCTCCCTTTTCTCTCTTTCCCATTCAAACTTGTCCTGTTCTCTTTTCCTGACTCTATCATCGATTTGCTCAAAACAACCAGCCATTGCTCATCAATTGTTTATTGTTTATTGTTTGTCAGAGCTCTGTATTAATTTTTAAAATAGCTTTTGATTTTTCATTGTTTTTAAAATCTCTTTTAGAAATCTCAAAATGGTTCTTGGAAACGAGGTCTACGATAAAGTTTTCCGGTGAGTTCTTTCAGAAATTGTACTTGATAGAAGATATTTAGCGAATTTGAAAATCACTGAATATTCTTTTTTAGATCGATAGACGTGAACGCGGATAAATTCGTAGAAGTGCTCGAGGAAGCCGTCGCAATCGTCTCAATCTCTGCCGAACCCGAGCACCGTGATGATTGTGTCAAAATGTCTCACTGGGCCAAAGCTGTAAGTCTTGAAACTTTAAAATTTACTAGGAAATTTGGTTCTTGGATAATCTCCATTTAAGTTAACAAGATGACACAAATCAATAATTCCGCGACATTCCTTGTCCATCGAACACCCATCTCATTGTTACCCATTCTTTCATGTGTCGTCATTCCCCTAAAAGTTCCCTTTTTTCACCTTTTCTCTAGCCGATTTTGTTATCAATTAGCGCACGGCGTGCTGTTATTCTGACGGCTTTATGGGGTCTGAAAATAAATTTCACAAAAAGCCCGCAAAAATTCGACCATGTCTGCTATTAGGAACGGTTTATGACTAGTGTATTTTCTTCTTTGAGATCAAAAATTCAAAGCACAGCTTAGGTAAGAATAGAGGGTTTGACCTGAATAAAATTTAAGCCAATAAAATCTTTTCAGAAACTTGAATCAATCGGAGCAACCGCTGAACTCGTTGATGCCGGAATCCAACATCTTCATGATGGAACACAGTTACCGGTAAGTGCAAAAAAGTTATGCTCTATTTTAATCAAGTAAAGGACTTTGATTTTTTATTAGTTTTTAAAATTACACTTTCATGTTCAATATTTTCTTCTAGCTCCCACCAATCGTCTTCGCTCAACTCGGCAAGGACCCGAAGAAGAAAACCCTTCTCGTCTATGGTCACTTGGACGTTCAACCAGCCAAGAAAGAGGTAGCACAAGTAAAATTCAAATATTTCAAATTTTAATTCAGGACGGATGGAATACAGATCCATTTGTGCTCACCGAGATCGATGGAAAGCTCTTTGGTCGAGGCTCGACTGATGACAAGGGACCGGTGATCGGCTGGATTCATGCCATTCGCACTCTACAAGAAAATGGAATCGACCTCCCGATCAACATGAAGGTTTGTCAAAGAGGTAGTCTTTAGGATCTTATAATCTTTAGAAAATACAACAATTTCGAAGCAACTTGCTAGAAATAAAAATATCATTGGAAGTCCCTTAGTAACTTCTCATTTCAGTTTGTCTTCGAATGTATGGAGGAAGCCGGCTCGGAAGGACTTGACGAGGCTCTGCACAAGTAATTTTAAGCAATAGTCAAAAATATTTCATGTTTAGCCGCAAAGATTTCCTACAAGATGTCGATTTCACGTGTATCTCGGACAACTATTGGCTCGGAAAGAAGAAGCCTTGCTTGACCTATGGATTGCGGTTGGTGATGAAAAGAAAACTTAGAATAGTGACAAAAAAAGCACTTAGTTTTTGGATTCACAGTTTTCGGTATAGTTTTGAATATCAGGTCTATTTAGTGGTATCAGCTACTTCTTTGTGAAAGTCGAGTGCGCCAAGCAGGATCTCCACTCTGGATGTTATGGAGGAAGCATGTAAGTGTTCTCAAAGTACTCTTTGATTCTATATTTGCAATAATTTGTGAACAAAACCAAGCTTATCAACAAAATAAGGTCTTCATTCTGTTATTTTCAGCCATGAAGCTTTGCCCGATCTCCTCTGGGTTCTCTCCCAGCTCACCAACATTGACGGAACGATCAACATTGAGGTACAGTCTTTTAAAATCTGGAACCAAGTACAAATGTCAGTCTTGATTGATGATTGATTAAAGCTTTTGATCTAAAAATCTAGGTTGGAGACAATTTTTACAATGAGTACCATTGATACACTGGTGATTAAAAAATCTAGGGTCTTAACGAAATGGTGGCACCAGTTACCGACGACGAAAAAGAGATCTACCCGAAAATCGATTTCTGCATCAAGGAATACCAGTGAATATCAGAAACATTTTAAATAGAAAAATCAAATTCTAGAAACGATTTGGGCGCTCACGGATTGACTCGCAAGACAAAAGAAGAGATTTTGATGCGCCGATGGCGTTTCCCGTCGCTTTCGTTGCATGGAGTGGAAGGAGCTTTCGATGGACCTGGAAGCAAGACCGTCATTCCGGCAAAGGTTTGTAAATGCTTAAAAGTGTTCACTTCTTATTATCAATCTTTATTTTCTAGGTCACTGGAAAGTTCTCGATTCGAACGGTGCCAAACATGACTCCGGAGAAAGTCGACGAGGTGGTAGTGGCTCATCTCAATAAATTGTGGGCAACGCGAGGATCACCAAATCGCTTCGAGTAAGTTAATCTAGATCTTGCAAACTGAAACGATACCTGATAACAACTAAAATATAGATCAGGTTAAACAATGGCAAGATATCAATGTGGAAATTTTACCGCACATAACTTGTACCCAACTTGGCCTCTTACATTAGTTCATCATTTAGAGTGATTCCTCAACACGCTGGACGTGTTTGGCTCTCCGATCCCAACCATCCCAATTTCCAAGCTGGAGCCAAAGCGATGAAGCGAGTGTTCGATGTGGAGCCAGATTTGACGCGTGAAGGAGGATCAATTCCCGTTACTCTCTCTTTTCAGGTACCAGAAAGTTGCAAAAATTTCTTTTGGATCATTTATCGATACCAATAACGTAAAACTTTAGGAATTGACTGGCAAAAATGTGATGTTGCTGCCCATTGGAGCTTGCGATGATATGGCTCATTCACAAAACGAGAAGATCAATCGCCGCAACTACATCGAGGGAACAAAGGTACTTGAGTGGTGTTCGAATCAAAAAACAATTTCAATTTAGGTTCTTGCCGCTTATCTTCTTGAGTTGGGAGAGTTCCAATAATAATCCGATTTTTATTGTGATCGATTAAAGGGTAATTATATTTATCAGTGATTCACTTGCAATGAAATAAAATGTGATTTTTGACTCAACTGTAATAAATTTTTTATAACATCATTTCATAATGAAAACGAAAAACAGTGAGATTATTGATGTTTTTGGACGTAAATCAATTTAGAAAACAAGTTAAGCGTGAAAGTTTTAATGTAGAAAATCGTGAAAAATGGCAGATTCGCCGGAGACATGTCGACTAGCGCCCATTCAAGCGCTTGCTAAATGAGTTGTATAAGTCCAATCGGGAAGTTTTTGGTAGATAAATGTTGCCGAGAATTAGGACTACAATTCTCTATATAATATTTGCTACTTTTGAAATTAAATAGACATTTCCCAGCTACTTTTCCAAAAAGTTGTCGCTATAATCAGCGGTCACCCTGTAGATCGATCATACAACCTTCCAAAATGCGATTGTCGGAAGATAAAGTTCATTGCAACGGATTGCCAACTCTTTGCAAAAGGGAAATGTTAGCTGATGTGGTATCTGAAAATGAAAAAGCCAGAGAGTTTCGCTTATTTTGAAATTCAACGGATCAGCATAATCCAGGTGTTCCAGATTCTTCATGATTGACGGCGCAATAAAGTGAAATCACATAACCGCTGTAAAAGTGCACGATCGGCTCATCACTTTGAATCGGGTGAAAGAACTGAAATCGAGAGCAAGAGGACCGCTTTCCCACAAAAGAGAACCAATTTAAGGGATCTCTTCAATGAAAGAGAATTGGAATGAATGCCCTGCTGTGTTCGGACATTCAAATGCTAACTTTTTAGGGTAACGGCTGTTCGTTTTGGAGATTTTCCCACTCACTGATTCATCGTGCTTTCACTTTTGACTTTATTTCTGACATCGAGAAGAACCAGCGAAGATCTTGAGCTTTTTTTATTCATTTTTCATGTCTTACATTCATTCTTTTGAATTTTTCTTATTACCGTATTTTCTCTAATAGTAGTGCACCCCGGTGAGCCGAGTTGGTGACGATTTTACGGTTTTCAAGCTTTTTCAGAAGCTCAACACTCTAATCCCTCACTAGATCTCATCGTCAGCTACATTTTCCGATCCCACATCGATAGGTTCTGATAAGTGGTTCTCGAGATTTCGAGGAATTTAGGCGACGCTCAGGGTGCACTACTATTAGTGAAAATACGGTATATCTTTCTTATCATTATTGTAAAGATCTAAGAACTCGAAAATCACAAAATTGAACCTGTTGAAGATGACTTATGACTCAAAATTTGACCCAATAATGTTTTCACACACAGCTAGACAATGAACAAGACAAGCTAGTTCAAGATCCAATCAAAAGAAGCTTTTAGAGAAAGCCATTTAGCTATCTTGGATCTTGGACCCGAAGATAAACGGTTGCTTTTCCAGATGTAGGTCTAGCTTCAAAATTAAGTACACTATTCATTCATCTTATCTTCAAAAACAATGTGTTTTCTTACAATCAAGATATAAACTGAGCGTTTAGTGTCGTTTAGTGGGTTGTCTCCCGTTTCTTTATTTGGATGAAGGGAAAGACTGGTGGTCGTGCTCGTTTTCTTCTCCTCCTTCCCCCCCTTTCACAAACACTGGTCATGTCTTTACATTGTGGTCTTTTCCCGGGATTTCCGACTGGATTCTCCAAACTTCTTGATCCAGTCTCTACAAACTATTCCCATCTTTCATCTCTACAAATAAAAAAAATAGGCATGATGCCGTTTTTTGCATTCACACCACACTTGACCTACACTGTCCCTGATTGCATTTTCCCACGATTCAGAAATATTCAATAGAGATCTATGATCTTATTTTTGAAGTTTAACTATTTTTCTTGACTTTAAGATTCTCATGAGTTTAGAAACTCATTTACTCTACAGCTTTGGTTAAATCAAGAATTCAACTTTTACTACTTGTTCTGTACTTTTCACTTTTGAATCTGTCTGACTACCAAGCTTTAGCTTTTTGAAATCCATTCACGATCAAAATTCCCCTGTAACGAATGCGATGGTGGATTCGATTGCTTCTCTTTTCGATATCGATTTTCACTCTAAACTTAACTTTCAACTTTGTTTCGTTTAAAAACTTGCAAATTGGTTTGTTTGTAGTGCAAAAATGAGCCAAGCGGTCGTTAATTTCGTCCTTTCTCTTTCCCCTCAAGGTTGCAGCCTTTATGGTCCTCATTCCAACTGTTTTTCCCACTTTTGTTCAAAGATAATGGATTTTTCTTGTCTGTAACTTTAATAAGCTAATGATAGATAGAAAGAAAATTTGAATTTAGACTTCTAAGTGAAAAGAAGTTCACTAGCATTCTATACTTGAGCTTTTGATCAAAACGATGATTGACTGCTGTATGTAACTTCAAAAAGCTTAACCTGTTGTAGCTGGTAAGGTTTATCAAGACTTGGTATCAGAATTACAAGTTTAAGAGCCTTTAAAAGTCTAATCATAGCTTGTGAAGTTTAAGAGCCTTTAAAAGTCTAATCATTCCTTTCATTGTGTCTCAAATCTCAAGATCTCTAGAAGAACAAAAGCTTTCGAAAGTCCAACGAAATTTTTTGACCTTTTGTCTTTCGTCACCTTTTCACTTCTTCTATATCTTCTTCCATATCTTGGCAAGAGTGTCTGGGAGAAAACAAATGAGAATGGCACGTAATAGAGAAAAGAATGTAAGTCTGCTAATGGAGAGAGCACTCGAGATTAGATCAAAAAACTAAGGTTGCCCTTTTCTCTGCTTCCAGTCATTCTTTAACCTCTCAAGAATGTTTTCCTTTTCAGACATTCTCGATCGTCCACCTTTTTGTAGCCTTACAATTTTTTTTACACCAAAATTTGTTTAACCTTTTGTTTTTCGAGTTGTGGTCAACCAGTCATTTACTCTACAGCTTTGGTTAAATCAAGAATTCAACTTTATCAAGACTTGGTATCAGAATTACAAGTTTAAGAGCCTTTAAAAGTCTAATCATAGCTTGTGAACATCATCCTTTCATTGTGTCTCAACTTTTACTACTTGTTCTGTACTTTTCACTTTTGAATCTGTCTGACCATCAAGCTTTAGCTTTTTGAAATCCATTCACGATCAAAATTCCCCCGTAACGAATGCGATGGTGGATTCGATTGCTTCTCTTTTGGATATTCCCTCCTTTATGGGCACAACATGATATGTATTTACTGAAACTCGTCTTCAACTACATTTATGATAATCCAGCAAAGTGTGAGTTCATGAAATGCTTACCATTTGTAACTTTTTCATCGTTTTTCAAAGCTCTAGAAATGTTTACTTTGTTAATCAAGTTAGTCAAGCTCGTAAATAGGCTTTGAGAATTTGTAACGCTTAGAAATAGTGATTCTTCATACAGTTCTCAAGTTTGGCCAGACTCTCAGCAATGCTAGGCCAAGCCTGAGCATAATCCAGCTGCCTATACGAGTTCCTTTCTCCTTATTCTAAAATTTCTTGTTTGACTTCCCGTAGTTCCATTACCTTATGCAAATTTTAAGATTTAAGAACCGGAAAGGACAAAAACTTTTGACAAACAGGTCATTTTTGTCTCGATCAGAAATCGAGTCCTGTTGGTAGAAAGAGAAAGCAAAGCACACTCCTTTACCCGAAAATTAGCCAAGTTACGACGCGGTGACCTACTCATTCAGCAACAATTCTTCTTTTTAGCTATCCATGCTACCAAAAGAAACGATTAGTGCGTGAAAAGCTTTAGAAAAACTGTTACTATCAGTTTCTTTTCCTTACAAATTTCATTTCCAGGTGGAGATCCATTTAAATACGAGCAATGGTTGCCTGCCTATCAAAATTGCTCAATCGCTTGCAATCCGGAGTCAGCTTTGTGTCTACGGAACACGCAGATTGATTTGCAAATGTGCAGAGAATGTAAATGAGTATCCCATAGTTTTTGGATTGTTTTGTTTAGTGCCAAACATTTGTGTTGCCGGGATTCGCGAGTTTTTGGGATGGTCATCAACAACGACAATTTCACCTACACAGGCTACAGCATGGACGTCAACAGTTAGACCGTTAAGGTATGATTTTTAAAAAATAATTATAGATTTTCAAACCGGAACTACAATATAGAGCATAAAGTCATTCCCCATTGAACCATCAGAAGTTGAAAGCAACTCTAGAGCTTTATCAACCAGAGCAGGACAGGTTACCGGTTTGAACTTGGCTTCTGGCAAGGTCAGAAGTTTAGAAACTAAAAGTGGTCAATTTTTACTTGTATTTAAACTTGCGCATGGTTAACTTCTGTATTTTTAATGTGATCAGAACAAAAAAGTTTTATCGACAAACAATGATTCACTTCAAAAAATGAAGTACCCTAAAGTCGCGAGTATAAGTTCTGTTTGGTTTTCGCATGCAAATTGACGGCTGTCTCCGGGGCGGTGTGTTGAGGGTTCGAACCCCGCTGCAGCATAACTTTTTTGCTTTTTAAGAACAATAATAGAAGTAAATTTATTGAGGGTTATAGCAATTTTATGCTGTTATTTGTTGCTCCGGGCGTGGCTCGGCGCGTCCGCCCTGCTCCTCTCCGGTGCTCAGTCTTATGGATCCCTCCCTGGCCTCTTCATCCGGCCAAAGTCCACGTCGACGGTCGAAAGAGATGCTTTCCAGCGTCTTCTTCAACACTATCGTCTGGATGTATCCATGCACATAACAAACAGCAATGGTGATAGGCTGTCACCCTGTAGTATCCCGCGCTCCAAGAACAATAATAAAAGTTTATATAACAATAAAAATGTATAAAAACCCAACAAAAAGAAATTCAAAGCAATTAAAGCGAATGTAAATTAAGGCAGAACTTATACTCCAGACTTTAGGGTAAATAGGGGACCAGAATGAAGAAAAAGGTCACCTTATATAGCCGAATGTCGCTACAGTAGGACAAGGCAGAAAAGGTCATACTTTAGCAAGCAACGATTCGTAAATAGGTGTTGATTGTAGATTTACAAGAAGTCAGAACTGTTCTTGCTTCTTACAAGAACTGTTCTTGCTCTGGCCTGACCTAGATTTGAGCCAGGAAAGTAGGCTCTACTCTGCCTAAATCCAAGCTTCGTTTAGCAATTTTCAGTTTGAAATAACTCTTATAATAATTCTCGAAAGTTTTAGAGAAACTACAATCTTGAACATAAAGTCATTCGCCATCGAACCAGCAGTTGAAAGCAACGGTAAGATGAACTCGATTAACAATTTTGACTTCAGTAATTTAGCACACAAACCACAAAACACATCCACTCTTGGTCAGGTATTGAAATTATTTATTTAAATTTTAAAAGAGAAACTTCTAGGGTTCGATAGTAATCCGGAAAATTAGCGCAAAGAAAAATGAGAGCCCTTCTCGGAAGCTTTTTGATCCACGATTATAGTAAGTCAAGATTTAGCCAAGAATGCTAATGTTGTTCAGTCCATCAACAACATCATCACCAGTCAATCGCATTTTTACTCCGTTGAATCGGATAGTTTTTGGTAATGATAGAATAATGAAGGAATTTAGTGGTTAATCTAATGTGTTCAGAGCCTGAAAGAAGCAACACCGTGCTAGAGCCTCCAGCAGCATCAGTCCCAAATTCGTTGGTAAGTTTTGCATTTAAATTGAACCAACTCCAATAAAATAAAATACATATATACCAAACAGTTAAAGTAAATCACTTAGAAATTATTGATTCAAAACACTTACCGTAAATACTGCAAACGTACCCCGCCCCCATAATGACGGTGCGGAGTGTTGCGTAGTCTAGCTTTGAACGAGTTTTTCTTGACACTGGTTTAGGCTACAATGCGCGCTTAGGTATCAAAAAATAGCTGAAAATCAGGGCTATTTTTTGATACCTAAGCGCGCATTGTAGCATAAACCAGTGTCGAGAAAACTCGTTCAAAGCTAGACTACACAATACTCCGCACCGTCATTATCTTTGGTATCAAAAAATAGCCCTGAATTTCAGCTATTTTTTGATACCTAAGCGCGCATTGTAGCCTAAACCAGTGTCAAGAAAAACTCGTTCAAAGCTAGACACTCCGCACCGTCATTATGGGGGCGGGGTACGAGTATTTACAGTAAGTAAATCACTTACAGATCACTGATTCAACGAAAAGTCACAACAAAGTCTCTTCAACTTTGATTCAAAGAGATGTAGAGTCAAATTTTGTGCAAAGTGGAGGTGAGAACTATTACAGATTCCAAATGTTTAAACATTTTTAGATCCTTATGCTGATATTTTGGGTATAAAAATGGAAGCAGCTTCAACACTGTCTCCATATGGGTTTGATCAAGCACTATAAACAAACAAAATTCATATTTAGAGAAGGTGACATTTCGTTCTATGATGAACTTGAAAAAGCTTACGATTTAGAGCAAGCTGAACAAAGTAAGCTTTTTGAGTCATTTAGGCTTTCAGTTGGACACGCCGGTCATTTTATGGGTTGGGACTGGTCATGGTCGGCGCTGGGATTCGCATCCGCGACCTCTCGCTTACCACCGGGATTTGAACTCGCAACCTCTACCAATAAGCTACATTGACACTTGTCCCATTGACACTTGCCCCCAGAGTAGAGCCTTATGCTTTACTTTTTAGATAAAAGCTTTGCAAATCAAAGTCGAGGCGGTGAAGTGATTGAGCCATCTGAAGATCATGATATCTCGATTCCCGCTGAAATCTCAACAAATTTCAACAATAATGCGCTGCCAAATGAAGGTTTGTAAGAAAAATGATGAGAAAATGAATTTTTAGAAACACTTGAACCTTTCATTGAAACGTCAGCAATTGATGTACCTTCAGTTGACAATCACGTTGCAATCCCGCCTAAAGATGAAGATCTAGGTGAGTTGAAATCTTAAAACTTGTCCCCAACTAACTTCTTAACTTTTACAAATAACTAGTTAGGTAACTTTATTATTTCTTTATTTATTTCACTTTATTTCACTTTATTTCATTTTAAGGAGCTCTATTTGGAAATCCATCCTTAGCAACAAATGATATAATTTATTCTGAAGAAGCGAATCCCGGAGATATCAAACACTATGATGAATCGAATAAATTAAAGGTGAAATTGATTAATTTATAGTTATTTAAGACAAGAAATATGTAAAATCTGGCTGTTTATTTAGAAGATTCTATCGATACTCAAGACAATCCCCCACCCGACAACAACCACTCAAGCAACAACGTCAAAGGCTTACCGAAAAACTGGCAGAACTTTAATCTACTCGATTAAGAGAAGAATTCAAAGGTATTGAATTATTAAAAACTATTTTTTAATCTTAATTCCAGTGAAAGGAACCCGCTAATCACTCTAGAACCAAGCATTGAACTACTCAAAGAAATGAAAAACGATCGACGATATCATCGCTTGATTGTGGAGAAAAACCTTGGTATAAATCATCCAAAAAACTTTCAAAAATGCTTTTAGACTCAAAAATTGACAAATTTGAGCACTGTTGTGAGTGGGCTTTAGCGGGAATGTGTGATCGGCATTGGCAGAAAGTTTGTTTCACGAAATTACTTTTCAAATGAAAAAATTAGGTGAGAAAGTACTGCCCAAGGAGTTGTGGTTTATTGGTCTGTGAAGGTTGGTGCGCTTTAGGATTCCTTCTTTCTTTCTTTCTTTCTTCCTTTCTTCTTCCCCCTTGTCTTTCTTCTTTCTCTTGGCAAGTTAAGGGTCCGGATAGATCAATAGTTAGAGCAAAAGCAAAAGCGGAAAGCAAAAGGTTGAGGGTTCAATCCCCTCTCCGAAAATCGACTTTTTCTTGCCAATTCCTTCACTTCTTTATGGAAAGACTTTAGATTTTGAAGGATTGCAATCTTGTACTCGGTTGCTTGATGTTAATCCTGAAGAATGTTATGCCGGATTGAGACAATCAAGGTGAGAGAATAGAGAGGAGAATAGAGAGGGGAGGGAAAAGAGAATTGCCTAATTATTGTTAGAAAGACCATTTTAACACTTGTAAATTATTATTATGATTACTAGATAAAATATTCAATTGGATAAGCAAATCTAGAGAATATTGTAGAATTTAGAGAACGCAGAATGAGTTTGAACTTGGCAAAGAGAGAACTAGGCTTTAGCTATTAAATCATCATTTAGATAAGCAATTCAAGCTGCAACTTAAATTAAAGCAGACTCATATAAAAATTTTTTTAAAACATAAATTTGCACTATAGTTTAACGCAGAAAAGAGAATAGAACTAAACTAGAAGAGAAAAGAATTATATAGAAATGAATGCAGAAGAGAACGCAGAAAAGGACGCAGAAAAGGACGCAGAAAAGAACGCAGAAAAGGACGCAGAAAAGAACGCAGAAAAGAACGCAGAAAAGAATTTATAGAACTGAAATGAACTTAAATTAAGGAGTATAACAATAAGTTTCATTTATTTTTTTTTTCGTTTAGAGAACAACTTGGTGTACGTGGTGTGAAAATCTACAAATCAGCGATACCAAAGCGAAAAAAACCTTCAACTATCCGCTATAAGAGACGAAGAAAACAGAAAAAACGATCACAAAATGGGAGAACGAAGAAAAGAAAGCTCATTGTCAAACAAAAAACTCAACGAATTTCGAAAGCAAAGCCAAAAATAAAAAAAACAATAACTTTTTCAAATTAATTTCTTCTTTCTACTTGCATATCATTCAAAACGGGTGTATTAATCCTTTTTTTGTGGCTTTAAATTATCTAATGTTTATCTTGTTTCATTCAAAATTACATTCTACTATATATTCAAAAAAAATTATCCTTTTCAAGTGAATTATTTGATTGAATTACTGTAAATAAAAGAGTACAATGTTTGAGAACAATAAAAGCTTCATTCTTGGCAGCTACATCTGCATTTCGAGTTGTATTTGGTGCTTAAAAGTGTAAACGCACTATTTTTGCGACATTCAATTCTTTACTTTTCTCATGTGCGAAAAAATGTAATTTTCTTTTATATGTCGTAGCCGCTTACGAAATTCAGCCGCTAACGAATGAGGGTATTTCCGGGCATCCAATCAAAAAGTCACCCACATAAAAGATGTTCATAATACATATATTTTATAATAAATTTTTGAAATTAGCTCATTTGGTTCAGTAGAAAATTTTTTTTGAGCCCCCAAAGTTTAGGTTCAAAAATGCCCTAAAATGGCTATAAAAAATTTTCTACTCAGCCAAAAAACTTGCCTAATAGCTCATTTTGTAGCCAATTTGATGTAGTTTCTTAAAGTAAAGCTATATTGAACATTTGTTTTTCAAAGCTAGGAGAAAGAGGGCGAGGAACGACTTCAGTTGAACTCGGTCGCTGTTTTCACATTTGAGAATTGCCCTTTGAGAAAAACTCCCGACAAAAATTACTCTCAATCTTTTTGATCTAGCCAATTACATGATATTTAACACCAATACAAGCTACAAGCTACAAGATTTTAATCATTCTCCAGCTCGAAATCTTTTGCGATACTTTTGCCTGTTCGTACTAAAAGAAATTCAGAAATGCTTTTAAAAGAGGGCTAAGAGACCAATATTTTTAAATCAAAAGCAATTTAAACAGCTTGACAAAATATTCACGAAGTTAATGTTCTTTTTGCGATAAAAGTTGAACACGACTTTGAAGTCAGAATTTTAAACAACAATCTAAATACGATAAATGCCAGTGAATTTGTGCAATTCTAGTTTTTTTTCTGCAATCTTTTTATTTTGTGATTTCTTTTCTTTTTCTTAAACGCATAACTACAGTCCGTTTCATATTTCTTTATCCACCCCCCAAAAAGAGGTTTTATGGAGAATGGGTGGAGATATCGAGCTTTTTCCTTTTCAATAGAAAGGCCACATTGTAAAACCCTAAAAACACCGTTTTTGGGTTACTGGATTTTCTAACAAAAAATTTCTTCTTTATCCAGGAACTCATTACGGAAAGGAGAAAAGAGAAGAGAAGAAAAAAAAAGGATATAAAAGAAAACCAAAAGGGGCCCAAACCTCTACATCCAGCTAAGCGTCACTTGGAAATCAAATCGGGAAAGAATCAATCGTGAGCGCCTAACAGCCTTAAACAAGAGCACAAGAAAGCCCATCTAGACTTTGCCGCAAATCATATGAACTTTGATTGGAGCTTTGAAGGGTTGGGAAATGCTGTACTCTGAAATAACGGTTTTTATTTAGGTAATCTTTTCTGATGAAAAAAAAATGGATTCTTGACGGACCAGACGGACTGGAGAGACCTGCGACAGGATCCACTGATATTCGGAACACGTAACTACGGAGGAGGAAGTGTGATGTGTTGGTCGGTCTTTTGCGCCAATGGAACGGTCGCTTTAAAATTTGTCTCCAGCAAAATGAACAGTCAAGATTCTACTGAAGTGCTCAAAGATACTCTTCTGCCATTCATTCAGCAAAAGGTCGCGACTGCCTACACTTTTCAGCATGACTATGCTTCAATTCATCGCTCCGCTCATACAAAAGCCTGGTTGACTTCGCAGGGAATCAATATCTTGGACTGGCCAGCACGATCCCCGGATCTTAACCTGTGGGGCATCCTTGTCAGAAATGTTTACAAACAATGTTTAAAAGACATTTTACCACCGTTTCGGAACTAAAAGCATCAATTCAGATTGCCTGGAATCGTATTGACGCCACGGCTCTCCAAAACCTTATCAAAAGTATGAATAAGCGAATCTATCAAGTTATTAACCGGTCCGGTGCTATATCAGATTATTAGTTGTTATGTTCACAATTCTTGATGTCTTTTTTATTTGTTGTTAATGCTAAATAAATGTTGATTTTCAAAGTTCCTAAGGGTGGATAAAGAAATGTGAAACGGTCGCAGAATCTTCTTTCTTAGTTTTTTTTGTTGAGAAAATCCAGTAACCCAAAAACGGTGTTTTTTAGGGTTTTACAATGTGGCCTTTCTATTGCAAAAGAAAATAGCTCGATATCTCCACCCATTCTCCATAAAACCTCTTTTTGACCTCATTGATAGACTTTCCATGAATTGAATTCACAATGTGACGCTTAGCTCGAGATGTAAGCTGAGGTTTGGGCCCAGTCCTCTTTTTAGGAGCGGTCACGTTCTTGTTCTTTAAATAACGTCGAATGCAATTGTGATTGCGGCCCAACATTTTTGCGATTACTCGAATACCCTTCTTGTCGATCTTGTAGGCATCGATCTGTCCCTTCTCGTAATCGTAAGTTCCTAAGGGTGGATAAAGAAATGTGAAACGGTCGCAGAATCTTCTTTCTTAGTTTTTTTTTGTTGAGAAAATCCAGTAACCTAAAAACGGTGTTTTTAGGGTTTTACAATGTGGCCTTTCTATTGCAAAAGAAAATAGCTCGATATCTCCACCCATTCTCCATAAAACCTCTTTTTGACCTCATTGATAGACTTTCCATGAATTGAATTCACAATGTGACGCTTAGCTCGAGATGTAAGCTGAGGTTTGGGCCCAGTCCTCTTTTTAGGAGCGGTCACGTTCTTGTTCTTTAAATAACGTCGAATGCAATTGTGATTGCGGCCCAACATTTTTGCGATTACTCGAATACCCTTCTTGTCGATCTTGTAGGCATCGATCTGTCCCTTCTCGTAATCGTAAGTTCCTAAGGGTGGATAAAGAAATGTGAAACGGTCGCAGAATCTTCTTTCTTAGTTTTTTTTTGTTGAGAAAATCCAGTAACCTAAAAACGGTGTTTTTTAGGGTTTTACAATGTGGCCTTTCTATTGCAAAAGAAAATAGCTCGATATCTCCACACATTCTCCATAAAACCTCGTTTTGGGGGGTGGATAAAGAAATATGAAACGGACTGTACTTATCGTTTTTTAAATCCACTAATCGGGACTTTATTGTTTTACGCCATCCTCTAGATTCCAAAAGTTCGTTCAAGCTTTGGGTTAACTTTTTCTTTAAAAGAAAATGACCATAGCTTGAGGTTCAGAATTGTTTCGAGAACTTATAGAGTCGGCTACACTAATTCCGAATTTGTATTAATCCAGTCGCTATTGAATAGAAATGACAGCTAATTTTTACCAATTCAGAACCATTCAGAACCTTGTTAGCTGAATCGATTTTTTAATTTTCAGACTCAAAACAGCGGTGTCTGGCAAGATGTCCAGGTGGATGTTCTTTTTAAAATTCCCGTTAAAGTCGATTGAGAAGAAATGATTCAAATTTTCTTCTTGCTATTCGTGACGCTTTCTTGCTTTTTGTAAGCCTCCTTTTACAGATTTTTTTACAGTAACCACAAACTAGTAACCAATTTCAAGGTCTTCAATACATTCTTGTTTCTTTATTCAGAAATTTTCATTTTACCATAAAAAAAATCCTAATAAATATTTGAATACTAGAAAGAGGAATAAAAAGAAATCTGGCAGAGAAAGAGTTTTTATCATAAAGTAAATTTCACACCCGTTTTGCAGATTGAAAATTGAAAACTTGTGATCTTTTGAACATTAGAAGAAAGAAAATTGAGAAGAAAATGATGATCTTAAGTCATAAATGAGAGATTTAATAGAAAGATAGTTTTTTCATAATGGACTTTGTGCTTAAAAATAGAAACATAGCCTTTCTGGACTCACTTAATGTTTTCTTGATATTGCAAAAACGTGAACGAACGAACGAACGAACGAACGATTGTTAACGAACGATTGTGAACGAACGATTGTTAACGAACGATTGTTAACGAACGATTGTTAATGAACGATTGTGAACGAACGATTTCCAGAAAGAACGATTTTGCTTTTATGTAATCACTCAAAAATTGAAGTTAACAAGAATTGCCAAAAAGCTAATAATGAGAAGAGAAGAAAAGTGACGAGTGGATGCGCCATGATGGAGTCTTGACCGAAGCTCTTCCCATTCTCTTTCTGTGATCTCTGGTGGGGCAACCTAAAGAGAGGTTCATTTGGCTACAGTACGGCTTTGGTTTCTTCCGTGTACCGCTACTTGGATCTATTTGCTTTATTTGACTTGTAAAGAGGCTGATCTCGTGAAAAGCTATTGCATTTTAACATCTTTGTAAAAACTCTATTCACAATTCACCTCTAAATCCTTGCATTTCACATTACAGTGCTTCTCGAACTCAGCCCTCTCACACAAGCATCGTGTCATTATCGTCTGAAAATGGTTGATACTAATGCCATTTCTAAAATACTGTATTTTCCCTAATAAGCTTCACCAAAATTACTCGAAATCTCGAAAACCGCTTATCAGAACCTATCGATTTGCGGTCGGAAAATATAGCTAACGATGAGATCTTGTGGGGGATTAAAGTGTTGAGCTTCTGTGAAAACTGTGAAACCGTAAAATAGTCATCAACTCGGTCAACTATTACGGGAAATATTAGGTACACTCAACTCCTCAAATCCTCTTCAAACTTACATGAAAACAATGTTGCTCATGAATCTTATGAATCTGTTTGAGATTCCATTTCACCATCAAGCACTCATAATGATTTTCAGTCTCAAGAAAAGCAAGCAGTCGCCGAGAAGCATCCAATTTTATTCTAAAAAAGTAAAAAAATTTGATTTTTATCATTTTACCTCAATAATTTGTGGCGATCAAAATCACTGGCAGTTGGCTGACTGATTTTCGATCGAATCTCATGCTCACAGTGCTCGAAAATATGCTCCATTGCTTCAGCAACACAACTAGTATTCTAAAAATTGATATGGTTTAAATGTTGATCAAGTTTGGCTTATAAAATTTGTACCTGAATTGCTGAACAATGTGTTTGCAAATATCCGAATGTTGAGATGAGTTGTGTAGCTGGTAATCGCAGTCTTTCGTCACCAAATTGCCGGGAAGACGCGCGAGGTGGGATTATCTAGATTATATAACAAAAAATTTTTCTAAATCTTCATCTAAAAGTATTTAAAAAGCATCTATCAGCCAACATGCAATCACAAATTAATCTGAAATTACCGTTGTTGTGGTTGTTGTACTGAATCTTAGTTTCCTTGTTGACTAAAGAAATGAGAAAAGATTAGGCTAAGCATTGATTGGATTAGTAGAATTTTATAAGTAGTTTATTTCAAAACTTACATCTCGATAACTTTTTGTTTCTATTCGTTCACATTTCTTTCGAGATTTATCGAGACCGACTTGAGCAAAAGTTGTGATCTGAATTTAAACTTATTTAAACTTTTTACTAATCTATTAGGTTGGCAAGTTATAAACGATCGTTTTTTGGTAATGTGTTTTCTGAAAAAACGGTTTGCTTGATTTCAGAACAATCCAATCGATCGAACCGTTCTCTTTCTTTTAATCTTTTTTTTTAATCTTGCTTAAATTCAAACGAAAATGGATTAAATTAGCACAAAAGTGCATTTTGAGCCTAATTTGAGCATCATTTTGAGCCTAATTTGAGCATCATTTTGAGCCTAATTTGAGCATCATTTTGAGCCTAAATCAACCTTCCGAAGATTGGATTGTTCTGAAATTTTGGAAAACTATGTAATCGATAAAGCGTTTTATTTTAAAAAGTATGCAATCACTCAAAAATATATTAGCTCATGAATGCTAGAAACCAGGATTTTGAACGTTATTGATAACTTCTTTAGATACTTAAATAACTTCTTTAGATTTTAATTTATCGCTGTTCTATGCTCTTCAAAAAAGTATCTTTAGTCGCACATATTTTTGCACTTTTTCATTGCAAAAATTTCAGAACAATCTTCGGAAGGTTGATTTTTAAATTAGGCTCAAAATGCACTTTTGTGCTAATTTAATCCATTTTTGTTTGAATTTAAGCAAGATTAAAAAAAAAGATTAAAAGAAAGAGAACGGTTCGATCGATTGGATTTTTCTGAAATTTTGGGAAACTATGTAATCGATGAAGCGTTTTATTTGAGCCTCATGAATGCTAGAAACCAGGATTTTCAACTCTTACATTAAAATGCCTGAAAAAGTTCTAAAATAAAACATTTTTCAAAAATTCAAAAAAGCCATTTTGTAGATTAAGGATAGGGCTTTTGAATCAAGCAAACCGTTTTTTTGGTTGGATAAGCCGCTTTTTCAGAAAATACATTACCAAAAAACGATCGTTTATAACTTGCCAACCTAATAATAGTACATCTATATAATAAAACTAAAAAGCAATAAAGTATTGTTTCTTATGAACTGTGAACTGAAATTTAAACTGTTTATTAGCTGTTAAAATTAGCTTACCTGAGCCGTCGTGCAGTAGCCGACTCTCTGGTTAAAGCATTGATCAAGAAACTGAAAACCAAATTCAAACTTTATTTAAAAGCTTTTTTGACGAAGCTTCTTTCTGTCTTTGTTCGGCTTTCCATAGAAATTACTTACATTATAATGAATACATTTGAATGTCAATGGTTCGCGATCCGTGCATACTTCAGCCATTCGATCAAACATCAACGCGAAACACTCGTGACCGGCTGTTGAGTTGCAGGTTTTATCACTGAAATTTGTTAAAAGTAAGATTGAGAAGGCTTTGTTAATCTACTTTTGATTTATTAGATATTCAGACAGAATGAAATCATGAACTTTAGTCAAAGATTCAGCAATTCAAACATCCAGTAACGTTTTGGTAAGCTGTATTAGCTCTCTCTTATAGCTTTCTAGTATTATTTCTAGTCATTTTAGCTTTCTATTTATAGCTTATTTATAGCTTATCTAGTAAAGATTAAAAAATTACGCAAGACTCACGGTGGAATGAAAGATCGAATGAAGAAAGTGGTGGCCTGTGTGACGAGAGTGAAGAAGAGAAGAAGAGTGACTGCCGGGATGGGGGGCAACGCTCCCGCATGCATAGGATATCCGCATCCGGAGATGGAAAAAAGCAGATCACTGTTTATCTAAATCAATCAATGTTTAGAAACAACCAAAGTCCATGTGAGCAAAGCCTGGCTTCACAAGAAGTTACCTGGGCTCTTGATGCAGCTAGGCTCTAGAAAATTGCATACTTCTATCAGCTGAGAATCTAAATCAACAAAATTTTGCTATAAAACTTCAATAAGCATAAACATTTAGATATTCAATGTGTTTTGCTTTTTAAGATTGAAGGAAAAGATATAGGAGATATGAAGTAATGAATTATTCGTGATGGGTACTTGAGTCCACTTTCATTTTTGACATAGAGCAATTTCTCGTGGCTTGAATGGATAAGTGAAAAGAAGATGGTGAAATATGTTACTGGTCAATGGAAAAGAGTTACTTTACTATTGAAATGATATAAAAATCTAAAGAACTACCGTAAATACTGTAATAGTACTTCACCCCTCTCGTACAAGAAAAACTCGTTCAAAGCTAGACTACCGTATTTATTCTAATAAACGCCGCCCCCCTCGACCAACTTGCCTCGTTCTCAGCCCGATTTTATGATATTTTTATGTTTAATATACCAAGAGATAGAAGACATTAAGGGTTATCTTTTGGTATATTAAACATAAAAATGTGTCAAAATGGGACTGAGAACGAGGCGTCTAAAGTTGTTCGAGGGAAGTGGCGTTTATTAGAATAAATACGGTATGCAACACTGCGCATCGTCATTATTTGAGTGGGGCACTATTACAGTATTCAAATACATCCAAATAACCTACCGTAAATACTGTAATAGTACCCCACCCCTCTCGTACAGTCGCGTAGTCGCAAAAGTTTTTTCGTATTTCATTTTTTTCAAAGCGCCCGTACTTTCAAAAAATTCGTCTTTGGTATCAAAAAATAGCTGAAATTCAGGGCTATTCTTTGATACCTAAGCGCGCATTGTAGCATAAACCAGTGTCGAGAAAAACTCGCTCAAAGCTAGACTACGCAACACTCCGCACCGTCATTATGGGGGTTGGGTACTATTACAGTATTTACGGTTGGCTATTTAGTCTGTTTGGCTAGTCCTGAGCTAAGGCTGATACTAGACTAATGTTGTCAGCATAAATATCACAAGTACTAGACTTATACAAAGTTAGACAAATGTCTAATCTTCAAGTTGATTAAAAAAAACAGATACAACAATTTTAAAGACGAGAAACCATAGAAAAGAAGATGCTTCCAATAAATGCAAAAAATGTTGGCCCAAATTCTGTCGATTAGTCGATTTCCCTTCTTTACAAGACCCAAATATCCGTTTTTATCCCACTTTTTGCTTCTTTTTAGTGAAAATGCCGGATAATCCCTTTCCTCTGCGTTGAAAGGCGAAAAAAATACTTACTATCAAAATTAGAATGAAAAGTTAATGAAATTGAAATTGGGAATGTTATTGGTCCTCATTGTGCGCCAGCGTTTATGTAATAAAGTCTTTTGTAATGAAAATGTTTGCTGAATTACATCTTACATACGACTTTGAGTTCAATCCAGCAAATGCTAAGTTTAGTCAATAAATTCTATAAAAACTTGCGAGATTAACAAACAAGATTGAAGCCAAATTGAAGCAATGTTCTCAGCCAAATTTGACCTTAAAAAAAACAGCCTTTAAACAGGTGATTGTCTAACCTTTTTCCCCAATTATCTTTCAATTCATCTGTTGAAGCTATTTCTTTACAAAAAGATTCTAGAAACAAAAAGATTAATGATTTCGAATTCGAAAGAAAGAATCGATCCTTCAAATTCTTTTCATTTTACTTCAAAAACCTCAGCCATAAATCTTTAGCAATACGAATGATTCCAAATTGAGAAAAAGATAGATTTTGTGAAGATAAATGCATTCTTTTTTAAAGTCAAATCATTGGATTTTACTTGAAAATTTGTAAATTTAAATTTAAATTTAAATTTAATGTAAATTTAAATTTAATGTAAATGTAAATTCTCAATCCAATCTTTCGCATTGCAGAACTCAAAAGATTCGCATAAAATGCATGGGAAAAGTGAAAACGTCGGAAAGAAACAATGAGCTAATTTGTACCCTGAATATGAAAAAGAATTTTCTCACGAATCGTAGTTATTGCTTTGAAAAATAGCTGAAGAAAAGGATTAAATTTTAGTTTTAAAGTTTTCTTTTGATTAACTAAATATATTGCTTGAAATTTGATATTGAAATCTAAATAAAGATGAAAATGACAAAAGTTAACAAATGAAAAGCTAAATTTATCTAAAACAGAAAAAAACAAACGAAAATTAGTCATTTCCTACAATTACTCGCCTCAAAAGCTGAAATCGAAACTATTTTTCTATTTTTTTAGCAAAAAAAGTTTAGAAATTAAAGGTGAGATTTGAAAATGAAATAAAAGTGTTTAAAATCTTCTTCCAGAAAAACATTAATCATCCACGAAGCTCTAAAGAATTACATAAGTTGCTATGCAGCATAAAAGATGGCTTCGATTTTTTTTGTAGCTCTTAAGCAGAAAGCAAATCGATTAATAGAACAAAAAAAAGTGTTAACTTGGCTTAAACATTTCTTACTATTCAGCAAAATAACTTTAACTTACAAAATGAATAAGGAAAATTGATTCAGAGCTTAGAACCAGTTGCTTGAGAAACTAACTAACTTATTTATACCTTCCTAAGCCAGTTTAATGCTATTCATTTAATCAACTGGATATTTTCACTTTTCTCTCAGAAAGTGACTACTATTTATACATTGCACATGGTTTTCGAGTGGCCCCCTCTCTGAATTTTCTGTTTTTAGTACGCTTTTCTTACTACACATTGTAAAATTGCGGCAAAACCGTTTCGATATCTTAAGCAAGAAAAAAAATATGACAAAAAGCTTTACATAAATTGGTTTGATTTTTGAGTGCTCAAGGAAAGTTATGCAAAAGAGTAAGACTTAGTGTTTTAAAGAGTTTCAACAACAGTCAAAAAACTTGTAACCTGGGACTGAATATTTTTAAAAGCTGTTCAGCTCTCAATGAAGATTCTTTTTTGGGTAGACATTCTATAATACAAAGCAGTGGTTCATTTACCCAATTCTTCTTCACTCTTTCTTGAGAGTCTTTGTGCCCTGAGGGGCCTAAAAAATTCAATAATCCTCGTCTTTTTTCTGAGGATTCAACAATGGAACGCTTAATTTTTCCTAAAAATGAGAACTGGTAGAATTTAGCTGAAAATTTTAGCATTTTGACGGTAGATTGTAAAGCAAGTGGACTCGAAAATGTCGATTTTTGAGCAGCAATTCGCCTTAAACCTATAATTATCGTAAACCGACATTCTTGAAAGGCTAGAAAGCGATTGGAGAATCGTTGAAATGCAAAAAATCACAACTAGAACAACTAGAATATGTGGAATTTCTGAAAAGGATTGATGAGAAAAATCTTAAATAGAAATAAAGTAACAACAAAGTTCAACTTAAGAACACAATCAAAGCCAACAATTGATTGTAGTGCTTCTTATCGATTGAAGAACTTGCAGAGAAAGATGGTAAAAGAAAGAAAGAGTAAAGTCGAAATCGGCTAATTGTGTGCTATTCATGGATAGTGGGGAAAGACAAGAAGACAAGGCAACGATATACTCAAAAAGGGGAGAAGTGGTGGGAAAATGGAAAGATTGAAAGAAGATGATTAGGAAATGGATTCTGATGACTTTGATTAGATTCGGCTTTTGGCGTACTTTAGCAAGATTCCTTTAAAGATTATTCTAAAGGCAACCAGAGCCTGTATGCTACGCTCCGGGAAAAGTTCCGGCGGCGTCTCTGCTCTTTACGGCGGCACCTTTGATATTTCCGGTAAAACGTCCATGGTTTTCCGGCGAAGTGGACTTTTCCTCCGAAAGTTCCTCGAAAAGTTCAGGCGGAAAGTAAGCGAGCGAAAGTATAGGCGTTTTACCGAAAACCGGCAAGTTCAAAGATGCCGCCGTAAAGATCAGAGACGCCACCAGAACTTTTTCCGGAGCTCAGACTTTACTGTAAACCTGGTCTAAATAGCTGAGTCCAAAAAAAAGCTAGAATTCAGTATGAAAATACACCATATCTCTACACGATTGTAATTTCCTTACGTGACTTGTTAAATCAAGCTAAAATTAACGCCTTTATTCGGTTAGAGCAAGCTTTAGTGTAAAAAAAATAAAGTAAAAAGGTAAAGGTAAGAAAGGTAAAGTAAAAACGAGTCCAATAAGAATGCTTTTCAATTTTCAAGTCCAAAGTACATCATAGAATAAATTTGGCGCTAAATCAACAGGAAAAAAAATGTTTCAAACGAGTAGTGAACCTTTTGAGTGGTTGCGGATTGAATTTCAAGTCAGAACAAAACCCAGATTCACAAAACAATCAAAACCGCCCGACAGCCAAAACATCAATTCCCTAGACAATCAACTAATTCAGATTTTTGATCAAAGACAGCTGGAATGCCTGAAAAGTTGAACTTTTTAATGTACTCAGACAGAAGAATGGATTGAGAACTGATAAAAAATCGATCACTTTATAAAACGATAAGAAAACTGTGACTTCTTTTCACCTCAAAAGATGGTGAGATTAAAAACGCGAAGAAATCCCACAAAATCTCGCCCCGGAAGAGCCATCAATAGATTGTGGCAGCATTTTTTATGGTTTGTCTGCCCTTTTTTGAATGAGTGTTTCTTCTTTTTTTCACTTTGCCGGATTATCCCCATCACAACCAATCCCCGTAGATTTATCGCTCAAAGAAATCAAGAAACTTTCAATTTATCCCCATTGATGAAAATGTTTCAGCAAAAATTGGGAAAGAATAGTTTTCTTGCAAATCTTAGGTTTTATAAGTCATAAGAATTCATTTATTTTCCTGAAAAGGTGCAAGCAATGTGTATTTTTGCGCAAAATGAAAGTGTGAGTTGGTCCAAGTCTATCTAGAGATCGAATTTCATCAAAAAGCAAAGACTTCTGCTACACTAAAAGCTAGAAAAGTCAATAAACCCTCAACTTTTCACAACCAAATCAGAATTTGAATTTCAGATTTTGTTATCTGATTGAGTTTAACATTTAAAAGAAACGATTTTAAGGAAATAATTGAAAAATTGGTCGATAACAAATTATCTACCAGGAACTTAAAGACAAACTATCAGGCAAACAAGTTGTTCTACTAACAAATATACTTTCTAAAAGATCTATTGTTGACAAACAAGTTACAGGTTGACAAAAAAGTTGGTGATAAAAAAGTTGGTGACAAACAAGTTATAACAAACATTATAGTTATAAGCTATTGGAAAAAAGGTAGATTGTATCAAAAGACAATCCTGGACAATACTTTTCGAAAAGATCTATTGTTAACAAGAAAGGATCTCCCAAAGAAGCGTTACTGAAAAAGGCGTGAAGGCAAAATTGGAAAAGTTCGAATAGAATTTCTGGAGGCTTATCCATCCAGCTGCCTTCCAAACGGGCTAAGATGAAGGATATTGAAGGAGAATGGGAAAGAATGAAAGAAAAGATAGAAAAAGAGATGAAAACCCGAGACTCATCATTGCCTTTTTCTTTCTTTGGTGTGAAAGGTATCAAAGTGAACTCACAGAGTTCACCCATATCTTGCTAGTGAAATCTTCAAAGATCTAAGAAAAATGCATCAAATAAGTCCTACTATCTGTAAAGGTGTAATTTTATATTTTTGATTTTCTCTTTTTCTCTAAAAACTAGAGTGTGTTCCTCTAGAGTAATGCGTTTTTTAGAATGCACTTATTTGAGAAAAGCATCGTAGTCAAACCGTTAGTTTACATTTAATCCGTCCGATTTTGGTATCATTCAATGAGGAATTACAATGCTCAGTCAATGATACCAAAAATGGGCTGATCGAATGTAAACTAACGGTTTGGCTATGGTACTTTTCTCAATAAGGTGCTTTTTAGAAAACGTATTACTCGAGAGGAACTATACATTCCCCCCCCCCCTTTCCCCCAAAGTGTCCCCCCCCTTCCCCCATCCCCCCTAGTACCCCCTATTTTTATCAATATATAGGGAGATGTTAAAACCCGGGAGAGAAACAGCAAAATTCAGCTTCGATTGGCTGTCCGAAAGTCTTTTCGTTCCTTTCCCTGAGAGCAAAAGGGAAGAAAAAAGGGGAAGGGGGGCAGGGGAAGGGGGGGGGGGGGGGGGGGGGGGGGGGGGGGGACACTCGAAATGTATAAGAGGAACACACAATACTAAAAATTTTGTGAATAACAACTTTGTGATTAAAAAACATTCAAAATAAACTTTTTCAAAACGTTTAAGAGTTTTAAAAACTTTAGTAGCAAAGCTTGTGCCTGAGATTGACAAATTTGTGTACTTGATCAGTGTTAAACTCGACGAACATCATCTATTCATATATCTGAAATTCTTAAAATTGTTATTTCTTCCTTTATGATCACTTCTTTATTTAAAAGGTAATGGCCAAAAAAGATCTTTCTTCTCATTATTCGTTTCCTTTCATTTCATAACTCATATCCTTTTTCCTTTTTCCTTTATTAATTGCAAGCTGTGGAATTTATGTGTGTTGTAGATCTTTGTTACGCTTTATTACTGAAATAAAGTATATATTATTATCAAAACGCAGTGTCTATCACTTTTACACTGCCGATCTTTCAAACAGCATTCAAAATAAAGTATTGTTATTGTCTATTTGTCGATCAAGAAGCAGCTCCTTTAATTCATCGGCCGCTTTCAGATTGACTAAATCCAAAGATTGTCAATCAAAATAATAATCTTTCTTTTTGTCTATTCAAAGCTTCAAGCAATCTGTATCTAGGCTCAATAATAATATCGATAAATCAGATCCTTTATTGTAATACACTGAAGTGAACCAGTGATTGTAAAATTGCGACTTTTTGGTGATATGATTCTGAAATAATGATTAATAGATTAGTGAAGATTATTTTAAGCTTTAAGCTTATTAACGATCCGGAAACGACTTAGAAGAATGTTTTTGTGGTACAACTCAACAAAATTTTAAATTTTCGATTATTTTTTGCATTTTTTCTTGTCAAAAGTTTGCCATATATAAAAATACCACTGGGGCACCAGGGTGAATTATCGCAAACGAAATATATCAATCACAAACAACGACCACACAAACAGGCTAATCTTAACAACCCACGTCATGACAGACGGCCCCAACCCAAGCCAATGGGGAACAAATAGCTTTTTGGTGGTGAAGGGAAGGACGATGAAGGAGTGGCTTGTCACTTTAAAGAACTGGGGCCACAACCACCAGACTGCCCCAGAAACCCTCAACCCGAAGGAAAGGAAACCGAAGGGGTGACCATGTCGCATGTGGGGTTCGAACCCTCGACCTTCCGATTAAGATAAAAGACACTTACCCAGTCAGGCACACGTGCTTTCAATTATATGTTTAAATAATTGAAAAATAAAGAAAAACTGTCAAAAGCAGGGCGATATTTTGATAATTTTCTTTATAAAGAACCAGAACAGCTTCAGAAAAATGGTAAAAATGATTGCCAGAAAGAAATTCCCTGTGTTGGAAAAGGCCACCATGGAAGCTTTAGCGTAAATTGCACCCATGGAGCAGTGGATAGCGCTCACGCCTCACATGGCCCGGGTTCGACCCCGGTCAGTAACAAGTTACTTTGGCTTTTTGCAAAAATTTTTTTAAAAACCACAACTACATAAAATTTCATTGGGAAATTGGACACGTGTTTCAGCGTTTTTTAAAATACTCAAAGGGGACGCGCGTTGTGCGCGCACAGACAGACAGAGATTATTTTTTATATATACCGTATTTTCTAGTAGTGCACCCAGAGCGTCGCCTAAATTTCTCGAAATCTCGAGAACCGCTTATCAGAACCTAGCGATGTGGGGTCGGAAAATGTAGCTGACGATGAGATCTAGTGGGGGGAGTGTTGAGCTTCTGCAAAAACTTAGAAACCGTAAAATAGTCACCAACTCAGCTCCCTGGGGTGCACTACTATTAGAGAAAATACGGTAGTAGAGATATATACTAAGAATATAAGTTAAAGAAAATGAATGCAACAGCTTGGTAGATAGATGCACCCGTTATCAGCTATCTGTATGTTCACTTTTTCTCATGCTAGTCATGATTGTGCATGTTTCTGATTAGTTTTACTGATCTGATTATCATCTCTTTGAAGTTGTCAACACTTTAACCTTAAAGAATTTTTAAAATGGTTCTCAAAAGCCTTGCTGTCCTCTCTACTCCATCAATTCTTCATTCATTCTAAAGCCGCGGTCTCACCACGATTCCCTTTGATCTGGCAATGGCCCTCAGCCAAAACTGTTCTCCCGGGCAGAAGAGACCTATTTGAATCTTGTCCTTGCCCTTTTTCCATCTCTTTTCTTTTCTCTTTTCTCCCCAACTCGTCCTCGAACACCACTCTCTTTTGGGGTCTCTTTCAATAGGCATGCATCCTTCTTGTTTACTACTTTTTTTTCTCATTGTCCTCTCTATTGCCAATCGTACTAATCGATTGTTAGTGTCTCGGTAAACATTAAAAGTTTTTTTATTACAGCAACAAGAACAACAAAAGGCTTTTTCCACGTTATCCACAACAATTTTTGGATGGATTATAGCATTATACTAAAGCCTTTTCCAGTTTCAATTAATGATAACTATATGTTTAATTTTCTGTTTCTAATCTTAACCCTGCCTTTTTAAATCCATCATTCAAACGTGTGATTTACTTTTAAATGCCTTTCATTATCTGATTATCTCTATTTTCGTAAACTAATGTTTGCATTCCTCTCACTCTAAAGGACGATTATAAGAGTGTTTTATTTGAAAAGAGCAATGAATCATGAAGTCTTTTCCTTGCTTTTCTCCATTTCTTGCCTCTTCTTTTTTTCCTCACTTTCGAAAATTGATTCACGTTGGCAAATGAAGAAAAAGAAAGTTTTTTTAACATCCTTGAAATCTTACAAATCGGTTAAAAGATTTAAAAGGTTTTTAGCTAACTATAAGAACAGCCTTGACATGATTTTGCGCAATCTTTTTGGCTGTTAGTTTTTATCTAAACACAAGTTGTCTATAATTCCTGTTTTGCAAAATTTTATGCTTACTAGCACAAAGATTCGAGTATATCTATTAAAGTTTCCAATTGAAACTGAACACTTTGGCTAGAAGCAATGGCTAAACTATTGCAAAGTGATGATTAAGCCAATTGTTAAAGACTTTACAAGAAAACTTTACTCCTGGTAGTTCCTGTTCCCTGTTAGTTCATCGTTGTTAGCAATTATTAGCGTTTAACATCGATTACCATTTGAAAATTACCCAAAGATTCAACTCAATCGTTTCAAATCGGGTCTCTTTTAGGATCCTTTGGGGCATCTTTCCCATTGGCAAGCATGTGCTAATTCGTCTTCTCCTATTCTCTTTCCTTGTCCTCATTTCCCACACGAGAGGGGTTAGGCAGTGAAGGGGCAAACATGACCCGCGCAATGTCAATTTAGACCCTCTGTCGCAACATTTCATTTAAATAGATTCCAGCGTTTTTTTCATCAATTCTTTTAGCCTTCATGACTCTCTTCAACTTCTGAGTTTTTAATCCCTAGGCTGTTGCAAGCTCTACAACATATTGGAATTTAAAAGCGTTTCTTTGTTTTACTAAATTGAATTCTTTTTCAATGATTATGATTAGTTTATTGCATTTTTCAACCACCAGCCCCATTTCAACAACTGATTCATCTCTATGACTCTTTCCACGTTTAATTTTTTCTTTTTTTTCCAGAAATTATCGTTCTTGAAATGTTTAAGTGTAGAAATGTTATATTTTTAGATTTTTTTTGAGAATGGACCGCTCAATACAGCGGGATCGTTCAACTTCGCCGGCGAGGTCACTGTTTTCACGGCTCTCTCGGCCAGTCACTCCAATCAGGACTTTAGCGTACGTTTTTAATGGTATTTGATGCTTACTATAAGTTCAAAATGATTTTATTTTATTGTTCAACTAGTTGCAATCACATCTTATTTTAGATCACCACCACTCACTCATGAAGAAGCTGAAGAGTTGATCTCGCCGTATCAATATCACTCTGGATATACCTATGCTAACAGGTATAATATAGTTAAATTGTTTATTGTTAATCAAATATATTGTAAGCTTAAGATATTTAATTATTCAGCTTGCTATATCGAGACTCAATGGCTGATAGTGATGTCTACGAGATTCCGAATCTCGCTCGAGGCTTAGATCGACCTCGCTACACAACAGTGAAGCTAATAAAACGTGTAACGGTTTGGGAAAGGATATGGATATTTTTACAGGTAATTGATTAAATAGGCGATCAATTCCCGTTTTTTCTAGAGCTTTGCGAGTTTCTTGTGGTCATCAACGGCAAGCACAACAGCGCTCATCGGCTTCTTGTTAAAACTTTTGCTAACGATTCTTTCGATTCCTGTCTACATTCTTGTTTTGGGTTTTATTTATCCAGGTGACAATGGTTCAAGAGAATAATATATCTTTTCTTTAGTCTACCTCATCACTCGGTACGCGATTTGGAAAACGCACTTTGTCTGCTGGAAAATCGTTTCTGCGATTGGGATCGGTGAGAAAAACAATGTTATTGTTTGAAATGTAAAAGTTCAGTGAAACGACACGTGCACTTTTCCGATTTGGATACGATAAAGGATCATGGATTTGTTTCTCGATATATTGAGTACTACTCTGGATGGGGATTCGTGGAAGGACTTATCAATCTTCTATGGGAAGCTGCTGGACCATCGAAGCCTTGGAGTTTCATTGAACCGTTCACCGTTTTGATTGATGTAAGTTATGAAAACTGGATGAACTTTGTTATTGGAACATAGATAGATTACAAATTTTTCAAGTTGGAATGATTTTAAACCCTAGATCAAGCTTTAATACTTCTTGCATCTTGGATTTTGTGCCTGATTTGTACCCAAGTTTAGTGTACATTAATAAACCAAAGAGATTGGATACCTCTAGAATTTAAGAAGTTTCAAAAGTGTTTGTTTAAGTTAAGTTGCTAATTAGAAATCAATTTTCAATCATCCATTTAACCGAAAATTCCAGGACGCTCTCACAACGACAACCTTTTTTCCGGCTCCCTTCCGTGACTACTTCTTCCGTTGGAGATCGGGTTTTGAGCGTCAAAAGATTCTCCCTAATAAGCTGGTACGTTTACAAATCTTGTGGTTACGTTATCTACAAATTGTTTACGTTAACAGTGCAATAATTCATCTCTAGGCTGCAAAATTGCTTGAATACACCGACGAGATTCGCTCTAAATCCCTTCTCTCTTCAACCAATGGACATCCGAATGCTCATCGCTCCAAGATTGAAGTGAGTCAGGCAAATGCCAACAAATTGTTTGAATATCTTATTTTATTGCTTAATAACTTAACTAATGATTATTTCACTCTCTAATCATTTTAGATTGACCAGACAATTGTTGTTTCCAATGGTTCTCCCATCAAAAGACATACGATTACAGGATCATCCTCGGTACGTTTCTTTTTGGATCATGATAAGGTGATTTGATAGAATTAGTGACAATTTTTGCTGGAAATTGCTTTTTTGCAAGATAAGAAAGATCAAGCATAGTTACCCAAGTTTAAAAACTCTATCACCAAGCGCTTTTTGTATGCAAATGAGATTGGTGAGAGGGGGAGTTAGCGGGGAAATCGGAAATCGGATCTTCATTCGCATTATATAGGTAGGGTTCTTTTCTGCACATAGAGCTAATCGGTGTATTCAATGGAGGGAGGAATGGAGGAGGACACCCCGCTTAACGGCCCTTCTCCCACACAAACAGCCACCCTTTCTCTCCCCTTTCTTCACTGGACCTTATTGTTCCCTTTCTTTTACCCTATCCCTCTTTCTCCCATTGGTACCCTTACAATGGTGGGAGCTCTTTGGTGCACAAGTGACTGAGAATCTTTCACATACATAACCATCTCGTTTACCATTCTTGATTCCAGAGCTACGATTATTTATACTATCTTGAAGTGAGTGGCTTTTAAAGCTTTATAATTTGACTTATTTTTATTATTTAATTTTTTATTCTTTCAAATTTGAAATTTAAAAGATATTTAAGTTACTTTTCAATTTATTAGGCTGTTCAGAAAGTCTTTTCGTTTCTTTTCGTACTTCCGTTTAAAATCAGCAAATTCACCAATGGAACTATGGTTATTTTCATTAGAAAGGTCAATTATTTTCCTGCAAAATAACATTAAAAAAGATTTAAAATGTCTTATGTTTGGATTTTTTGGGAGCGTGAAGTCGGGTAGTCAAAAAGACGGCTCGATGATGCGATTTAGACACTTTGGCTAAGAAAACCTATCTTGATGTCAATAGATAAAAGATAGAGCACAAAAAGTTTGGTGTATAGCCAAATTTTCAGAGAAATTGGCTCAGCCAATTACTTCGTAGAGGTTTTTGTAGAAAATACGTTTATCACTCTCGAATTTGCTTGTAAGTGAACCGAAATTGACTTAAGAAGATGAAAATTAAACAATAAACACTTTTCATTTAAAGAAAAACATAGGTTAATTGGTGAATTTGTTATTGCTCTTTAAACTTTATTGCTTTATTTAAACTTTAAACTTTAATCTTTATTGCTGCACTTTAAACCCACGGTTGTAATAATTATTTTTTTTTGTCTAATAACATTCAATTCAGGCTATGAGAGAAGAAATCGAGAACACGCGAAGTTTGAGAAATCGGACACCGGTGAAAGCTGGACAGGTAGCTGTCTTTAGAAAGCTAAATGTTTCAAACAGAATCTAGAATTTAAAGTAATAAATTATTTCAGGAACCTGACAATCTAACAACAACACCAACTCGTCGAGGACGGCCGAGAAGAAACGTTACACGGAGAGTCGGTGACACAGATGATGAGGGATTTGAGTCAGGGACGGAAAAGAAGTGAGTCAAATTTTCACTGTATGATTTCTGTATGACATATGACATGTATTTCAACATTTGTCTATGTATTTTTCTGACAGATTTCTCAAATTTTACCAGCAGATTAAGAATATCATAACCTTAAAACCCGTGTTTTACATGTTTTTCAGCTCTCAACGAGAGGCCTTCTCGAAATGGTCAAACGAGAGAAATCGGCAACAATTGGGAGCGTTTTTCACAAGAATTTTCGATTCTGTCATCTATTCTTTCAAATACATCAAAGATTTTGTGGCCAAATTCTGTCGAATCACCTTTTTACTGTTCGTGTGGACAGTTGAACAGATTTGGAGCGGTTTTCAAACGATTTTCAGCCCAATACAGTAAGTTTAGCGTCAATATTTTAATAATATCAATAATAATGTAAACAATGTAAGCTTTCAGAAATGCTTTCTACTATATTTTCTACGGAAAGCAAACAACTGGTGGCTATGATCTCCGATCTCGATACATACCGACAAATGTTGGTGCAGAGGATGAAACATCAGCAAAGTGAGTTTAAAATTGATTGAAAATTTGGGTGGTTACAATGATGTCATGGCCGAGTATTTAGGTTAGGGTTGTTTTCTAATCTGGAGCTCACGGGTTCGATCCAAGCGGCTAGAAAATTTGACTCTAGTTAATATACTTTTTCTTTGCAAGATCTTTAGGAGTTGCGTGTTTAGTTTTGTATTTGTTTGTATCACATTATCCATGATGAATGTCTACTTTGAAAAACAAACTCGAATCTCACTACTTTAGTTTTCTCAAAAACACGGAAGGTCACGCTCTACGCGCTTACCGAAGCACAACAAACACTATTAGCAGAGGGTAAGTTTGATTTAAAGCAAAAAAATTCTAACAATAAGCACTAGGCTAAAAAATTTACCTGTACTTATGACTTACAGAACCTCTTCTGCCATTGGAGGCTTGTCAAATGGAGCTAAAGAAGCAAAGAAAAAGATCAATGATTGGTGGTGGATATTACCATTGATCCTTCTTCTTCTACTCCTTTTCTTTGCTGCTCGAAATCCTCAAGGTTGGCTTAATTTTTAGCTACTACAAGTTTGCTAACAAATAACGATTACTCTTCTTTTCAGTTCAAGAAAAAATGCAAAACGTCCGATCCTCAATGCCAGTTGCTCTTCAGACAGCTTATGACAAAACGGGAAACTTCTTTCAATCAATTTGGGGCTTCTTTACTGATTGTGGAAATAAAATCGTGAATGGATTCAAAGACGTATTAGGACGTGGAAATGTAAGTTTACTATTGAGATTCTAAAATATAATCTTTTAGACATTCTTCTTCAACTTGGTCACTGGTTTTACACGAGTTATCACTGATTCGATGACTTGGTTGGGTGATAAAGTTGGTGCTTGTTTTGGATGGGTGAAAACCGGCTCCACCTCGCTTTTTTTCGAAGCTTTCCGTTTTCTCGCGAATTCCTTTCGATCTGCTTTTGATTTCTTTCAGGTTTGACATTTTAAAGTTTAAAAAATATAAAAATAAGCTTTAGACTGGATTGAGCACAGTTTGGAGATGGTTTCTGAGTTTCTGGGTAACCTATGGCCCATCTGGAGCTTTCGGTGATGCTTTCAGCTACTCATTTGGTACCGCAAAAACCGGAGTTTTAATGATCAAAGACTGGATCTTCTATATCGGTTTGATAACAAATTGAATGTCTAAAATCTTGTTTCAGTGAACTTTGCAAGTTCAACATTTGTGACCGTTGCAAGTGGAATCAAAGCCGGATGGGAAGAGTCGAAGAGTCATCCCACACCTCCACCCGTTCCCAAAGAGCCCGTCTTGCCCTATACAGAAGATATCAAAAAGGAGCCTTTGATCATCGATCAATCACGAGAAAGACGTAAGTTCTACAGAGAAAGTCAATTAAAAGAAACAAATAGATAATTTTAAGTAAAAATCTTTCAGAGATCTCTGAAGCCGATATCGACGCCAAGATCCAGCGCACAGTGGCCTCAATTCTTGAGAATCAAGTTTCAACTCTTATCGAGAAGAAAATTGGCCTACTTCTCGCTGATATTAGGCACGATTATATGGTAAGCCAAAATTAAAAAGTTTAGCCAAAAGTTAAATCAAGTTTTCAGTCAGCCAGCAAAAACCAAGCCTCTCAGAATCAGGCCGAGCTCGATTCAATCAAAGCTCAACTGAAAGCTCTTCAAGATATCAAAGTATGTGTGAAATTTTGAAAAAATCAGAAAATTGAATAGATTTGCTTATATTACTTGTGTAGTACTTGTCGGTTATATCCCGAAATTTACATTTTTTGAAATTAGCATTGAGAAATACTTAATTTAGTCATAGCTTCCAAAATCTTCTTTTAAAATAGTAAATCAAGCAATTTGGGGATATAGCCGATTTGATGCAATGGAGAATTCACATTTTTTTTGTTACAATAACCTATTTTGGTGTCTTTAGATAAAAGATAGAGCACAAAAAGTTAGGTATTAAGACAAATTTTCGCCAACAATTACCTAACTTTTCAGGTCAGCATTCTTGAACTACAAAAAACTGAAGGAACCTCTTTGGACATGTCCTCATTGGAAGCAAAAATCAATGCTGCCATTTTAAAGTACAACTCAGGTACAGTAATTGAAAACTGACTTAGATTTGAAGACTTAACCACTTTCAATTCGACTTTTAGATAGAACCGGTATCCCGGATTATGCTTTGGAGTCAGCTGGAGGATCGGTTGTTTCAACGAGATGCAGTGAGACCTATCCACAAGCGAGCCGACTCGAGAAACTCTTCAACATTCCACTCTGGTATTCGAATTATGGGCCAAGGACGGTTATTCAAGTGAGTTTGGTTGTTACTACCTAACTAGCAATTTTAAAATGTTATAAATACTCAATGGAACCACAGTTGAATTAGCTTTGGCATGAAGCAAGCAATCTAAAAATAAGTTTTCAGCGCTCATCACCAGCTCTCGTGCCCGGAGAATGCTGGGCTTTCACTGGAGGCGTCGGATTTTTGACGATCAAACTCGCTCGCCCACTTAGAGTCACCTCAATCTCTTACGAACATGTGGCAAAAGAATTGACTCCCGATGGGCAAATCCAATCATCACCAAAGGAAATGACGTTCTTTGTAAGTTGCAAAAAGATTATTTGAAAAAACAAAATTTCTAGGCTTACAAAGATGTGAATGATATTCAAACGAGGGTGAAATTGGGTGACTTTTTGTACAAGGACACTGGAGATTCACTGCAATTCTTCGATATTACTGTAAGTGTAACAAGTAGGTATACGATAGTCAGTTTATCCTATCGTGTCCAGTATAAAGTTGGTTTACTTACCGTAAATACTGCAATAGTACCCCCCCACCCCCCTCGTACAGTCGCGTAGTCGCAAAAGTTTTTTAATATTTCATTTTTTTCGAAGCACCCGTACTTTCAAAAAATGCGTCTTTGGTATCAAAAAATAGCCCTGAATTTAAGCTATTTTTTGATATCTAAGCGCGCATTGTAGCATAAACCAGTGTCGAGAAAAACTCGTTCAAAGCTAGGCTACGCAACGCTTCGCACCGTCATTATGGGGGTGGGGGTACTATTACAGTATTTACGGTATGCTCTCTTAACCTTTCTGTATTCGTTTCGTAAGTGGTTTTTCAAAATATTTGAATTGAATTACCAAAATTCCCGTTTTCAGGTTGATCCCGGTTTCCCAGTTGAATACGTGGAATTGCAAGTCGACTCAAACTATGGCGCTCCATTCACGTGTCTCTATCGGCTACGAATTCACGGAAAAACGATGGGCCCCCAAACAGATGATGATATTCTTGTTCATGATGAACTTTAAAGTCACATTTTTTTTTGCTAAAGCTCTCAAATCCCTTTAACACTGCCATAATAACTTGTTACTTTTTTGATCCTCGAGTTGTTAAAGTTTTCGAATGGCTTCTATTCAAAATCATTGATCTCCCCGATATTATTTTTGACTTTCGAATCTAATAATTTGTATCTAGAATTGTCTTGTTTTGTTTTTCGCATCATTCCCTTATTTTTTTATACAATCACTACTATTCAACGTGTATTCCAATTGTTCTGCGTTTTTAATTGAAAGTTTTTGGCGTCATTGTCACCGGTGCGTTTGGAATAAATTTTTATCTTTGTACCTTCAAAAATCAGAAAGACTATTTTGAATTAATTAAAGTTTTGTTATCAAGCTTTATTACATAAATAAACCATTCTTCTTCAGTTACCGTAAATGCTTTATTAGAATGACATGGGATTCTATTTTTCAATGCCCATTCTATTTAAGGGTGTCATTCTAATACAGCATTTACGGTACTTTATCGTTTATATAGTTGATTGAATAGCCCACTCGGGAGCGGTGAGCTTGTTTTAATTCAAAAATGAAGATAAGAAAAGGTTCTAAAAAGTTCAATCTTTTTAAGCAAACAGTACACGTAAGAGTTTGAGAAGAAAATGAGCTACTCATTTGGTACCGCAAAAACCGGAGTTTTAATGATCAAAGACTGGATCTTCTATATCGGTTTGACAACAAAATGAGAGATGAAGAAAAGGAAAAATGTAGAAAATGAGAAAAAGAAAGAGAACAGAAAAAACAGTAAGCCTTGAACAATCACGTCTAAAAAAAGTAAATCTTGAAGACTAACACTAACTTCTAATCAAAAAATCAAGAATTAGAAAGAAATCCTATATCCAGCGCTTCGATTTATCCAGATTTCCCTCAAAAGTTCGATCGGAATCTCCATCGTGAAGAGTGCTCTCTTGGCCATTGTCTCAAGTGGAAGCAATTTGGGAAACTCAAGTCTTTTGACTCGTCCATAGCTGAAAAATTGCTTTAGTTAAGTCTAGTGTCATAAAAGAATGCTTTTGTACTCTTTTATACCCGTTTTTGAAAGCAAAACTCTAGCCTAAACATTAGCAAACCAACGCTTTAATACTGTATTGTCTCTCTCTCGATCGTGACGGATCTTTCATAAAACTTTCAACAATAAAAAGCCAAAAGTCTCCAAATGGGGAATAAGAAACGAAAATCGAAAAATCATCTGGCAATCTGAATATTTATCGATTACTTGCTTATTTCTGTGCTAAGTTTGCTCACATTGTCTCGAGATTGAGCTGAACCATCTTTGCGGCTCCAGTTTTCGTATTGATCACGACAAGATTGCCCTGAAATCAATTTTTAGATCAAAGTATTACAATTTGGTAGTGGATTTTCTTTTTAGAACATTTTTATCTAACTTTTCTAGTATCTCACCTCTTCATCCGGTTTGTAAAGGCAAATCTCGAATCCTTTTTGACAAAAACGCGGCAAATGCAGCATTTGCTAAAAATTGATTCAAAAATGATTCAAAAATAGAGTTTTTACCCATTCCGGGAGACGATTTGTATAGCGAATAGGCTGAAATTCGCAAATCCCAGGAATTGGAGCCCGAATATCGGTCACTTTATTCAAAATTACTTCCTCGATGTTTACCCAAAAGAAACGTTCAGGAACATAGTCCTAAATCACATTGCAAGGCTTAAAAGACTTTAAAAACCAAACTGAATAAAGACTAAAGATTGACTTGTAAAAACTTGTAAAAATCTCACATCATTGTCTCCTAAATGATTGTCAAACGAAAAGAAGTAAAGCTTGTTCCCGACGATAAAAGATTCCAGCACTAAATTGAAAATCCATTAAATTTCATGTGAAACTTTACTTGTCGAAATGTTTCCATCAAATTCATTGAGAACAAAAAAATCGTGGCGAATGAATTGAAGATGGATTTTGATTCTAAATCTTTTTTTTTATCATTATTTTATCAAGTTTATCTCTTGCCGGTGATCGATTTTCAATTCATGCTTTGGATTAAATGAGAATAAATGCACTTCAAACCAATAGAAGAACATTTGCAAATCGATTGGACGATGCTTGACAAGGAATGGAAAACAGATGTACTCTAAAAAAGTGAGTAATGATCTTTTTTGAGAGTTACAATGTTGACAAAATCGTGGATTAGATTCATAAGCTAAACCTTGTCCAAAAATAGTGATAGGATGATTGTTGGCGACGTGGGAAATCGAGTACCGAGAGATGTAGGGATGATCGCGGGGAATCCAATTTGATTGATCGTACAAAATCCTCGGCACATCATACGATTTTGACATTAGATCTTTCATCTGAAATAAATTGAAAGCTCAATGAAGCTAAACTTTGTCCAAAAATGGTGCCCAAAAGTCTTTCCAGTACAATAAAAATGATTTTAAAGCTTTCAATCTTTAAAGCTTTCAATCTTTAAAGCTTTCAATCTTTAAAGCTTTAAAATCAAAGCTTTAAAGCTTAAGTCATTTTCTTGTAAAACTTGCCTCCTTTTTCTCATGATCAATCTCAATCGCTCTTTGATGAAACTGTGAATGTTCATCAAGTTGTGCGCTTCTTTGCGGCTCAAATCCTTTACACTGATTTTGATACTGGGTACCTCTTCGCATCTTTCGATTCAATGCATCACTATAAAGTTCTTTGATAAAAGATATTTATAAAAACTTACTAATCCATAACAATGAGAGTGCTGTCGTTCAACCAGTAAAACGAAAAAATATACTAGAATAGCGTTTTTGTGAAAACCTTTATCCATTTTTAGCTTACATCTCGGAAATCAACTCCTCCCCAATCGTACTCGTGAATCTCTTTGGTGAAAACATCGAAGATCACAAGTCTGAGTTTCTTTGATTGTTAGCTTGTTTTATGTAAAGGATTTCCACGATTTTTTAAAGATTTCTCACCTCTCATCCTTTTCGAGCGCCATTCCACCCAACCAAACGCCATATCGACCTGATGGAGACCACGTCCAATTCGTCACCGAACCACTAATGTCCAGATCTTTTACAGTACAATTAACAACATAAATATAAAAAACAGTAATAAACAACAGTCTTTTACATTAAAAAAAGTAACTTACACTTGTGTGCATCGAATCTCCTTCGGCGGCTCGGATTCATTTCCCGCGTCTTCCTCATTCAATTGATTCAAAATCGCCAAAAATGGATCTTCTAGCTCGTCTTCTAGTTCCTCTTCCGATTCAACGTTTGCGATCTCACTATCACCTCTAAATCTTGATCAAGCGCAGTTTCTTAGATCTTAGATCACAGATCAAACGTAGATCAAGCGCAGATTTCTTACAGAACTCGCTCTTCGTCGATTTCGATAATAACTTCTCTCTTTTCCTCACGATAAAGAATATCAACTGCCGAAAGATTGTTGATGATTTTGTGCTAAAATGATTGCTAGAATACAAAAAAGTTATATCTAAGGATTATCGACTCTTACGTAGTTTCCGAGTATTTTGGACGGCTCGCCATGCTTTGAAGGTCTATAACTTTACCCAGAGATCATATTTTTGTTAACTTTTTATATCATTGTACAGAGGACATTTTAGTCTTTCAAATGATACTAAATAGAGCTTGACTGAATTTTTCATTCTTATGCAAACAAGGCGACACAACACCCGAGTTGGATAGGCCTCATTTGCTCAGAGTTAGCTCTGATTTTTTTGGACTGGATTTTCTTGGACTGGATTTTCCAATCAAGCTCTCTTTAGTATCATTTGAAAGTTTAAAATGTCCTCTGTACAATGATATAAAAAGTTAATCAAAAATATGATCTCTGGGTAAAGTTATAGACCTTCAAAGCCTGATGAGCCGTTCAAAATACTAGCAAGAGCCGAATTATCCGAACTAAAGCGTCAGAACTAATCATCTATAGTTGGATATTTGTTTCTTTAATTAGCATTATGCATTTTATAAGTTTAAAAGAAATTTATGTGATTAAAATGTTCCAAAATTAAAATAAAACCTTTGCATTTGTTTCCTTTTTCGGATGAGGTTGAGAGTAATGAAAACGCCAATAAATCAAAATGAGAACGCCCGCGATGAACAGCTGAAATAACTGAGTCTTGAGTCTTGCATACTTGTGATTTAAAATAGAAACACATCCTTTCTAGTGCACCAATTTGATGTAAGCTAACATTGTAAAACTTTTACCGTTTCGTATAGAAAGAGAAGTAAACTGAGCACACCAAGGTGAAGTTCGACAAGCAAAATGCTACAATAAACACCAATCCAAATTGAAGCGGCTAGGAAAACTTATAAATTAATTTTAAAATTAAATCTTACATCCACCTGACAAATTGTAAGATATTTCAACCATCTTGATCAAAAAAAGATCGAGAAATTACCCTGAAAATAAAAATTGATCGAGTTTCAATCAAAATAAGCAATAATCTCTGAAAAAAATCGGCCTGATTGATCAATAGATAAATTTTTTCTCGTCTTCCGGAAATTCTTTTGCATTGCTACAATGATTCATCTCTTGATCGGGTGCTCAAAACACAATACAAAGAGACACAAGAACATTTGCCACACTTGCAATTCAATGAGATCTTTGCAGAGAAATCTGTAAGTTTCTTTGATTGCTAGCTTGTTTTGTAAAGGATAAATTCTGGCATTTTTAAAGATTTCTTATCTCTCATCCTTTTGGAACACCATTCCACCCAACCAGGCTCCATATCGACCTGATAGACCACGTCCAATTCGTCACCGAACCACTAAATGTCCAACAAACACACCTTTTACAGTTATCATAAACAACGATAACTCAGACTCGTGAATCGAATCTCTTTGGGCGGCTCGGATTCATTTCCCTCGTCTTCCTCATTCAATTGATTCAAACCAAAAATGGATCTTTAGTTCCTCTCCCGATTCAACGGTTGCGATCTCACTAAAGGATAAGATGCTATTTTTAAAGTTTTTCATCTCTCATCCTTTTCGAACACCATTCCACCTGATCCACGTTCAATTCGTCACCGAACCACTAAATGTCCAACAAACACATCTTTTGCAGTTATAAAGATTTATTGGCGTAAATTTATTTGGTATTGATGGGTTATCTCCCCTCTCCCACTCAAAAATTTGAATTTATCAATTTGCATATAACATTTTAATTTCCTCAGTGGGGCTCCCATCTCTTCATAGATAGTATTAAGCAATAAAATTTGCATAAAACTAGAACGATGGCAATTTGGTTTCTAAAATAAAAATACTTTCTATATTTGCTATATTTTCTAAAACAATCTAAATAGGCAATGCGAAACCAGAAATCAAATTAGCATTTAACTGCACCAGCGAAGCGTAGAGGAGCATTGTTGAGGAGGTGGGTGGCGGAAATTTCAGTCCGCTGAAGAGTTGGTTTCTTTTTTTTTGGCGAGGGGGAGATAACCAATAAGTACCATCTATTTGAATAATTATTTGTTGAAAAGGAACACACACTATTCGTCATCGAATCACTAAATGTCTAATGCAAAGTTTAAAATTAAACATAAAACTAGAGAAACCTTTGTAAGGTTTTCTTAAGTTTTCAAAAACTATCCAACTTTACAGGTCTAGTACATATTGGAATCAAATCAAACGACCGATAAGTCATACTTGATTAGTTAATACGCCAATAATTGAGTGCTAAAGCTGTTCCAAGTCTTGTAGTATCCGAAGTTGGAGCTTGACAAGCTGTACTTGAGTTATTTAAGTCCCAAATGCTTTTTGTATGAATTAGATGGTTTGAAATTATTCTTTTTCTTTTAAAAACGCTACTCTTAATATTTTTCTAAGTTAGTAGACTAGATTTTGTCCAATTCTTTAGACAATAACAATGAGAACTCCCAAAGTTCTGTCATCTTCTGGTCAGCTTTTCAGATATTTCATCAAAACTGAAGACATTGACAAGTTGAAGTTGAAAAGTCAATACTTCGGTACTAAAAGCTTTTATTTAGCTTGAATTTATCTATTGGTTACAGTTTTTTATTCACAATTATAATTAGATTTGGTTTTTCAATTCTTTAGACAATAACAACGAGAACTCCCAAAGTTCTGTCATCTTCTGGCCAGCTTTTGGAACCTAGTTCAATTCAAATTTCCATTTCAATGTGCTCCAAGTAGTATGCAGTAAATCTGTATGTTTTCTCTTTCATCCCAGCCTGCGGTTACAGGAAAAAACCCTTTTTGGGTCGAATGGACGAAAGGGGAAAATGGAGAGGAAGAGTGACCCGATTCGCATTGCCGCTCAACCATTCATGCCACCCACCAACACACACCAATCACACCCTTTCACCCAACTGGATTAACGGCTTTCATTTGATTTCGATTACCTTTCAAAGTTTTGGTTCTAATCAAGTTCTAACTATTCTTTGGCTTTAAAATATCAAAGTTAGGTCTAACAATGGTATCTTAATAGGTTGACAATGGTTATCTTGACAAAACAGGTCTAACAATGGTTTTCTTGACAAAGGCATCATTCTTTGTTGGTTTCAATCAACAATGACTTTTAGATCTTCTAGATCTCTTCTAGATCTTCTAGATCTCTTCTAGATCTTCTAGATCTCTTCTAGATCTTCTAGATCTCTTCTAGATCTTCTAGATCTCTTCTAGATCTTCTAGATCTCTTCTAGATATTACTATCGAAAATTTCAGCCATTGAGCTAGGTTTTTGAGATTTCTCGATTTCGAAAACAGGTACTCCGACTTTTAGCGGGTGAATCAGAAAGCTGTTTTTAGCATTTTAGCAACTGAATGATCGATGTCTCTGAAAAAGAGAAAGAAGCTTGTAAAACCGGTAAAATCCGGAGGGCGATTTGGTGGGCGAAAGGAAAAAGGGAACAGAAAACGGATGGAGACAGGGGAACAAGAGCTTTCGATATCCCCTCCATTTCCCTTCTCTCATCCGCACTTCTCTATCCCCATGTTCGAATACTTTTCTATTTAGTTGTGATCGAAATTTGTATCCATTTATACTATTTGCTTGTTATTATCATTTTGAAATCAAGAAAAACCTTGAAACCTTGCTCTTTCCTCTCATTTTCCCTTTCACTTGCTCAGCAGTTAGTCTATGACAAAAACAATGTAAAATAGACTGTTATCTTTTCAGATTTATCCCATTTTTAGCTTAATTTATGCCAGATTTATGCTATTTTCAGATTTATTCCATAAAGAAATACTGATGCTCAATTTCAAGCTACTCTTCGCTTTTTTTGGTGATTTTTAATGTTCAAAAAACAAAAGACAAAAGAGAATTGAAAATTTAAAAACATACTCTTAGTAAAATTACAGAAATCTTATATAGCTGCACCATTATTGCTTCCGCAGTGTGCCAACCAAAAGCTTTGCACCTCTCAGAACAATTTTTAGCGCACCTGTCCTTTAAGTACTCACATAAACGTTTAGTAAATGCTCCTTTATTAGCAAAGCAATAGAAAGCTCAATAAATTATAAAATAAAGTAAAAGTAGCCTAAAGTACACCTGCTTCTCATAATTAAGTGTTTAGGTTTATTTGGATTTGTTCTGATGAGGGAATCAATTCTGCGCCCAAACGCGATCGTTCCTTGGTCAGAGTATTACAAGAGATTAAAGTACTTTTGATTTTCAATAATTTAAATAGAAAAGTCTTTAGTGAAAAACCAAATCTCTTGGAATTAGCCCCACGAATATCTGGAGATATTCGACGAGCTCCGCAAAGAAATCGACCAAGTGATGAGATGCTTTTGCAACAAGCAGCTTTAGCTGAAGTGATGTAAGTACAATTTTTTGCCGGATTTGATTGACTGGGATCAAATCGGATCGTTATTTTAAAGCCGATTTGATCCGTCTAGCATAGTACATTGGATTAAGAATATTTCAAAAGCCAAAGCCACTTCAGTTCTTAGCTTTACCAGTTATCTTAGATCTTGTTTGGTTTAATTATATTCTGAGGAAACCCAAGCAAAGCCAATTATAGATTGGTTAAAAAAGGATTATTGATTATTAGAATTGAGTAATGATCTGTTTCGATTGACTTTGTTATTTAGGGAAGCTGCGGAAGAAGATCGAAAAGCTCGTGCCTTTGAAATGGCCAAGAAATCGAAAGTTCCATACGCATTGAAGCCACAAATTCGGAAGAAACTTGTCACCGAACCAGCTGATTTTCAAAAACTCGGAATGGTGGCTGCAAAAAATGTGAAAAATGCTGAAAAGTGGGTTTTGAAGTTGGTTTAACTTTGAAAAAAAACAATTTGTTTTTAGGCGACCACCAGATTATCATCCACCCTTATATCCTGAACAATATCCATACATGAAACTAAACAATCTACCAAGTCATCCCTTTTTAACTGGAGAAGCAATTAAACAAGTGCAATTTATAGATGTTAAACTAAAAAGAAAATTCTTTTTCTAGACCTCGTATTATAATAGCGATTTGAAAACAAGAATCATTCCGAAGACTTCATACAAGAATGACATCTCGAATGAAATTCTTTCGGAGATGAACTATGCAAAAGTGAAGCCAAGAATGGATGAAATAAGAATGACATCATTTGGAGAAATTTCAAAAAGTCTGAAAAGTTTTTGGGAAAATTTCAAATGATTCAAATTTCTAGATTCAAAAGAATCTTTTGAAATGACTCCAGAAATGATGGCTCGATATGCAAAAGCAATGAATATCCCTGCTGGATTGTTGAGGTTTGATTTTAGAAATATATTGCTGTATTAAAGTTTGTACGAAGTTTAATGATTGCTATCCATTTTTATCATAAAGTTCTTGCCTTGACACTAGTTTTTGTGTGTTTAAATCAAGACTTTCACCTTTTTACACCTTAAAATCCAAATTTCGGTTAATCAAGCACAATTTTATCCGCTATCCGTTATCCGTTATTTAGGGGAGTAGTCAAAACAGCGCCATAATAGAAAACGTTCAAAACAGCGCCGTCAAATTTCTCGAAATCCAAAAAACCAAGCCGGTTCAAGTTTTATACCAAAAAATTCCTTGCGTTCTAGGCTACATGATGGGTGAAACAGTTTTTTAAAAAAGTTAATATTTCATAGATAAAAAGAGCACTCAAGATGTGTGTCGAGTGATACTCAGTTGGTTAACTGAATATCTTTAGAGACCCATTTTGAGTGCTCTTTTTATCTATGAAATATTAACTTTTTTTAAAAACTGTTTCACCCATCATGTAGCCAAGAACGCAAGGAATTTTTTGGTATAAAACTTGACCCGGCTTGGTTTTTTGGATTTCGAGAAATTTGACGGCGCTGTTTTGAACGTTTTCTATTATGGCGCTGTTTTGACTACTCCCCGTTATTTGTCCGTTATCCGTTATTTGCTCTTTTTACTTTAACCCAATGGCACGAATTAAATAACGGGGTTAAAATTGGAAAGAATTCGAGAAAAATGAAATAAGTTTTGTTTGAAACAGAATGAAAGCAACAATTTAAATGATTTCACTTGTATTTAACACTAAATTAACAGTAAGGAAATGAAAAAATTTAAACAATATACAATGGTGGAAAAACTTATTGTCAATGTTTTTCTCTTTTCTTACTTTGGAACTACTTTTGAATGGAAATCGGTGCTGAATATTTAACACACAATCTTTTCCATCTTCCAGAAACGGTGTCGCTGATGGTGTTGGTCTACAGCAACTCCCAGCAAGACAGCTTGCAGCTCCGAATTTTGTTGACACTGGAAATCCTCTTGGAACAATTGGAGATGTTGCTAAGGTGATTTACATTTATTTGCTTAGGGCTTAGGAAATTTGAAGTCATCAGAAGTATCATCATCACTTTGTAAATAATTTCAGGCAGCTCAACATTTCACCCGCATCGCTCCCGCTTCCCAAGTCGATTTACCCTCAAACTCTTTACTCACAAACCCATTCCTATCACAAAACAATCTCCCCACTTCAATTTTAAATCCAAATCTTGGCATTCAGCAAGTAAGAACTATTTTTAAGCAAATTGAAATCATTGAAGCAAATCTTTTTCAGGTCCCACTACAAACAAATGGCCCTAATCCTCTTGAAACATTACTCTCTAATGGAAATGCTTTAGATCAACTCTCAAAGTTAGCTAAAAACTTGTTGATGAATGAAGATGGTGGGCAGGTAGATGGCTTTTGAGTAGATGATAGTCAAATTTTATTCAGAACAACTTGCTGGCAGCTTCGATCAAAGCTTTGCAACGACAAGGAAGTTCACTTGTCGATGAGAACTTTTCGGGTCAAGTAAGCTATTTATCTTTTTTTTAAGTTTTGATGTTTGAATGTGTTCAAGTCTCAGTTATTAAATCAGATAAACTTTTAGAGTGAGACTCGTTCCGCACCTTCAATGATGGAAAGACTTATGGCTTATGGCGCTCAAGCCATCAATAAAGGAGTGAAAGAACAAGAAAGAAAAGGTAGATTATCATTGCTATAATCTTATTTGATATTTTAATATTTGAAACAGTTAGTTGAATGAATTTTAGCTAAAATCACGGTTATTAAAGAAGAGGAAAGTAAAAAGGAAGAAAAGATCGAAGAGGAAATGGAGAAATCAATGAAATTGCTACAAGGTGTACCTGATGAACAAAGAAAACTTCTTCAGAAAGTCATTGAGAATGGAGAAGTTGACTCGAAAACCTTGGAAAAAGCTATCAAGTAATTTTTGAAGTCTTTATTTACATTTCAAAACATTTTGAAATCCTTCCGCTTTCATGAAACTAGGTCAAGCAAACATTGGAAAGAAGGGAAAACTCGGAAAAATTTCCATAAACTTGAAAATGTTTAGCTCGTTGACAAAAGATGATACAGAAGAGGGATCAAAAATGGAAAAAGCGAATAGATTGCTAGAATGGATTCAGAAAAATCGACCGGTTAAGACAACGGAAGCTGTTCTTAGTGCTGATCGATTGCCATACTATGGGAAATATTGTGGAGCTTTTGCGGAACAGGTAATGATTGGATTATGTCATTTTTTGAATAATAGATTCATTACTTTAGTCTAATGCTACGAGAAAATACGCAGGAGCTGTTTGGGCGGTCGATCATCGACGTCTCATTGTCTCCAAATTCTTCTTCCAACCAGGATCACTTACCGGTAAAATCAAATCTTAAAGAAGTCTGAATTAGGCTCAATTCTCTCTAGAAACAAATTACCGTAAATACTGTAATAGTACCCCACCCCCCATAATGACGGTGCGGAGCGTTGCGTAGCCTAGCTTTGAACGAGTTTTTCTTGACACTGGTTTAAGCTACAATGCGCGCTTAGTTATCAAAAAATAGCTGAAATTCAGGGCTATTTTTTGATACCAAAGACGCATTTTTTGAAAGTACGGGCGCTTTGAAAAAGCCTGACCACTTTCAGTCTTCAGTGCTATTCAGCTGACTACTTTCTCTACTTAAGAAACTAAATAATTAGAATTTAATGTGAATCAGCTCTAATTTAGACAGCTCTTCTTTAATTAAAAATCTTATTTTTTCGAAGGATTTCAATCAAAACACCTTTAGAAAACATTACTTTCTGGGCTGGTCCAAAGGAATCAACACTGAACCCGATTGAAGACATGTTTCCTTCAAAGAATGGATTTTATCTCAAACCTTTACCAATAAATGTAGCAATTTTTGCGATTCATGAAGCACCGGTGAATCTTTAAATCTTGATTTGGATTTTTAAAGTTTAGGAAATTGAAGCAAAAGCTAGACAAAAGGTGAACGCGAGTGAGACTCTTTTTGGAGTGACTCCAATCTCACCAAGTCTTAATGACACGCCAAAAAGGAAAAGAAGAGACAGTTTGTTTTATAATTTCATTGACTTATAAAGAGCAACATATTAATCAAACATTGAAATTTTAGCGGTTCAAATTGAAAGAGACGAATCACCGCCAGAGAAGAGCGATGGAACTGTGCATTTGATCGTAAAGGTAATTTGCCAAAGAGTGCCAAAGAGTGATTTGCCATTTTTCACAATTTATATCAGTTTTAAGCTTTATTTTTAATATTTTAAAAGCATTGAGTTTCATAAAAATCTCAGGGTGGCATGGTTCAAGTGGAAAACCCAAGCAACAACAATGAATCGAAAGAAGTGCAAGAAGTGATTATTCACTCAGCCAACAATCACAGCTTGTAAGTTTTATTTAAGTTAAAATTATTTGATATAAGTTTCATCTTTGGTAATTTATAGTTCGGTGAATCCAACAAGCAGTAGCACTTTCTCGGCTCCTTTCAGGATTCAACAACCAGATGAGGACCCGACACCAGATCCTTTGGTACGAAAAGCTGGAGTTGATTTAAGTCTTGCATTCAGTTTAGATTTAAAAGTTTAAGCTCTAGGCTTTCAAGCATTATTGCTCACGTTACCTTCACAAAAATCAATGGAAACAACTCAATGGATATCTCTATGGGATCATAAAACACAGGCTCTAGGCTAGAGCTCTAGAGTTCTAGCCTAGAGCTCTAGAACTCTAGCCTAGAGCTCTGGAGCTTAGACTTGCCATTTTCTTACCCTTACTCTAACCATTTTCCAAAGCCAATTGAAAATCTTGATATTTTAGTCAGCATTGCCTTTGGAATGGTACCAAGGCTTTCAACCATTATTGCTCACGTTACCTTCACAAAAGTCAATGAAAACAACTCAATGGATATCGTTATGGGATCATAAAACACAGGTTTTTAGTTTTTAGATAGTGTTTCTTAGGCTTTAGTTAGAATCGAGTTCTTTAAAACAAATCGTATCTTTAAACTCTTTTTTGATCAAAATAAGCTACAACTTTAATTCAGACTACACACCTTTAATCGATTCTTTTACCCTGAGAACTCTTCACTGAAAACCAATCGATTCCTTAACCCTAGTGTTTAATTTTTTGAATCAAAAACCGATCTTGAAGACAAAAGAAAACCCACCGTGTAAAGTGAGTGGCGAGATGTTCTTTGTGCGGCTGTAATCGCTCGCCACCGCTCGGTATAAGGTGCTTCTTTTTTGGCATTGTTAAAGGGAAAGGAGCAGTGAGTGACTGAGCTGATTCCTTCCGGTTTGAGCGTTTCTATGCCCAAATTTTTGGGCTTAATCCATGCCCTAAATTTGGCTGTATTTCTGCGAGAAATTCTATTAGGTTGTTCGGATATAAACAAGCGTTGCTAAACTTATTGTTGTGAGAGAAACTTTTAAGAAATGTCTTTAAAAGCACGTTATCTTGTGCATATTTGGAATCTTTTCTAAACGGATAATTTCTTATTTGTAAGTTTTTTTTTCTTGCTTTAGATGACCGACTTCAAATATATAAAGTTCGCGTCTGCCTACTTTGCGACTTCAGCTTTAGATGACCGGCTTGAAATATTAAGTTTGCGTTCGCCTACTCTACGACTTCAGCTTTAGATGACCGGCTTGAAATATTAAGTTTGCGTTCGCCTACTCTACGACTTCAGCTTTAGATGACCGGCTTGAAATATTAAGTTTGCGTTCGCCTACTCTACGACTTCAGCTTTAGATGACCGGCTTGAAATATCAAGTTCGCCTACTTTGCGACTTCAAACTGGGCAAAACAGTAGCGGAATCCCATTGAGATTTGGTCAAAGCATTTGGGAATGGTGTTTTGTCCGAAAGCCAATGCCGAGCCTGGTTCCAACGCTTTCGGAATGGTGATGAAAGTCTCGAGGATGATGAACACTCTGGTACACCTCAAGCGGTAGACAACGTTATTTTGAGGGCTGCAATCGAATCGCATTCATGTCAAACGACGCGTGAACTTGCTCAACAGTTTCTATGTTCAAATTCTACTATTGATGAGCATCTCCACGCCATTGGAAAGACGATCAGAAATGGAAATGGCCTTCTCACGAGTTAAGCAGTGCAAAAAAAGGCTTCACGGGTCGCTATTGCCGGAATCCTCATCCGCCACGCTAAATATCATGGCTTTTTTGATTCTCTCGTTACTCGCAAACCCTCGTTTATATCCGAACAACCTAATAGATCTTATAAACCATGAAAACTGAATTGTTTTGAACAATAAAGCTTTAAAGAACTCGATTGCTTATAAAGGATTTTTACAGTTAAAAGAACGATTCTGGGATAATATTAGCACTTGTTTTTTTTAGAAATCATTGACTTCTGTCGTTTTCCCTAATGGACCCGCTTTTCAAGTGCCGGAGATCACCACATTGAGATCACTGTCACCAAATGGACTCTTCAATGTATCTTCTGGCCCAATTAGAGTAACAAATTGCCAATCGTTAGCAAATTAATTTCCCTTTTAGTTGATCGACATGAAAACGATTGAAGTGAAAGATCTGCGTGTTTCCTCACCAGATACTCCACTTTGGTTTATGGTTGGAAAAGATATCTTACCGAATGCAAATGGGCATATTGTTCCACTATTTGACAAGTAGAAAGACTTTCAAGAGTTAAAACAGACAATTTTAGACTTAGAAATACTTTTGATTGTGACAGTTTGATGGAATATAAAGGAGAAACGGTGACATTGCGATTACCGGGAACAATGGATATGCAGGTGATAAGATAAAGCACTAAAATAATGTAAAACTTGAATTTATTAGTGTTTCAATAACTTTAGAATTTCAGGATGTTTTCTGGTTTTCAATTTTCTCGTTAACAACTGGTCTCTCATATTCGCATATCTATTTGCCATATAATGATATGCATTTACCCCCTGATCTCTCCGCTATTCCTGTAAGTTTTTGAGGAAACTTTTTCACTTATCAACTCATTTTAGACTCCAAAATGCATCTGGAAAGCCTAACATAAACTTATGGGTATTTTAAAAAACATTTTTCTGAACAAGCTTTAATAAATATTCAAATAACAGCAAGTTAAAAGACAAAACAAAAGACAAAAGCTTGATTAACATGAGCGCAGCAAAACCTGCCATCTGTAATCTAAAGCTTATTCAAATCTTTCTAATTTCTAACTATTCAAAGATCAGCAAGTTAAGACAAAACAAAAGACAAAAGCTTGATTAACATGATCGCAGGAAAATCTACCATTTGTAATCTAAATCTTATTCAAATCTATCTAATTTCTAAATATTCTAATATCAGCAAGTTAAAAGACAAAAAAGACAAAAGCTAAAACATGAAAATGAACCGAGGAAAATCTGCCATCTGTAATCTAAATCTTATTCAAATCTTTCTAATCTCAATTTCTAATTCAAATATCAGCAAGTTAAAAGACAAAAAAGACAAAAGCTCAAACATGAAAATGATCCGAGAAAAATCTACCATTTGTAATCTAAATCTTATTCAAATCTATCTAATTTCTAACTATTCAAATATCAGCAAGTTAGGACAAAACAAAAGACAAAAGCTTGATTAACATGATCGCTTGATTAACTTGATTAAAATCTACCATTTGTAATCTAAATCTTATTAAAATCTTTCTAATCTCTAACTATTCAAATATCAGCAAGTTAAAAGACAAAAAAGACAAAAGCTTGATTAACATGATTGCAGAAAAATCTGTAATCTAAATCTTATTCAAATCTTTCTTATTTCGTTTACATTTTTTGTTAGATCCTGAAATCTTGCCTTAAAAAAAACCAGATTTCTTTTGATCGAATTTTTGTGAAAATTTTTAATTCAAATTTTTCCCTATAAAAGTCTGAGGAAATTGAAGAAAAGATCTCTAACAAAAATGAAATTGAAAACATGGATGTTTTTCTTTCTTGCACAGGTTTTACAATTCCTCTCTTTCCTTTTTGAACTTTTTTTATCTTCAGTTATTGTATGACGCGAATGCTCAAAGCTCTCATCAATTCCCGAAATCATGTAAAATGAATATTTTATTGATTATGGATCAATCTTCATCAACAAAGGTTGATTTGTTGAGTTTATTTTGAATCAAATGGGGAGTGGGACAAATGCGACCTTTTTTTTTTGCGCACCCGGACATTTGCGCACCTTTTTTTCCGCACTTAGCCCATTAGCGCACCTTTTTTCGCGTTTTAAAAAAGCTCTAAAAAGCTAATATTAACCAATTTCTATTCCAAAAGTTGTTTTTCTAGGTAATTTGAGGGTGTCGAATTCAAATTTTGACATAACAGAGCGTGTGGAACCAATTTGAAAGACAAAACGGCTAGATCAAATTACAGGAAATATTTCTCTTTGTATAACTCCGTCCGTTCGCTTCCACAAGCTCTGATATGCCAAAAATCTCGATTTTACGCCCTAAAATTACCTAGAAAAACAACTTTTGAAATAGAAATTAGTTAATATTAGCTTTTAGAGCTTTTTTAAAACGCGAAAGAAGGTGCGCTAATGGGCTAAGTGCGGAAAAAAAGGTGCGCAAATGTCCGGGTGCGCAAAAAAAAAGGTCGCATTTGTCCCACTCCCATCAAATGCCTTACTATGAATGATAAAAGATCTGAAAACTTGTAAAAAACTTTATGCTAATTTTGTTAGGGTGGTTTTGATGCTGCTCGCGATTTTATTATCAAAGTTGCTCCAGCTGCCATGATTGGACCCGATGCGCATAGGGTTTGTTTTATTAAAAATTAACTTGTTAAGTTAACTGCTTCAAAATTTTCCTAGATTGCGATGATCATTTTCTCTGGTCGAACGATCACTCTACCATGGAACTTTGCTAAATCGAATGCAGAGTTAATCACTCGATTGAAATCTGTGAGAAACAATGGTGGTATTACGAAAATTGGAAAAGTAACGATGAATTTGTTTGATTGTTTTTTAAAGATCGAATTCTAGGCTTTAAGCGAAGCAATTAGAATGATGGAAACGAGAAATACCGCTCTTCCAACTTTTATTCTGATGGTCACCGATGGAAGGAGTAGCGACGAAGTGAAAGCACAGGCGGCGAAATTGCGGTAATGATTTCAGCTTTCTTTTAGGGTTTCCTGACAATTTATACACTTGTATTTAAACTTGCGCGTGGTTGATAACTCTGTCTTGAATGTGATAAAAACAACAACAACAACAGTTATCGTAGCAAAACAACGAAATTTTATCGATACAAACAATAATTCACTTCAGTGGAAAAGTGAAGTAAAAAGGGGACCAGAATGAAGAAAAAGGGCCGCCTTATATACCCGAAATCACGTCCCGACTATAAAACAAAACAAATGAAGAAAAAGGGCCGCCTTATATACGCGAAATCTAGCTGCGACTACAAAACAATTCAAATGAAGAAAAAGGGCCGCCTTACATACCCGAAATCACGTCCCGACTCAAAACAAAACAAATGAAGAAAAAGGGCCGCCTTATATACGCGAAATCTAGCCGCGACTACAAAACAATACAAATGAAGAAAAAGGGCCGCCTTATATACCCGAAATCACGTCCCGACTACAAAATAAAACAAATGAAGAAAAAGGGCCGCCTTACATACCCGAAATCACGTCCCGACTACAAAACAAATGAAGAAAAAGGGCCGCCTTATATACGCGAAATCTAGCCGCGACTACAAAACATTACAAATGAAGAAAAAGGGCCGCCTTATATACCCGGAATCTCGCCACGACTGCAAAATAAAAATGAAGAAAAAAGGCCGTCTTATATACCCGAAATGCCGTTACTACAGTAGGACAAAAAGGACACACTTTAGCAAACACTCGTAAATAGGTGTTGATTGCTTTCAGCTTTCAGATTCGAGATGTTATCTCCGATTTTGAAACCATTTTTATCTTAAAAACCTCTTTTTACCTAGAAAAGTCATTTCACAAAGAATTTCATTAAATTTTTCGATAAAATCTAGTCAAATGAAAAGATATTTAGTTTTATTTAGCAATTTAGTACCTTAACTATCTCTTAACTATCAAAATTACGCTCTTTTTATTTATTAATCAAATTTTAAACAATAGTTTATCAAAATATTACAAAAGATATATCTCTTTTTTTTATTTTTCAAGGAATTTATGTAAAAACTATTAATTTTTTAGTAATTTAGTAATGGAAAAATATATTAAAATCGAACAAAAAAAGAACAAACTTCTAAACAATTACTTTCAGATCTTTTCCCAAGACTTGGCTCTTTGCTACATCAACAAATCGACCGGACATGTTTGTTAAAAGAAAAGTCTTTTTTAGAAATAACTTCTAGGAGAGGCTTGCTTGATATTGTTGGACATGAGGATTTCATTATTGAAGCTGGAAGTAGAGAAGTGGCCATGCAAGCAGCTATCAATATTTTGCTGTAAGTAAAAAAAAAAAGAAAAAGTGATAACCAATTCAGAGATATTAAAAAGCAATGCATAAAAAGACGACAACAACCACAACGACAACGACTACAACAACAACTACGACAAATCCTTTCACAGGTTTATATGCATAGACTATAGCTTAAAAAGCTCGACAATCCTTTTTCGTAACAGGAAAATATCTTTTTAGCTTTATATAAGAAATAATAGTGGTAGTGAGAGAGAATTTCATTATTGAAGCTGGAAGTAGAAAAGTGGCCATAGTGAGAGACTAAGAGGCAGTTTACGAGTTGTTAAAATGGAGTTATTGATCCTAAATGACCTATGAGGTCAAAAATGTCTGCAGGTACAATCGTTCAAGGTATACCGTATTTTCTCTAATAGTAGTGCACCCTGAGCGTCGCCTAAATTCCTCGAAATCTCGAGAACCGCTTATCCAGAACCTATCGATGTGGGGTCTGGAAAATGTAGCTAAATATGAGATCTAGTGGGGGAATAAAGTGTTGAGCTTCTGAAAAATTTTGAAAGCCGTAAAATCGTCACCAACTCGGCACTACTATTAGGGACAATATGGTAACTATTCCATTCCCGGTTTGGGTATTCACAAAACCGTATTTTCTCTAATAGTAGTGCACCCTAAATTGCTAAATTGCAGTCGCCTAAATTGCTCGAAATCTCGAGAACCGCTTATCAGAACCTATCGATGTGGGGTCGGAAAATGTAGCTGACGATGAGATCTAGTGGGGGATTTGAGCGTTGAGCTTCTGTAAAAGCTTGGAAACTGTAAAATAGTCACCAACTCGGGTCGCCGGGGTGCACTACTATTAGAGCAAATACGGTATTCCTCGTATAATATATTTTTTGTGCCTAGGTTGTGAACTGGATCTTGTCCTTGTTGTCGATCTATCAGCCACCACTATTCCAATCTTTCAATTTTATATTGAAGAGGCTCAAAATCTGATTCGAAAACTGTATATTAGTCCACGACATACAAGAGGTTTACAATTTTCTCTAAAAGTTCTCTAAAATTTTTCAGTTGGATGCATCTCGTTTGCGTCTGTTGGAAAAACTCAAACAGAGTTCAGCTTGAAAGAATATGGAGATGAAGATGGAGTGATTGAAGCTTTAGGAAAGCTGAAGAATACTGGTGGAACGACAGCGATCGGTTAGTTGTAAAAAACTTATAGTGGTATAAATTCTGAATGTAAAATAAGTACTACTTGTTTAATTTTGGCTTGAGTACCCCTTTTAGGCTTTTAGGCTTTCAATCTTTGAGCCTAAAAGCCGACAATTGTCTTTGCCTTTGCCGACAATTGTCTTGCTCGGGATGTAGAATTTGGTGCAAAAACAAGCTAAATATTCCCCTGTCCAAAAGGAAAGCATTTTATACCGAACAGGTATGCCAGGTCGCTAGCGATTACCCGACCGCACAAAAACACGTCGCGATGATTTACGCAGAAATTTGTCTTTCGATCTATACTTACCATACATTTAAAAATCAAAGAGATTTAAAAGCAAAAACTTTTACCCAAGGCTTTACGCGGTCAGAAAAGCTATTGGCAAGGTTTATAAAATAGGTAAACAATCAGAATCTTGACGAAAATGAAAATCAAGAGCATGCTTAAGCTAGTGAACAGGTAAACATTTCTAAATTACCTCAAAATCCTTCATTTTTTCACTCGATCGTTTCTCTTTGTCGTTTCTCTTTGTTCATTCATTTTCCATTACCATAATGAGCTATTTTAATCTCTGAAATAGAAATCTATTCAACATTTTGGACCTTTAAAGATATTTTTAGGAGAAGGTATTGCCTTGGCAATGAATCAATCAAGTCTCCGGGATGGTGCTCGACCAGAATTTGCAACAAAGGTTTCTTGGGATTTGATCTCATTTAATAGCTTGAAATCTTTTGCATATAACTATAAAGATCTAGATAAAGTTATGCTCAAGATGTGAGCCATTCATGACTTCAAAGCGTCATAGCTCGAAGAGTAAAAAGTCTATTTTATTTAGAGGTTTATTTGGTTATAATATATTGTAATATAAAATACATAATATATAATTCAATAATATATAATACACTGAAATCCTTTATCCACGTCTTTTCGATTGCTCCATAGTTAGGTTAGGTTTTTTTTCTCAAGATAATCGACTACTCCAAGAGCTAGAGTCCAAAAATTTTCTTGGGATTTGATCTCATTTAATAGCTTGAAATCTTTTGCATATAACTATAAAGATCTAGATAAAGTTATGCTCAAGATGTGGGCCATTCATGACTTCAAAGCGTCAATTCCTAGAATAAAATAATCTCAAAGAATCTTTATGATCAGGAAATTTTAGGTAATGATTGTTTTCACGGATGGTTATAATAACAAGGGACCGGATCCAGTTGAGATTGCAACAAAGGCCAAGGATGAAGGGTTCGATTTAAACATTGCTGAAACATTTATGCTGAAACTATTTTAAGTAATCAAATTTTAGTTGGGAACTCTACGTTGTCATGAAAAGAGAAGCAATTGAGCATCAATCGTTGCCACCGTATGAAGAGATTATCAATGAAATTGGTTAGTAATTGAAAAGTTTAAGAAAATGTTAGGAAAAGCTGTAAATAATATTATTTAGCTACTTCTGAGGATCATATTTTCGATGAAAGCAATGTTGAGAAGATGTTTGATCGAATTGGGAAGAGAAACGAGCCGTGCAAGTGAGAATTGTTTGCTGATTTGTTTTTAAATTAAATTCTATTTAAAGTCATTTACATTTCATTTAGAAGTATTCCTATTTTAAGCTATTACCGGTGAGTTTACCTTTGGAGGATTTCTTTTATATAAGACAGATAAAGGGTGCCTCAAAATTACCCATACTAGCGCACGACTAAAACAACTAAAGATTTCTTTCGCTTTTTTACTTATTTATTCCCAGTTTTTCTTTTTTTCTATCATTTACAAATATAAAATAATGTTTTTTCTGTTTCAGGTAATCGATTTGGATGGTGAAGCCTTCGATCCACGGTCAATCGATCATCGATCGATCATAAATGACTTCATCAGCGAGTATCTCGGCGCGTTCAATCCAGAATCGCCTAGGAGCAAGTCAAGCTACCGTCTATCAAACAATTGCACGGTTTAAAGCATTGGGAAACAATAGGGATCGATTGGGCTGTGGACGGAAGATCACCGGTGATCTGTGATCACCGGAGTCGTCGTTAGGAAAGTACGCGACAAGATCAGACGGAACCCGGAAAGGAGTGCTCGTCGCTTATCCCGAGAAGCTGCGATTTCTGAGCCATCGATGAGACGAATTGTTCAAAGAAGTCTCAAAATGAAAGCTTTTAAAAAGAACAAGTGTCAAGGATTGACAGGAGCAACCAAAAAAAGCGAAAGGAGGGGAGCCAAGACCTTTTTGCAGCGGTTTCCCGGCCAGCAACATCAATCGTTTTCAGCAAATTGTTTGCCGTGGACCAAGTGCTCAATAAGCAAAATGATCGAATTTACGATATTTCCAATTCACACAAGACGGTCAAACATGTTCTTCATCCAGCATCTCTTATGGTTTGGGCGGCGATCAAATCAGACGGAAATTCGCAGCTCGTCTTTTTGCCTTCTGAGGTTAAAATCAATTGAAATGCTTACCAGGATATTCTCAAGCAAGAATTACTTGTTTGAGCACAATTTCATTTTAAAAGATGCCATTGGATGTTCCAACAAGATAAAGCTCCGGCTCATAAGGCTCGATTTGTCCAAGGATTGGTGTCGGCTCAACATTTCCGACTTTATCGCTTTTGATGAGTGACCCCCAAGTTCACTGGATCTCAATCCGCTTGATTTTTCGGTTTGGTCTGTTCTTGAAGCAAAGGCATGCCAGAAACCCTACAAAAACATTGATTCTTTGAAGAAAGCATTCATCAAGGCATGGGATGAGCTAGATGTGCCCACCGTCGACCCCTTCCGAGTAAGACTCGAGGCTTGCCACAAAGCTATTGGAAATCTATTTGAAGTTTAGTTGTTTTTAAGTTGATATCGGTGTTATAAATGTTTTTTGCACAAAAATTGTAACTTTGAATTTAAAGGAAATTTTTTCCAAAGTTTTTCTGAGTATGAGTAATTTCGACGCACAAATTCTCCAATATGTCGTAGCCGATTATGAATAACTGGGTCTAAGAGCGTCCAACCATCAAGTATTTGGTATCATTCAACACAGAATCATTAATAATTATGTTAAATTTTTAAGATTCGAAAGATTTGATAAAAAGAAAAAAAATTATGGGGCCTCAAAGTTTCCTCTTGAACAAACAGTTTTTTTTGCTCTAATTTTTTTTCTTTTTATCAAATCTTTCTAATTTAAAAAATTTAACATAATTATTAATGATTCTGCGTTGAATGATACCAAATACTTGATGGTTGGACGCTCCTAGACCCACTCATTCATAATCGGCTACGGGGATCCCACCGATTTTGAATTGTAGCGCCAGTAATTTTTAACCTAAACTCACAAATTTGGTACCAATCGACGCAGAATATAATTCGCTACAGGATGATATAATATTGTCCTCATACATTAAAGGGTTGCTCTACTAGAAAGATTTACCAAAAAATTTCATTCATAATCGGCTACGACACATATAAAACAATTGTTAATTATTAAATTTAAAGTCATTTACATTTAATTTAGACAATCAATTAAATATTTAGAAAATCAAAAGATGGAAAGGCTCCAAATGCAAAAGCTCTTTTTGAAGCGATTGAGAAGAAACGACCAAAGTCGAAGGCGAAAAAGCCGGCACCGAAAAGACATGGATAAAAGATTTCAGTGTATTATATATTATTGAATTATATATTATTGAATTATATATTATGTATTTTATATTATAATATATTATAACCAAATAAACCTCTAAATAAAATCGACTTTTTACTCTTCGAGCTATGACGCTTTGAAGTCATGAATGGCTCACATCTTGAGCATAACTTTATCTAGATCTTTATCTAGATCTTTATAGTTATATTCAAAAGATTTCAAGCTATTAAATGAGATCAAATCCCAAGAAAATTTTTGGATTTTAGCTCTTGGAGTAGTCGATTATCTTGAGAAAAAAAAACCTAACCTAACTATGGAGCAATCGGTTGTGAAAGCACTCATAAGTTGATGAGAATTTCCCTCACAAGTCCCATCAAACAACGAGATTCACGTGAAATCTAGACTTCAGATAAAATTCAAAATCTTTTTGAATTCACACCTTCTTTAAATTTTTATATTCAGATCTTTGATTCTTTTCATTTTTTCTCTTTAATAGTCGAATAGACGAGATGCTGTCAATCTTTTTGCTCGAAAAGCCAGGCAATTACTTCTCAAAGGAAAACCGATAAACATTCAGCTTCTTTTTCATCTTAAACACAAAATCTAACATCAATCACTTGTCGTTGAACTCTTTGATGAAAATGTTTTATTTAATTCGTTTGTGCAAAAGTTTGAGTGCGGATTTCAGTGAAGTGTTCTTGTCAGAGAACAGATCCAGAGAATTTAAAGGAACTCAAGCTAGAATTTAGCTCAAATTATTATTTCAAGGTTGGCAAAAAACCGAAAGCCAAGGCTAGTCAAACCAAAACTAACAACAAAAAAGTTTTGCCAACTCGAGCAAGAGAGTGGGGCTCTCGTTTTGTATGCAAGCGTCTTACCCACTATACCATCAAGCCATGCTTGGCAACCGTGAGAGAACCGTTATAAAGCATTCCTATTAGGCTCCCTTTGCATTTTCACCTTAAATCTTATAACTTAAGAATGCTATTTTGCAAAAACGGAAAGCAGATTCGGAATCAGCTTGAAATTCTGCGTCGAATGGTTTATGGCATCTCATTTTATCACATCCTAGTGTTGCCTTTCCAAATGGCTTTCAGTTGGCTTCACATTTCAACCTTACTCTTGGATTTAGCTTAAAATTTTGGCTTTAGCCTTGCTTGGCATGAAAATTTTACTTTTTTACCAACTCTGTACATTAATACTACCGAAATCACATCACAATTTCTTCCCTTTCTCCAAAATTCTCCAAAATCTATCTTCAGCCTTAAATTTGCTTTGAGTTTTCTTCGAACAAAAGCTTCTTCGAACTTCTAACATTTCATTCATATCCTTGCAAAATTTAGCCTTCCTTTAGTCCAATCTTCATTCTGAACCCAGCAGATACCCTCTAATTTGCTCTCAAACAACACTCAAAACATTTCCCATAAATCGTTTCACTTTGTTTCTCTTTGCTAAAACTGACAGAGGTTTTTCACATTTCGAAGAACCCTCTCCCTTTCCGTTTTCCTTCAAAATCCGTCACCTGATCGTCAACGTTTTGTCGATCACTGTGTAACGATAATGGAAAAGGATAAACTTAGCCTTGTTTCAAAGTGATCACTCAAAAAACAATCCAATCTTTTCGGAACAACATTTTTATGAGCTTGTTTTTTTGGAAAACCGATGTTCAAATGGCTAAGTTTAAAATCGATAGTCATAAAATTGAAATCTTTTAATGTATAAGATCTAACACTTAATTAGCTAGATTCTAGTTTAGCTAGATTCTAGATTAGCTAGATTCTAGATTAGCTAGATTCTAGATTAGCTAGATTCTAGATTAGCTAGATTCTAGATTAGCTAGATTCTAGATTAGCTAGATTCTAGATTAACTAGATTCTAGATTAACTAGATTCTAGATTACCTAGATAAGTAGTAAAAGCTTTTGTTTGTTGTTGTTTTTGTTTTTAAAATCGATTAGCGTCACTATGCCCAAACTTTTGAAATCAATTTTTGCCTCAAATTTTGCTGTATTTTTGTGAAAAATTCTAGAATCTGGTAAACCATTGTGTTACTTAAACAGCAGCTAAACTTGAGGGCAATTCTTGTCTTGAAAGTTTTGACTCTCGTTTTTCTATGGTTAGTTTAATTAACCCATGTTAGCCTAAAGCCTTTTGATCATTTGAAAGCCTGAAGTGTTCTCTGTAAGATTTGGGATTCTTGAACAGCAAATTTATTCGACAATTCGATCCGTCTTGAGAATTTTGACTCTTGTTTTTCTCTGATTAGTTTAATTAACCCATGTGCTAACATGGGTTAATTAAACTAAAGCCTTTTGATCATTTGAAAGCCTAAAGTGTTTGAAATTGTTGTTTTAAAATTGTTTTCTTTTCATTTGCGCTTTTTAACAAATGCCATAAAGCTTTGAGGCTAAATTTTTCAGAAAATGTATACAGCGTCGAAGTGTTCTCTTTAAGATTTGAGATTCTTGAACAGCAAATTTATTTGTCAAGATTGAGAATCTTCTTAAACTGTTTTACTGTTTTGCACTGTTTTGCACTGTTTTGCACTGTTTTGCAAGGAACTCTCAAACAATCACAACTCAAAAGCAAAAGATTAGAGTGATCGAATTGCAAGAGTTTTTTTTTTCATCTTTTTCCCTTTTATTGTAAATCCTTATGACTCTTTCTTCTCCCAAAAATGTCTCCGGCAGTGAAATTGTTTCTATTTTTTTTTCGATTCTCCAACTTTTTTCCTTTTCGCCAGACCTCCGAAATGAGTTCCGCGTTGTCAAAAGCCACTAATTTCAATGAAAGAAAGAAAGATCTCTTCCAAGTTTCTAAACAATTGAATATCCAGCCATTGAAACCCTTGCAACTTGTCCCTAACCTTTGCACTAACAGCAAAGCAATAACATTTCTCCAATTTCTCCAATTTATCAAATATCCACTTCCTTCCCATCAAGGTGACCAATGAGCAATGTAAGTTCTTTTTCTGAATTCTTAATTTCTGTTTTTTTGAGGATTCCATTTTACTGGAAAGACTAAATTTCAAATTATTCTTTTTTTTGTTTAAGACAAAGATATCAATTTACCTTCGATGAATTTATTTGCTGAAAAGAAAGTGAAAAAAGAAATATTTGCTTACTTTCTTTTTCATCATTTTCCTTTTTGCATATTTTCAAATTTCTTTTCAAATGCTGAGAAATTTAGTCAGCAATCGCAAATTCGGTGAAACAAATTCGGAAATTTCGATTCTCCGAGGAAATCCCGTTGTGAGTTTTTTAAAAAAAATTGTTTTCTTTTCATTTCTTTCATTTGCGCCTTTTTAACAAATGCCATAAAGCTTTGAGGCTAAATTTTTCAGAAAATGTATACAGCGTCGACCTCGGAGTTGGATTTAGTGAGGTTCGAAGTAGAGAAAAATGAGGAAAAATAGAAGAAAGCATGAGTAGTGTCACTAACCAAAACAATTGATGCATGATAGAGAGATGTATCAACAATTGATGCATGATAGAGAGATCAATTTGTAAAATTCTTACAATTCGAATCTATCAGAGTTCTTCAATCTGTTACTTTCAAAAGTACGTTCAAAAGTACTCACAAAACTTAAAAACTGACTAAGAGAAGAATTTCTTGAACTTGTTAGCTGAAAAATTTTCATTAGGATATGTAAAACGGAAAAAAACTTGTCAACTAACTTGTCAACTCAAGACTTGCCAATTGATTTCATTGATTACAATCGTATTTTTAAAAAGTAACAATAAAAATTAAAGTTTAAATAAAGCAATAAAAAATTCACCAATTAACCTATGATTTTCTTTAAATAAAAAAGTTTTTCTTGTTCAATTTCCATCTTTTTAAGTCAATTTCGGTTCACTTACAAGCAATTTCGACCGTGATAAACGTGTTTTCTATAAAAATCTTTACGAATAAAATGGCTGAACCAATTTCTCTGAAAATTTAGCTATATACCAAACTTTTTGTGCTCTATCTTTTATCTATTGACATCAAGATAGGTTTCCTTAGATAAAGTGCCTAAATCGCATCATCGTGTCGTCTTTTTGACTATAAAATTCATGAAATAAGACATTTTAAATCCGTTTTAATGTTATTTTACAGAAAATAATTGACCTTTCTAATGAAACAAACCGTAGTTCAATTGGTGAACTTGTTGGTTTTAAACGAAAGTACGAAAATGAATAAAAAGACTTTCTGAAAAGCCTAATAGGTCATTGATTATGCTGGTTGATAATCCTTTTATCTAAAAACTTATTAGAAAGACAAGTTTGATATTATTTCATATTATTGAAGAGTCTGTTTGTATCATGCTGATCTTGAGCTTTATCTTTAGATCACTTTCTCTTTCTAGAATTCATGAAATAACACATTTTAAACTCGTTTTAATGTTATTTTACAGAAAATAATTGGCCTTTCTAATGAAACAAACCGTAGTTCAATTGGTGAATTTGTTGGTTTTGAAACGAAAGTACGAAAATGAATGAAAAGACTTTCTGAAAAGCCCAATAGGTAAATTCATTGATTATGCTGATAATCCTTGCACCCAAAAACTTACTGAAAGACGAGTTTCATATTATTGAAAAGTCTGTTTGTATCGTGCTGAGCTTTATCTGGAAATACCTTTCCTTTTTAAAAACCAAAAAATTAACCAGCACTCAAACCATGCACTCAAAAACTATAAAACTCACCTAAGAAATTTATTCTCAAGAAAATCTCTCAAAAGTCATGTGATTCAAAAGATCTTTCTTTTTTTCTTTTCATTCTTCTTTTCTCTCAAATACATTCATCCTCTTTGTTATTCATAATTGCCCATCGTATGTCTCTTCTTTTTCTTCTTTTCTATATCTTTTTGCCTTTCTTCTCCCCTTTTCCCCATCCACAAAGCGATCAGAAAACTCACTCCATTCATCCCTATTTCTTTAATCTTTTCTTAATTTTCTCACTAATCCTCTTGGGATTAAGCCATTTATTATAAAATTCAAGAAAAGTTAGGGCTTCGGCTTT